GGATTCCATCCCCCAAACAAGACAGACAACACAGGCTGTTGAAGGTCTCCGTCGTTCAGCGAGCTTGCTGGGCAAGTGAAGGAGAAAACCACCGGTCCATCTCCGCCCCTGCATACCGGATCGAACCTGTTTGCGCATTTCTCGGTACGATTGCCCCCTTCCCCTCGAGCTAAGACCAGAGAGGGGGGGAGAGAGACAGAGACAGAGACAGAGAGCTTGGGTCTGTCTACCTGCTGAGAGCCGGTCACCGCGGCAGACACCATGTTGCCGGAACCAGTCTGCAAAACAAACACCATATACTCACTCCGTAGTGCTAAAGCGTCCGTTTTCGCCGGATCCTGGCCTTACGTGCTGCGTCTGCGCGGCTCGCCCTTGGACCATTTCAAGTCTTGTTGGATCGCCCAGCGGTATGCAGGTGATATTAGTTGACCGGTCGGCTCGTGTCTAGAGCCTGTCTACTGGCTTATGCAAAACTTCCTTTTTTTTTATCCCACACTCGCATCGGATCGCCTCGTAACCCTCGATTGGAAATTTCAGAGTGTGTGCAGGCGGGAGATGCCACGTCCTGCATATGCCGATGGCGGTAAAGCAACATGAGGGTCTCAAAAAAAGAAAAGCCAAGGACATTGGACGGGAGGCACGACAGCCATGCCATGCCATGCCACAAGCCCCCCTCCCCCCTTCCTCTTCTTTCCGACGACAATAGCACCACGTAAGGATCACATCAACAAATGTTAGCGTCGATATCTTGTTGGCGTGCATCAGAAGCGCCGCCTGCTTTGCACCGCTCGATAGCCTCGAAAAGGCATGGGCACTCCCGATATGGCTTCATCATGTGTGCAAGGCGGGAATATTGTGGAGGCGCCGGTTATGCGGGTTGCGTCGAGTCAATACTACGCAGTACTCCGTACACTACGCTAAGAAGTACCTAGTACGTACAGGTAGTGCTGCATGTTCGTGCATTGGGATATTTTTATTCACTGCCCACGACGCTGCGATGCGAGGGCAGGCTTGTGCTGTGCAAGGCGGCGCCTAGCCTTCTCTGTCTGTCTGTCTGTCTGTCTGTCTGTCTGTCTGTCTGTCACCTCCTCTCTCTCTCTCTCTCTCTCTCTCCCTTCCCCCTCTCATATCGCGATGCTTGCAATGATTCAGTTCTATCAGTGGAGGGCCATCCTCTCTCCACGCTTGCACCATGTGTGTGGCAGCACCATGGTGTGTGTGTGCACTGCCCGGCCTTATCCGTCCCTCTAATTCAGAGGCTAACTAAGGCGGCTTGTCACGTCCTGCAAGTGGAGTGGTGGATCACGTCGAGTGGCAGGCAGGCGGTGCCTGGTGTGTGGGTTGTACTATGTACGTACTCCGTACTGGTGACGAGGTCCCCCCCCCCATGAGACGGCGCCTCTGTCTCCTCAAGAGGTGAATGGCATCGCATACGGGCCGGCGAGATCCTGCACATAGCACTCTTTGTCGCGACCACTCACATTGCGATTGCTATCAGTCCCTGCTGTCCTGGCTTAGATGATGCATGTCGGCATCTTATTTGCAGCATCCTGTCCCGAAACGATAGCATGCCAGCTCAATCTCGTCAAGCCCACACCTCGTTTGTATCGCGCATCTCCGACTGGCAGAGACACGGAGGGAGCTTCGCCAACTGTCCGTAGCAAGGCGCGGCCAAACATCGTGACTAAGAACCGCAGCAGCCTCGATAAAGTTTCACCGGTCGACTGTGACTGGGTCTCTCTTTTGTCTGTGATGCCATGCCAATCCGGACTGGCGGGCTACTTACTTGGCTAAACCTAAGGGATCGGACGTCGTTGGAAAGGCTCCCAAGACAGTCGGTCACGGCCATTGCACGCTAAAGGGAGGGGGGTACCATGGCACAACACCACGCGTATATTGTCCAGTTGAAGGCCAGAGCTCCATTTGGCCCATTTGAACCATCGTCTTGGTGCAACCGGCCCCTCGGGAAATGTATAGCAGCCGGTGGAGGGGAGGGCCGTGTTTTTTGATGGTTAATCAGTCTAGCAGCTTTCTTCACTCTCATGCCACCAACCAACCAACCTGCCGTAATGAGACACGATACTAGTCTCATTCTCTCCAAATACTCACGCCGCTGCTGTTCTTCTGCACCTCACCTAGGGGTGACATACCATACCGTCAGGCTGCTTCTGGGTTGACTTCCATGTCTTGTTGTATTGGCGCACATCCCGGGGACCGCCTGCCCGGCGAAAATGACAAGTCGCATCTATCGACAACAATGTAATGTGCCTTACGTTGGGGCAGTGGTGGTCATGGAGTCGCAAAGCCAGCCCGGAGGAGCCTTAGCATCCGTCGTCGTACCGAGCAAGGTAGTTTTTTTGCCAGCGCGCGATGTCGCGATACAGACCAGATTCATTTCACTAGTTTGCCTTGAGGTTACGGCCGTTGCTACATTGGCCTACCTGCTGGTAACTGTTCGATGTGCAATCTCTCACGGGGCGCCAAGGCATGACGATGTTGCCGGGCCGTGAAGAGCGGCATTGTTGAAGGCATACCTGCTCCGCTCGCAAACTCGGTCGGATTTAGACGTACACACATAGCGCTGTTTCGTTTGGCGAGGATCGATACACTACTGACCAAAGCATTCCGCTCCATAGGCTACCGGCCGGGGACACCCATGGGGATCTCACAGAGTAGTCTCTGTCCCCCAGAGACATGGAGCCATAAGAAGGATAGCGGTGGCTCGTCTGTCTAAGACAGCCAACGGCGACAGGTGATTGGTTTCTTTACGGTACCCGCTATCCTTACCTTGGGGATAGTCAAAATCTTAAAAAAGAAATCCAGGAGGCGGTGCAACCCTGACCTGCATTCACCAGCCTCGATGAATGAACCTTGCCAAGGATCTGCCACCCACACGGATGCCACAGGTGGGTGTGTGCATGGTGTTCAGTGACTTGAGCTCCCACCAACGTTCGGTGCCCATGCCACGTAGCGGTACCTATCACCCGGATAAGCAAGCTTGACACCATCCCGTCTTCTTGGGAACACGGATGCGCCCTACCGACACGACTTTCTTATCCCTCGGGAACCCTGCAGTCATCAAACATGGAAGCATGTCGATAACTGGGACGTAATATTACATGGCCCGTCTTCAGAGGACGTCTGCCCCCGGACTGTTCCCCAGAGCTCGCTCGCTCCCCTTCATGCCGGGATCGAAGCGACGTAATGTGTATCCGTGACAGACAGAGGCTTCGGCTTATCGCCGCAACCCACTAACGGCTATCAACTTCGGCAAACTGCTTACACTACCATGCCAGGCTTGGGTTCGCCCCGAGTATCTCAAACGAGATACAGTATTCGTCCAGTGAAGCCAAAGTGAGCCAAAGCGGTGCTCGCCGGGATTCAGCATTCTCACCCGAACCCGTAGCCTCTGTCCGATGTTCCACTCCTGAGGGCTTGGTTGCGACTGCAATTCAACGGCGACCCACCCGAGCGGAACGCGCCCTGTTCGCCCTCTGAGTGCTCTAGGTAGTTGGACTCACGTGCAAGCAATCCGTGAGTGAGATCTCATGGCGAGGCCTCCGAATTCCTGGCCCCAGACCCGTTGCATGCGTTCGCTTGGTGGCTTGTTGGGCCCAGTGTACCCGTACGGAGCCATACCAAGTACGGGAGCGATCTCGTACCTAGTTGGAGTGTAACCAAGCGGCCGGCGTGGGACGGAGAGAGACATACCCAGTGGCATTTATCTGCCGGGGCTCGTCCCTAGAGAGGGTTCACGCCGTCTTGCATGGTGTCAAGTGGGCGCAAGTCTGCATCCAGAGAGAGACGGTAAGCATTCAGGGCGCTCAGCCCTACCGATTCGACAAAAGTTCCTACCAACATTGCCTGCGCAAGCCTCTTGGGGTTCCCCCGAGAATCTGCTGCCGGTCACAAGGTAGATGCGAACTTGATGTTTCCACCCCTCTTCGCCATGGCTAGCCAGGGGCTCCGACATGCATGTCCGAGCGTCTTCTGATGTTGGATATCGCCAAATAAGATTTGCACTCAAACGCAGGGAGAATGACATGTTCGAGAACAAGACGGCGACCGTTGTCTTGGGCATCTGACTGGACCGGACCAGCACCACGTCTCCGGTAGGCAATTTTAGTGTCGGTCGCACTGGCTCAGTGTGTTGGCCGAGTGTGGCCTCGCACACCTGCCGTTGATGCTTGCGATTGGTCACGAAGAGATGACGGATCTGTACAGAATAGGGGCAATTTCTCAATGGTTGGTCGTCCGTAAGAAGACGGACAGACAGACGGAGGTACGTGCATGGTAAGCGGGGAAGGCCGCGACTACCGAAGATGATGAGTGTCATTTTTTCATCTTATTTTTGGTCAGAGCTGGCGGGATAACCAAGGGCCAAGGGTGGACGTAAGACGAATGAGAGGTACAGTGTCGAGGCTTAACGATGGAGGTGTTTTGTGTTGATATCCGAATCTTCGGGTCAGTTGGAAAGTCGTTCTGTCTCGGGATGGTTCCTTTCCCTCTTCTGGGTGTGAAAGCCCATGCGAGGCAGGAGTAACGACGACGCCGTCGCGTCCTTCCTACCTAGGTTGCCAGGTTCCTTGGGCACACGGTAGAGCGTGCAGACATGGTAATAATGCATAGTAATATGCCGCTGATGGCGTGTAGCTGATGGCACTAATCTGAGCATTGGGACGGGCTCGGGAGCATAGGGCTGAGCCTGCACGCAGTTGGCAGTCGCTAGGTAGGTACGTGACCTACCTAGGTACGTGCCTACCTACGGATACTGTACACTACATACTGGTAGCAAGTGGTAAGTGTACGTACCTAGGTACGTATGTATGACTTGGCTTCCTTCATACCTACCTATGCACCTACCTACCTACGTAGAGGTAGGTAGCTATCTATGCGAACTCCCCTCCCCTCGGGACCTCCATCCCCCCCTGCTTCTGACGAGGCAGCAGCTTCGCAAGAATATCCGTTTTTGTGAATCGAGTATACTTTGAGCACCCAAGATGGCACTCGATGTGGGTGGTATACAGCAAAAGGAGAATGAGGATGAGACCCGCTCTCCCCATCAGGAGCGCACAGGGGTACTTACGTTGTACTGTATGTTTGCCGGCCCTCGTCGTCGGGTGTGTCGTCAATCCTCGACGCAGTGTCCCCTGATGTATCTGCTGGAGTAACCAAATCCATCATCCGAATGCTTGGGACGAAACGGGAGGGAGGTAGGTGTAGTACACTAGGTACCCATCCTGCCAACCTTGCGTGCTGCTGCTGCTGCTGCTGCTGCTGCTGCTGCTGCTGCGTGTGTGCTTAGGGCGGGACGCACAGACTCATGCTTTCCTATTCGGGCAACCTGTGCGATACCTTCACCAGCGACCCACGACCTAGGGGCGAGGGGAGGAGCCTGCACGTGTCCGCGGGAGAAGCAACGCACTCCGCTCCCCCCTCGGCCGTCATCTCTGGCAAACATAGGTAACAAGCCCGTCTCATTGGGTCTATTTTGCTCCTTGTTTCTTATTGGCTATTCAACGGCGACAGATTATCAGCCAAGGTTGCTGGGATCGGCGTGACCGACCAGAAAAACGGCAGGCGGAAGTACGGGGCTTCACGCAAAGACACACGTACGATTACGTATAGTGGGCCAGTGAGAGCGTAGGTCGTTTACTTCCTACTACCTCGGTGCCCACCTAGCACCCGGGTGACGAAAGAGTTGGCCGGTTGCCATGTGGTAGTGGTAAGGAAAAGCGGCCCTCTGTTTCTCCTTTTTTTTGGTCTCCCGGGTGCTAGATAGGTACGCCGTGGAACGATAAGACGGAGCACCTGTACTGTAGATCCGCTGCTACCCATCATTCCGTGTCCTATGGATTCGGGTTCGCATTCCTCATCTCCACCCTTGGACGGACGGACTCTCGACGATGCGACGCGACCGTTGAGGCTTGCTCGCTTCCTGGATATCGACCGACAACGGCGGGCTGGCTCAAATGCAACATGCCTCCGAGGCATTCCATACTCGTCCTCGTCGTTGCACGTATTCCAAAATCTTCACCGTGTGTTGTGTTCCGAGCCTTTGAACCAAGGCTCCAAGATCCCTCAACGGCACGCTCGCTTTCTGATGGTATGGCTTGCTTGCATTCCTCGAGCAGGGGCTACTCCCAAGACTCGGTCGCTACCGAGCAGGGTTTGGTCGCATCGCTCTGGATTGTCGTATCTCACAGCCGACAACGATTGTAGGTAGCCATGTCTCGAGACATTGCCTATCCGCCGTCATGATCCACGCGCGGGTCATGCGGATGTCATGAACACGAACGGAATCGGACCTCCGATCTCCGATCCCCTCCCTCAAGACCCTCAGGGTGGATAGCCTCGATTTCACAAGGCAGCAGCATTTGGACCGTGGCTGCTTTTGTGTGTGCTCAATACTCGGTAGACGAGATGCATTTTGTTTCTTCTGCCAGAGACGGCACTGGCCGGGAGAGCACGACTGTGGATGGCCCCTGTCTCCCTTCCTGCAGTCCACAGTTACCCCATGCTCGCCAAGCATTGGGAGCCACCTCATAGATGGACGGGACGGATGGCAGGGCTTTGGGCAGCAAATCGAGCGACCGAGGCACCACGGATCCGTTTCTTTGGATTCCGCAGATCCCACCTGGGCAGGACCCCTGTCTTGGCGAACCGATGCAAAAAGCGCGCTTGTGACGGAAAGGGCAATAGTAAACGAGAATAGCCAGGGCGCCAGTCCCGACACGGCTTGGGAGGGGCCAGACTGTCTCGGTCGGCGGGGAACTTGGGAGATCAAGCGGACTGGGCGGGACGGGAGGCATATTGGCGGAATTGAAGACTTGGACCCAAAGACCACGTCCCGAAACGGAACAGGCCTGGGCCACGGCGACATCGGCCACGTCTAGACCGGCCTCTACTGGATTAGGGTACAGGCGGTGCGACACCGGTTGGTGGGTCATCTTTCGACTCTGGGTACGGATACAGAGAGTGCATGGGACAGGGACAACGGTTTCGCCCGTGCCGCAATGGCTTTCGACGGACCAGCGGCACCTACTTACTATGTGGGTAGCATCCGTAGTGTATACCCAAGCTGCCAGACGTTTATTGACATGGTGCGCGAGAACCAGACTCCTGGGACGACGGTTTGGAAATTTTGCCAAGGGAGGGGTCGACGGACGCGCTTCGTTGGAGAACGCTCGCCGGCCCTCCCTCTGATGAGAGACAGCGAAGCTGCCATCTGGTCACGAACGGGTTTCTTGTGCGAGCCATTCGATTGTCGGGACCGAACCCTGCAACGGCGGCCTTCGCCTCAAAGCTTCGCTCGAGGCTCCAGGCGTCTGGGAATTAATCCCCATACCTTGCCTTTATTATTAGGGTTCTTGCATCTCTGTCTTGCCGGAACACTGCGATGGGACGGACGTCGCGCGCCGCTGTAAGCTCACGAAAACACTCTCCCTCGGTCTCTCTCATGCATTCTGGTCCTTGCAGACCAAGTAGGTACACTACCCTGGCGCCTCGCCTTGGGTAAGAGGACGGGGTAAAAGAAAAACATAAGCTAAGGTGCTAGTACAAAGCCTCTCTGCCCGCGCAGGGGAAGATACCTACAGATGAAAAAAGAGGAGACGCTAGGTACCTTAGTGGTAGGTAGGTAGGTAGGTAAACCGCTAGGGGTGTGTGTGTGTGTGTGCACCACTGGTAGGTACCTATGGTACGAGCACAATGTATACGGATACTGGTAGGTAGTGCGAAATTGGGAGAGACACAGATGAGCAGGCGGGGCCAATGGCCTGTCGTCTGACTGGATGAGGTACCCACCCCCCCTGTGGAAGAAACGTCCCCACGCGAGTCAAATCAAGGTTTCCATCTTTAATCCAAATGAGATAAACTCCGAACACACGCAGCCTTGGTAGTTGGTACGGTAGCGAGAAACGGAGCCCAAGGCGCACATCCTCTGATATTTTCTGTGCTAGCCTCGACAGCATGGAAGGAGAACGCCTGGCCTACCGACCGGACCTACTGTGCAACACCTACAGTAAGTAACATTGTGGCAAGGGCCGCAATTGGTCTCCATTTCCGTCTTCGCAAAAGCAGAAGCAAGCGTAGGGGTCCATGACCCGAACCATTGCGTGCCAGCCCTAGCAGATGAACACCATGGAATATACCGAAAGTCAGGCACCTTATGAGTGGTCAAGTCTCATTGCTTCGTCCTCTTCCCCCCATCTCTCCAGTTGCCAGAGGACACCCGCTTCTACATCCCGATGCGCTCATCATACCATCGTCCCATCAGGTTCAGGGCAAACGGGACGACACGCAGGGGAGACTACCTACATTCGGACCACTCGGAGAGCAGGCAGACATAATCAGCCAAGGGAGGAAAAGAAACAAGTATGGCTTTGGCTCAGGCCCCTGTGTATGTCTGGTTTCTGCTTGCACTCCCCCGACACATTTGTACACTTGATAGGTAGGTCATGGGAGATTTGCCTTTGCCTATATGCAAGCCTTCCAGAACGGGTTTGGCGCATTGGCTGTGGAGAGCTGAGCTTCAACACGTGTACAAATACATGGTACAGGGCAGAAACATGGTGTAATGGCCCTTCTATGCCCCCACCTTGCCATGCATGCATGCCCTTCCCCTGTCGCATTTTCCATACCTGGTATCTCCCTCTCTCTCTCTCTCCTCTGATGCGCGAGCGTCTGTCTGCCTGTCACTGGTGAGGAATCATGGCTTCCTGTCCTGTAGTGTAGATCCGATGCAACGTAAAAGGTGAGTGTGTTTGAATATTGATCGACATATGCATCCATGTCCCCCCAATCCCCGTCCTGTCTTTCTCCCTCTCTCACTCACTCTCTCTTCCTGCGAGGGAGGAGCTTCCATGGGGTATCAAACCATACCCCCACCCAGCCACCTACCCATCATCAACATCATCATCAACATCATCATGGGCATGGCATGGGGCACCGGGATGACAGGTAGGAAATCCCTTGAGCGTCATAATCGACTAGGAAGGCAGATCGTGCAATACGTAGTACCTCGCTCTCTCCCTCTGGTCGTGTCTGTCTCCCTGCGATGTCGATCTTGCGACCTCTCAGGGCCACCGAGCGAAATAGAGTGCACTTGACGGCGACAGCATGACAGCTCGACAAAGTTGCGCCTTACATCGGGGCCTTGTAGTTTTAAGAGACCCAAGCCTTGTCTGGCTGGACATCGTTGGTCTTTTCTCGGGCCGGGTCTCTCGTGCTTCCGAGGGAAAGATTCATCGCCGTGTAAGTGGCGCCCCCACCTTCTACCTGGGCGCCCTCCATCATGCATCATTCCGGTTCAGCCGGTCGAGATGGGTCTGGCTGGCAAGAAGGGGGTCTCTAGTACTCTCTTGCATCAACCCAAAGTGGAACGCCGTCGCCGTCCCACACACCGCTCCGGGTTCCGCGATGGTGATGCGTACAATAAAAAGCTAACCGCTACGAAATCACGCCCGCCTGGCCGCCCTGGTGGCGGGTGATCAACCCGCGCGGAATCCCCCCCCTCCTCCCCACTCTTTCTTCCCACTCTCTGTTGCTTGAGAAAATCCCAATGTGTGCTTTGGGCTAGCTGTTTTAAGAGTATGCAGTCGTGGCCACAATGCTGAAAAGGGGGTGGGCTCGCTCCTGCAGCAACGACAACCCCCTTCTGCGTTATGATATGCTTTGGTCGTAAGACAGTGGATGGGCCGCAGGAACATCGGTCTCGAGCTAGATCCTCTCCTATCAACCAGGTGATGCCCAAGATGGCGGCCAGAAAGATGTTCACCATAATCACCCCCCAGCAACCGTTTGAGCACCAACACAGCCCCATCTTGGCCCTAGGATCCGTTAGCCACGACACCCCTAGCCACTACCGAACCGCGTAATGAAGTGTCTTCCCGCCCAGCTGGTGAAGAAGAGGCTGCCATCGTCTCTGATGCTTGAGGTGGTTGGTCAATTAGCATCATTGTGTGGCTGCGCTGGTGCCAGGAGCCCTTGACACCCAAGATCCTTCTCACAAACATCTAACCCGAAAGGCTGGTTGATAGCTCGCAAGATAGGGCTTGGTTCCAAAGGAGCAGCGCCGGCGCGTGTAATAGGCGAGGTGGTGGCTCCCTCGCCACAGATCAAGCCTCTTGGATGCTTGAATCACGACAAAACAAAGGAAGGAAGGGCAGGCCAGGTGTTTGAACGGTGAACAGAGTGTGATCCTGGCGCAGGTTAGCCGCGGTGGGTGAGGGCAGTAGTCTGTCTGGTTGTGACCCTATAGAGCAGCGAACCAACTCTCGGCTCACTGTCGTGAAAATCCTGGCCAGGAACTGCGTATCCCAGCCCAGCAGAACAGGGCTCTTCTTCCACACGGCAACCACTGGATCGTGATACCGGGTCCACGTCGGCGGCACCTCGATCTACAAGACAAGCCATAGCACCATGGCGAGTGAACTAATGCAATGTAAATCCTTTGGTAAGCTCGATTACTTAGGAAAGAGAAGTGGGCGTATGTGTCGCTGAGATCTTTGCCTCGCTCCTTGGTCTTTCCTCTCGGACCGTGGCTTGAAGGAAGGAGAAGGTCGGCAATATCTTTGATATGCCACTTTCGGCGGGCTTTCTTTGTGAAGGAATACTTCTCCAACGCATTGTTGGGCTGTGGCGTCCCGCCGCCACTCCTCTCACCCCAACAAGAGAGATATCGAGGGGTATATCCAGAAATTCGCGACATTTCTCGAAGGCAAGGATTAAGCTTTGGTAGTCCATCGACGGCAGATACGCCGCGGACTGCTAAAATAATGATGTTCTCACTAGAGCCTAGCAGAGTATACCTATCCCTCGCCGCACTAGATGGGCAAGCAAAATGTCATGATAACAGTGCGGAATTTTCGGGGGGAGGGGGAGGGGGGGAAAGAGGAAAGGTAAGAGGAAAGAAAAAAAAAGTAAGAAAAAAAGGAGAAAAAAAAGCATCCTTCCGACGCTGATACCCATCTGCCAAAACCATACTCCCGGGTCCCATCTGGCGGGACCAGACATCCCAGTAAATGGCGTCGTGGTATTGAGCCGGGTTGCTGCAAAGCGAACAGAGGTCAATAGTTTCGTGGCAAATATGGATACACCTGCACACAACGACCCTGGACCAAGGTCCAGACTCTCGAGCAGATGCAAGTCTGACTAGCCGCTGGGGTGGCGTGGGCGTGCGGAGGTGTGCGTAGGCTGTGACAGTAGCGATAGGACGTGGTCCAAGTCGATGCAGAAGCTGCTTTTCATGTCCCTTCTATTAAAGGGCTCACATGGTGTGTTTCTTCGCTTGCTTCCCCCCCCCCCCCCCCTTGGGGGCGTTGGTTTGATATCAAGATGCACCTGTGCAACAGGCGGAGCTTGTCTGTGGGCAATGACTCAACTCAACTTGGGCAAATATCATTCTAAATGAGAACTGGCACCGCGCCCATCTGACTGGGCTAGGCTTGGGCTGGGCCAGCCACCCTTGTTGGTCCCCTGCGCCTTGACAAAACAGAGAAGTGAAGGCAACCCAGAAGAAAGAGAAACAAAATAACAAACGGGTCTCACAGACCAAAAGCCCCATGGACCCGACACGGCGGGTTTCGATCAGCGCCACGCCCGCCGCTCCGGCGACGCGATGGCCTACCGAGACGACAAGGAAAGATATGCCACATCAGGTGGATCAAGGTTTGCCGCCTCAAAGGGGCCTCAGATGCGCCCCAAACCACGTGTGATGAATTGCGCAGGGGACGTCTTACATACGACAAGGAGAAAAGGCCATAATAAGGAAAAGTCTCGACCACGAACATGGGTCACTAGTGTATTCGTAGATTAGTTTTGTCTTAAGTCTAGTCTTTGGGACAAGTGACCAAGCATGGATTCGGTAGGTGAGCCCTGTAATGCCTTCTCGCTGGCGAGGACGGGTTTGGGCGGCGTGGTGGTATGGTCTTGCCCATGATTGTTGTGACCAACCCTGCGAGGCTCCACAGGGGCTGCGGAGCCGAGACCGAATTGGTCGGGGCTGGGCTAGGCACGGCGTACGAAGTATGCAGTCGTCGGCCTGAGAGAAGCCAAGGATGACAGTTGACAGACCTGGTAGTGTACATCTCGTCGATCGTGACCGATCCATGTCAAATAGTTTCGTTCCCATGAACGCTCCACTGCCAAGGAAGGAAAACCAGGCGAAACCCAAAGGGGTGGAATAGGCAGCCAACTTGGCGGATACAAGCAAGACATGCACGCATGGTAATGGTGATCCGTCGTCGTCGTCGTCGTCGTCGTCGTCGTCGTCGTGGGGGGCACAACGGTGACAGCTCGCTTCGCCCGTCGATAAGCCAATTCGGGTGATTGTCTCGTACGGCAATCTTCCCCGATAATCGATGACCATTTCATCCATAGTCAAGCGGGGAGGCGGGTGCATATCGTGGACCACATGGGTCATTCCCAGCAAACAGGATACGTCCCCGAGCGACTGATGGGTGATGGTTGTCGAGAAGACCCAAGAAGCTTCAAAGACAAGGTCAGAGGGCGGGGCGGAAGCGGTTGGGGTGACAAGGGTTTACTCTCGGACCAAGAGCATTCCGAAATTAATAGTTATTGCAAGATGAAGAAGATGATTCCTGCTGCTTGTGTCAACTATCCCATCATCCGTGGTGTATTTACTGCGCTGGGGGCTGGCAAAGATCGTAGACCTGCCATTGGCTTTTTGCAATTGTCAATTGCCACACAACATCTGAATCCTTAAATGGCTGCCTTGACAAGTCTCGCCACTCGTGTGGCTGCCAAGCAGATGCCATGGATGGTGAGAAATATAATGGTATTTGATGTGGAAGCATGAGTGATGCACTGTTGCTGTTGCACCCGGACATCATTTCGGTGTTCTGGGAGCAACGTTGTCAGTCACACTCATCGACCTCAAGTTCGGCACACTCTAGTGAGGTTTTCAGTCCCTCATTGGCAGGGATTGGTTGCTGGTGGCTGCCCGCCATCCCGGTCGAGCCATCATTCTGTACAAAGTATTCCGTACGGACGGAGTGCTGCATGTAGACTATAGATCTGCACGACGCAAAACCCCCTCGTGTGGCTCGGGAACCCGGCGCCAATCTCTGCGAGGTTGCACTTCAATGGACCGTGGCAGACCCGATTTGTCTTTTGCCCATGTTCGTATCGGTCATTTGGGGCAAGCGTTTCGACACCAACTTTCGGGATCCGCCCTTCGAGGTTCTTGCCTACGCCCGTATGGCCCCATGCCTGCAGTTCGCTTCCCTGTTCCATCGTCCTACCGTCAATCATCCCGAGAACAAAGTATTGTTTCGACACGGCGGCTTGGGTGCCGACGGGTGTGGGCCAGTAAGCTTCGCCCTGCTTACCGTGCTGGGCAATCCGCTTTCCGCCCTCGTCTATTGCGGAAAGAATTCCTGTGAGGCGGAAACCCTTTCGCATGCGAGTTGAGCCTCGTCTCTCGTATCGCGAGATATGCAAGCGACTTGACAAGGCATTCCTCGGCCATGTATGTCTACGGACAACAGACTTCGCTGCGCCAGCCCCATCCAGCAGGCATGTCGTCACCGAGCTGCCTCATCCCCGCAGCCTTGCAGATTTCAATGACAATGGCCCTGACGGCTCGTACCTCCTCGACAGATGCCCCGCCATTGAGGGCGCCTCGGAGGTGTCCCTTTAATTGAGGGTTCACATCCTGCGGTATCAAGCCGGCAATAAGGACATACGACGTCTCCACGGGGGACAGAACTTTGGTGTTGCTCAGAATGTAGCCATATATCAGGCGGACAGTCAAGCCCAAGTCTTCTGTGCCACATCTGTCCATCTGACCCATTATGCGTCTTGAAATCTTGCCGTATATTTTGTTCCAGAAGTCTTGGCCTCGCTGCAGCACTTTATACGGAGCTGTGTCATGTATGTCCACGTATCGCGCAGTTGGTGAGGATGTCATGCAATTGTCAGATCCATGCGGCTCATCCAGGAGATGCTCAGGCGTGACCTTTTTGAGCTCCATCAAAGAGTTAATCGTCTATCCCGTATCAGTCAGTATTCGCCAATAATGATGCATGCCCAGGGGAGGGAGGAGGGGAGGAGGAGGAGGAGGGTACCTTCGGCAATCCTCCAACCGCCGATGCTTTGATGAGCGCCTCCCGTAGCTTTCTCGATATAGCAAGTTGTTCATCTGAACCTGGCTTGACATCTTCAGAACCAACTCCATGTCTCATGACATGCTGGTAGATCTGCGGTATCTCGTCCGGTCGATTGAGTATGGTCAACGTAGTAGCGGCAACAAAGTACCAAACATGCCTTGGCAAAGATGGCTGGCTCCGTATCGACGCAAGAAGCGCTGGAGTGATGATTGGAGGCAAGACTGATGGCATCATGGTCAACAACGAAACGTTCTGTAATGTCAATGTGTGGTTCACAAATATATGGCCATTGTTCAAATGTTTCCGTCTGCAGTACTGGAAGAACTCTCTCTCTGTTTCACCTTGAAAACAACCGGAAGGACCGTTCAAGAATGCCTTTCCGCTTGGTTGTTTGGTTCAACAGCAGTCGACGGACAAAAGCTTGTCACGGATCGGAGCTTCGGCAAAAGTCCGGCCGACAATAGATGAGGATGCTAGGTAGGTACCAGAACCATCGCGGCGTTGGAGTCGGCCAGGAAAGTTCCGAGGTTCCGCCGCAATGAACCATCACGTGCTCTTTCTCCAACCTTGCCACTCTGGGTCGTTGTAAACCGTGGCGTCACTGCTCAGGTAATCCACACACCACAGTCGACTAGATGCTTGTCATTAACGTGGCATCAACTACAAGCTCCGACGTGCCACGCCAACACTACGCATTCGGACTTTCTTTGGCCTGCATCAACAACATGGGCACTTGAGGGCATCCCTCACTCCACATCACCGTATCCCGTGTTATTAGCCCATCTAAATTCACGATGAGGCTCGCGTGGTACGCAGGGGTAGGTCACGCTTCGGGAGCTATCGAGCAAGCTCCCATTCGCCCAGCTCCATGTCTGCTCGCTATGCCGTCTCCCCAGCTTGCTGACTCTCAACGCAGGTTTCCACGGCCCTGGCGGCTTCGGTCGTCGTTTCGGCATTCCACCAACGAGCGAACTTTTATTCGGCCATGGTCTACCTCGCGCAGAGCAATTTCTGCTTACTGGTACGCTGCTCCGGCTCTGCTCTCGATCCCGCCGGGAAATCAACTGACATGGGCTGTAGGTCTTGGTCAACTTTATCTATCTTATCTATGGCACCTTGATCTATGGCCTGCAACGGCTTCTCTACGGCCCGCTGCGACAAGTAGAGGTCGAGCAGCTCTCGGAAAAGGCGTGGTTCGCTATTACCGAAACATGCCTCGCGATGACGATATTCCGGGAGGAGATTGGCGCATGGTTCCTTGTCATGTTTACCGCTTTGGTGACAGGCAAGGTCTGGGGTTGGATTGGTGACGGTCGTGTCGAAGTGCTCGAGCAACAACCTCCTGCGAATCCCGGTCTCTTCCACACCCGACTCAGTCTCTCGCTCCTCTTGAGCCTGGTCTACGATATCTGGCTTCTTCGATACACGGTGACTACAGTCATCCAGCAAGCACGACCCAATATGATGGTCATGTTTCTCTTCGAGTTTGCTGTTTTGGCAACGTGCTCCGCGCGCACCGGAATCCGCTACATGGTGTCGGTCATGGAGCAGAACATTGTGAAGACGCAAACGAGACACCGACTGGAAGAGCGACGAAGACAGGTTCGGGAGGAGCGTGAAGAGATCATCCGTCAGAGGGAGCATGACGGTGGTGCATCGAGCGAAGACCAGCCTGACCTGCCCCGTGAGGAGGATATTGACGAGATGGACATCGAGGTTCCTGGCTGGGAGGCAAAGGGACAGTGGATCTTGATTCTTGACCTCATTGCTGGTAAGTGCAACTCGCCATGTTCATACGCATGCTCTAACAGCATCTAGATTGCGTTAAGCTAGCCATATACTTGGTATTCTTTGGAATACTCCTTACATTCTACGGGCTGCCGATCCACATCATGCGGGACCTCTTTATGACAGCCAGATCTGTTATAAAGAGAGGATCTGCGCTCTGGCGCTACCGTAAGGCTGTCGAAGACATGAACAAGTATCCCGACGCTACACAAGAAGAGCTGGCACGAGAGGATACTTGCATCATTTGCCGGGAGGAGATGCGGCCCTGGGATCCCAGCAATGGGGCGGTCGAGCGTACACGACCCAAAAAGCTGCCCTGTGGGCACATCTTGCACTTTGGCTGCCTCAAGAGCTGGCTCGAGCGTCAACAAGTCTGCCCTACCTGCCGCAGCCCTGTTGTTGCCAGCACCAACACCAATAACCAAAATAACAACGCTGTAGCGCCGCAAAACCGAGAAGCAATGTTCGCCCGGATCGGTCTCGGTGGGCCGGGAGGCGCTCTCCCAGCCCCGGGTGCCCAGCAACAGCCGGCTGATAACGCCGCTGGTGTTGCACCTATAGTGCAACCTGCTCAGCAACCACCCCGTAACGGAGGGGCTCGTGTCTTTCAGCTGGGTCCCATCCGTCTCGGGTTCGCCCAGGGGGAGAATATGCAGCAGCTGGCTCAGCAAATGGGCGTTCCTCCAGAGGCAATCCCTACGCCTCTTGCACAAGGAGCTCCTGCCGGCCCCTTTACGCCAGCCGTACAAACACCGGGCGGCAACAGCATGTCGGCAATTCGCCAACAAATACTCCAGCTCGAGCACATGATTCAACGGGAAGTTGTGTCGCTCCAGAGTATGCACCAAGAACTACAGACACTTCAGCTCCTTACGGCAGAGCTCGGCCGCATTCGTCAGTTGCAACAGCAATCAGACCAAGCCCAAAACGTGTTAAATGGGGGACTGGCCCTAAATGCCGTCAACATGGGGCACAGTCAGCAAATCCCGCTTCCTGCAATGTCCTTGCCACAACTTCCAATTCACCCGGGATTACGGGTGAATGGTCCCGTTGTGACTAGACACGGAGCTGCAAACCACTCGAATGCGATTCCTGCCGGCAGCTCGGAGCTTCCCGAAGGCGTAGTCATTCCTCCCGGGTGGTCCCTCCTGCCCCTCCAGCGGATAGAGGGTGCCCCAGGATCCCAGCCATTTCCCGAGCCGACACCCTCTATAACGGGCGAGAACATACAGCAGTCAGAACCAATGGCTTCCGTCCCAAATGCGCCGGCCGTCAGTGCCACTCCGCACCAAGACAATAACTCGGCGCCTACAATCGACTTTCCGGCTGATTCGGCTGAGTCTGAGCAACATCAGGGCAACGTTGTTCTAGGTTCCGGCGTCACCACAGGTCAGACCGAGGCCCCCCCTGTCCTCTCCCCGAATCCCGTATTGCCCAACTGGGGCGGAGCGAACCAGCTTTTTGGCAACGGACGGGGATTGTCTAGCTTGGGCAACACAGTGCCTTCGGAGGGGTCCTTTGATGAGACTCCCGGACAGGACGAAAGCGCCCATCGGAGTGCGGGGGACAAGTCACCAGCTGCTTCGGCTAGCGTGGAGAGCACCGAGGAGGACAGTGGTAGTGGCAGTGGCAGTAGTAATAAGGGCAAGGCTAGGGCTGTCACTATCGAGGAAGCCGAGGACGATGAGTAAACGAGAACGGAGAGAAGGCATTACGCGGCGTTTAGGGCGGTCTTTTCCCCTTCCTCTTCATTCAATTTTTTTTTTTGTGCTCGCAAGGTGTAAAAAAGCATACCACTTTCTTGTAGGATTATTAGCGATTAACTTTTGGACGCGCAAGACATGGCACATTGTCGGGATACTCATCTCCGCAGTGATATATCATGACCATGACGAACGAACCGAGCGCCAGAGTCACCCGCTAAGCAAATTACAAGATCCCCAAAAACTATTGGGCGGCAACTCGTGATAATTTGCCGTACATTATCAACCTCCTTATCCTTACACTATGGTTGTCGACAATGTATAGTGAAAGTGCGTTTTTCCATCCCCATATGCCATTACTTGTCATCCCTCGTATGCTTGAATATCGCTGCTGGGTAAATGAAATATTAGGAATGCTCACGCTTCATGACCTGTTACGTGTCCAACACATCGCTCTGCTCGTTTGACAGCAATGCCGGCGTCTCTCTGAGCGATACTCCTTCGCCGCTCTCCCAATTGGTGACCGAACCTTGGTAGGCCGGCGCCGGGACTGCCGTGGTTGCTGACGATGCCCGGCTACCACTCAAACTGCGCAGAACACTCGTGGTCGCGCTGCCTTTTACCGGCTGCGGACTGAGCACCACCCCTCCAGATGACTGCGCGGCATAAGTAGGTGAAACGGCACCCTCCGAACCAAACGGCAGGGAACGTGTTGGGATCTCGCGACTCACACCCTCATGACCACCTTCGCTACCACCAAGCTTCTTCAGCAAAGCTTCTGACTGCTGTTTAGCCAGTTTTTGAAGCTGTGCTGAAGGGTCCTTGGAACGCCAAAGCACGTTAGTCAATTCGCAAAGACAATCTGCAGGAGTCCACCGAATTCCATGCACACATACCCAGTCCGACTGCGGCGGCACGCCGTAGGCGACCGGCAGCTCCTCCTCGTTATCACCATCGCCAGCCCCGGGGCCACCACCCCAGAACTTCGGTCGACGAATTGGTGCGGGAGTGACTGGAAGACTAGGTCGTTCGACAACACTTGGGAAGTCGGTGAGCTTGAGGCCGTGCTCCTTCGCCGCCTTCTCATCAGCAAGACCCACCGAACCTTGGCTCTTTCCCCGGCGATGCTTTTGAAGACCCTCGACGTAGCGCTCGATCTCGGGCACTTCGTCCCAGGCATTTGTACGCGTGAAAGTGGTCCAAGGATTCGATGGGCTGACTTTGATGGTCGGGGTGGACGGGGTGCTGGGCTCGCCCTTTTGACCAGTCGTCGATGATCCTGTGAGAGATGGCTCAGCAGGAGCCTGGGATATGGGCGATGCCGCTTGCTCACCAGTCGGTGTGCTCAAAGACTCTCCTGCTTCCGGCTCGGCCAGATCTGCGGTAAAGGTTCTGGTCGGCTTGGGTTGATTGACTTCCCAGGGGAAGAGAGGTCGAGGCTTCTGCGTTGGCTTTTGCTTCGGAACTTCGTACCACATATTTCTTGGGGGGCTAGGATATCGTTCGGGGGGCACAAACGGAGCGGGGTCTTGAGACATCTCGTAGGTCTGCGAGGGGAAATTGAGCGCCTCGGGCCTCGAGTCTGCTGGTGGTGGTTGTCTACGCCAAGTCAGCATCAAATACAGATGACAAAGAGGGTAACAAACAAACCTCTGAGCATCCCATGCTGGAGGAGGAGGGCTTGGCTCTCGCGTCTGTTCCACGGGTGGCGGTGTTGGACCCCGCCCCTGAGGTGCTGAAATCTGCTCTGATCGAGCCTCAGCCTGCGTTCCAGCAAAACCACTAAACGACTCGCTGGGAGGGGGAAAGGATTGGCCAGCCTGATACGCAATCTCAGGCTGGGATTTCTGATCACGGTCGCGATATGGCGGTTCGTTATGGTGATGCGGCTGAGAAGAATCGGGTCCATGGGCATCGTGGTGGGGAGAGCCATAATAATTATTAACTACCTTAGTAAGTTAGTTACCCTTAAGCTAATACTATTAATAGAAACTTAGCTCTATATAAAGGTGCTCACCCGTTAATGCGGCTCGCGCAGCCTGCGGCTGCGGCTGAAATTCTCCTTTAGTAAAGTACTGTACAATCTCAGGGATCTGATGTTCCCGCTGTTGATGCTGCGAAGTTTTATCCTGATACTTCTGTTGTTGAAGTGCAGGAGCAGGTGCTGTTTCCTGAACAAATGTAAGCTTCCATTCTGCCATGGCAGCCTTGCAAAACTTACGGCAACTCTGTAGTGTCGGTCATAGACTGCCCACCATCTCCCAATCATGTCTTCAAACGGCGAGTCTCCTTGGCTTGCCTGCCGACCTTGAAACCAGGGTTTGTCAGGGCCAATGAAATGTACCATGTTGATACTCGACTGAAAGTGTCGATAGGCAGGCACGTATTGATAATGCGCCGAGGGTGTCACGTTGTACGTGAAGCTGATGCGGTTGTACGTGTTCTTGAAGTGCATATTAAGGAGACCCTGATCGGCTCCATCGAATGAGATGCCTCTCTCGGCCATTGCCATGAGAGCATAGTAGTCTCCCATGTTGGGAGTTAAAACCATGACACCAGTATTGAAAAGGTCCGGCCATCCGATATCAGGCGCGGCGGAAAAGGGAGCGGCGATGTCGAACAGCTCATCAGGAGCTCTGTAGGCAACTACATCGGCATCAATGTAGACAATTTTGGAGAATTGAGTCTGCCTCCAAAGATTAACTTTGGTGAATGCCGAATGCAAGTCGGGCCGGTTCATCAGGTATAGGTTCGCGGGTCGAGCGTTGCGTATGCGCGGGACGGGGATGACATGATCGTAGACAGCCTAGGGCAGAAGATAATGAGTTTGCAGTTCGGAAGACCACAGAGGTCGCGTAGAATAGGCAATGGCATACCTTGAGTTCAGTGATGACCTCAGCCGAAACGGTATCGAGCGTGACCAGGACCGCCAGCTGTTTGGAAGTGCCGGCATCGCGGAGAGAGTGAGCAAGAACCAATGCGCCTGACCGCAAATGTGTTAATCAAGGGCTCGAAAGGGAATTGGAGACGCCGAACTGACCTGGTAGGTATGTGTCGTTCAACAAAAGCTGGGTGAAAGTGGCGGTTAGCTCTTTGTTTACTTTTCCCCGTCTCCCTCGCTATTCAAGTTTGCGATGCCAGTTTGGGAAGGACAAACCGTTGCGTAGACTTGATCCTCTCCACGAAGCGACGCCATCGTATATGTTAGGCGTTCCAAGATACAGGGCTCAAGAGCAGAATCGATGAGACAATGACAATGGGAAAATGTCAGCGAATGGCCATGAACGGTATTATACAGGTTTGTTCAGTTGCGGTGCAGAACAAGAGCGGCACGACAAAAGTTGTTTGTAGGTAGGGTGACGGACAGCGGATAGGTGTGGCGGGGATGGCGAGCCGTGCGTCCCAGGTCCAGGTCCCGTCCAGGTGACAGTCTGGTGCGGAGAGAGAGAGTGTATGTAGGTGGGAGCGCGAGAGGGAGGTGTGGAGTGGGCACACAGCAAGGGCGGACCAGGGTAACCTTGTCGTACACAAGCAGCTGGCAAAAGGTAGCCTATGAATTGATGTGGTATCCTCCCGTATTCAGTCAACGCAGGCCCGACTTGAGGACGACTGCTGGGGAACACAAGAAAAAGTTGGGAAATTGGAAAGAACGTCACCAGAAATGGCCCAATATCTCGGACGTGGTGGATAGGAAGGCACCGACGTAAATGTCTGTGGCTCGTAATCATACCATTAGCGGGAAACCGGTGTTAGTCGCGATGCCAGGGTTGTCATTTTAGTTTATCTTAGAGCTGGCGAAGTTGGAGGACGTACAGCTAGCTGCAAGGCGTTGGCAAGCTACGGGTAGCCTAAGCAAGGTCAAGCAAGCAAGCACCTTTACCTCCTCGCGAAAACTACAAGTCGTTGGCAAGGAAGCCGATGATGCGCGACCAGGGACCCAGGTAGAGCGATGCGGGCTCGGATAGGACAGAACGGATGGCGTAGTCCTTGGAGAGCAACACTAGCGAAGCTGTTGCAGCAAAGCAAATTGCGACTTGCAAGTGGGCGGCGATAGCTGGGCGATATGTTAGCGGTTAACGATAAAATGAGGTTATGGATCTTTGGAGAGATAGTAAAAACGAAACCTCTTTTCATCCGTCAAACCCTCACGGTGCTGGGTCAGGGAGCAGACCAGGACTTTTCTTTGCTTCTTCCGGTGACGAAAAGAAGAAAAAGAAAGAAGGATGGAAACGAAAGCTAGGATGACGTTGCGCAGTCTGACGTTGCGAGGCAGGTGAACTTTGAGTGCGCTTTCCCCAGCTGGGCCCTTGCGCCTTCGTGTTTGGAAGCCCCACCTGGCAGGAGCTCTAGGTAAAGTCTAGACAGACAGAAGCGCAACAAGGTACGTTTCGAGTAGGTAGGTAGGTGCTTACCTAGGTGAGGTACTTAGGTACGTTACTAAGGCGGGTCCCTCTTAGGGTAGGTAGGTCCCTCTAAACTGTGAACCGGCTCACCGTCATTGCCTAGCGAGTACGGGTACTTGCAATGTAATGTCGAGATTCTATAATCTCTTGGTTCTGATCAGCCCCGCAACGATACACGAGGAGCTTCAGCAACCCCTTCTTAATTATTTGTTGAGCCTCGACTGCGATGACTAGGTAAGGCTAATCCCCTCCCCCCCTACTTCATTCCCTAGCTTGACGGAATTCCAGACACGCGGGCGATGGCAGTTGTGTTGAACAGCCACACGCGACTCAGATGTATTAGGAGCCATTCTTCTCGCTGTTTGGAACGCTTTCTGCACCCACTCCTGGCATGTCCCACAATATGCCACCTTTGACTGTCTCCGTGCCTCGAGCCCTCTATCTCAGTGATGTAAGGCACACAATCTTGACTTCGTAATACCTCTTTCTGGCTTATCACGGCCAAAGGAAAACGCGGTCTTGGTTGGAAGATGGACAATGGAGCCATATAAATCCTCGGGGTTCATTGAGAACAATGGCTAGTCTCCAACACAGTTTGTGACGTATCCGGATATTAGGCCTACCATGCGTTATAGGTGCATCGTAGTAGTGCAAGCAAGGCATGGCGTTCAAGCTGGGGCGTATCCTCCCTTGTTAAAGTACCTACCTAGGTAGATGAGAAAAACATCCTTGAAATGAAGCCAGATTCAAGACCGCGTGCGCGGCACGCGATGTCGTCGTAGTCGAAGAAGAAAAGAAAATTGCTTCCCCCCCCCTAAGCTCAACTTGACCCTGCACACTACATCAATTTGTTGGCTTCTCCAAGGGTATCGAATGATATGTTGGATATGTTCTGACACCCAATTTCCTTCCATGACTGCCGTGCCCTCAACGGCCATGCAGTATTACCTTGAAAGTCACCACGCAGTACTATACACTTTCACTCTCCTCACCAACTTACCTACAGGTAGGTACAGTCATGTGTAAAAAGTCTGGGCTCACTGACACGCCGTAAGGTGAACCCAGACTTGTTGTTACACGTGACTGTAATCATCCCGCCATACATGATCGTCCAATGTATACACTGCTTATCCCTACCACGACGCCCTCAAAGGGTAACTGCGGTCCAGTTGTGCATGGCCATCTCTAGCCGCCGTAGCCATTCTTGATTGAATCATGGACAGGTAGGAAGGCGGGCGGAGCGGGGCCACCACCTTTCCCCCATCAACACTGCGGATTTCAGATGTGCTTGAAGGAAGCAACAGCCAACTCAAACCCCACCTTCCTTGCCCTCACCCCTCTTTTTTGGAGCCCTCGAAACTTTGTCCATTGAGAGAGAGCGACGACACATTTCGCCGGAGCTCCCCCGCATCTGCTGTACCGTATGTATCTTTGCATTGGAAATCCGTCATTCAAAGGCAAAGAGAAAATAACGTGAAGCCAAGCAGCAACCTCCCCTGCCATAGTGATGATCCTCATTGTTTGTATCTGGCTAGCCGTGGCGCCTGGGCCATTTCTTGCCATTGGTGGTAAACTCTCTCCCTTCCATGACCGAGACGTGTATAGAAAGGATATCCTTCTCTTACTCAAAATACTAGGAGAACAGAATGAGGGTGCCCTGGTCCCTTCCAGAGACTCTGAGCCGAGCTAGACGCGGGCACTGAACTGAGGTTTGATTTCGGCGTTCAACCCTCTTCCTCCATCTCTCACTAATCCAACGGCCCCCAACCGCATACCCTGTCCAGGCCTTTTCGCTTTTCGTATCGCCTTCCTGCAGCATTGCGAGTAACGCAACTGAACTGGCGGGTCCAAACTGCAAGCAGTCAGCTGCATCACGTCAGCCTGCAATGGATATCCATTCGTGGGGCCGCCGCTCTGCTTCAAACGAGGTTGTCCACCCCGCTAATCAGGGCCGATCAGCTTACCAACCAGAACTACAGACACTGCTCACGACTGTAAGTCATGAAGCCTTTCCATCCCTCAAACCACTCTACTCCCATAGCCGTCTTCCATCGTATGCCTCGGTTGCTCAATTCTCGTCCCCGCCATTCGCGCCCCCCCACTGTATGTTCCGTTTTGGGATGCGACCCTCAACCGTGGTACTATCTGTTGGATGGAACCCTGCGATATATCGAGTAACCATATGCTGCAAACTGGGTCACGAGTGTGGATCGTCTGGGGAAGGTGTACTCTATAACGATGCATCTTACGTCATCTAGACTGATGGAACATCGAAAAGAACGACGCAAGCCAAGCGGGTGCCCAGACGCACAGAGACATCTTACAGACCAGCTCTTGATCGTATCGTGCGGGACCCAGCAGCGCGAGTGGATGGATTTTCTGCCATCGTTATTAAGGGTCCATCCAGTACGACAGGCACATCGGCAGACCAATCTGCCAGTGACCTATCGTCTCTACTGCAGCTTAGTTGACCGTAGAGGAGCGCGCTCAAGTCCGACATCTACTTTCTGCACAACCTTCTCTCGTCTCCGAAATAGCCAAGTCTGGACCTTTATTTCAAAAGACGGGCGCTGACTGCCTTCTCTTTTTATAGTCGTCGCGGCAGCCCGCATCGGAACCAGACTCGCATCACGTAACCTTTCTCAGTCTTCCTTATGAGCTTCGTCTAGACATCTACGAGCTACTGCTCCTGGCCCCGGACCCTATCGTCGTGTCCAACCGCAGACGTCAGCTCTATGTGAAAGTCGAGCCGCCTGAACACCAGATCGCCTATCTGCGTGCCCCTCGACCGAGGCCCCGTGTAGTGACGCTCGCGTACAGAAACCCACATGTCGAAATCTTGCGGGCATGCAAGCAGATAAACCATGAAGCCACTCCCGTCCTCTACCGCAAAAATAAGTTCATCGCCGGCCTACAACTGAGGAGAAAGATGGGGGCTAGGGCCGAACTCACAGACCTGGCTGGCTTCTTTCTCTACTCGTTGCGCCCTTCAACATTGCTCCAGCTTTCCGCCATCAACTTCCGAGGTGCCTGCCATTGTAACCAATGGCTTGCCTTGTCATCTGGAGCTGGGTATGCCACTACCGGCGACGAGTTGAGTAGCACGTGTCCTGGTGGTTGGGACTACCTCTCAAAGGCGTGCTTGGTGATCAGCAATGCCCTGTCGAGTTTTAATAAAGGTAGTATACCTTTTCCCTTGCCCTCCAAGTCCTTGTGCTGAGACCTGTTGGACTTAGATTCCGGAAGGCTCAGGGTTTGTGCCTTTTGCAACGCCAGCTGCGGCCGGCACTTCATTATCTGATAGCAACAGTGGCCCAGAGCCCGCTGAAACTGATTTTCATGACTTGCTGACGGTCACTGGTAAAAGAAAGTGGCAGCGTAAGGGCGAATTCAATATCAGTGCAGACATCGTCGGTCAGCTCTTACCCTGATCTATGACGGGTGTATAATTATATGCTTGTAATTCATAATCGTTACTGCAACTAAAGCGGTCCTCTTTCGGCTATCCAAGCTTCCTAGCACGATCAGTCGTGTGTTCCTTGTGCCGTCCATTCGATAAGACCTAGTTTGTTCTGTTCGCGTCTAAAGTGCTGTATCCCCGGTAGCATTTCTCGTCCAAGCTTTTATCACGGCCCACGCCCAAGAGCTGTTTCCTACAGATCTTTCTTGAAAGCGTGCTCCGGCTTGTGGGTAGTCTCGTAGTCGATATGTACGTAGGCCCGTTCCACGTCCGGAAGACTCTCTAGTTTGATCTGCAACGCCTCGGCCACGTCGTGCGTCTCGGTGAGAGTGTTCTCAGGGTTCATGACTATGTCCACCTCGGCGATGAGTCGGGGCCCGGAATGGTAGACGCGCACCGTGTCAATGCCCTGAATGGCGGGGGAATGCGTCAGGCAGACATAGGTGATGAGCTGCTGCGTTTCAACCGAGGCAGTGACGCCGACGAGCAGCATAAACTCTGCAATGGCGGTTCGCAGCCAGATTCCCGATACGACGAGCGATAGGACAATGGCGCCCACTGGGTCGATATACCATTTGAGCTTGGAACCCCCGACGGACGTGAGGATGCCGAAACCGTTGACCATCAGGTCGTTACGGTGGTCAGACCAGAGGATGTGGACCTGGGAGTAACGGTTTCTCAAGGAAAAGCAGTAGAGAAAGAGGATAAATTTGGTTGCGAAGGCGACGCAAACAGCCACAATGGGCTCGATGCGGAACGGCTTCGTCTCTTCCGTCGTGGGCCGGCTCGCCAGCTCGTGCGCGGCGAAGGCGATGATGATGAGTGAGACCGAGATCATGAGGAAGCAGAAGACGATGTTGCCAACGGTCTCGAGGCGTGCCTTGCCCGCGGGAAAGCGGCGCGGGTTGACACGCCTAATGGCGCGGCTGGCGAGAATGAGCGTCAGGTTGCTCAGGGGATCGAAGATGGCGTCGGCCATAGTGGTGATGAGAGAGAGTGATCCCGTGCTGATGGCGGCGTAGAGCTGCAGAGCGGTGAGAGCGACATTGGCGCCGAAAGAGCCCCACACGGCGATGCGGAATTGGAGTTGGTCCTCGCCGGCCTCCTGGCGGGCCTCGGCGACGTGCTCGTCGACAGATTTGAGCATGCGCTGGATGGCGGCGTTTTGGGTTTCGTAAAATTGCCGAACCTTGTGGCTCTGGCGCCAAGGGCTGGCGCGGCCGCGGCCGCCATTGCCAGTCGGGTCCCTCTTACGCGAAGTATTGGCTTTGATCTGGGCGAGATCCTCGGGGGTCTTGAAGGCAGAGGAGAGGCCATAAGGGTCCGAATCAGAGCGCAGGCCGGGCTGTCCCTCGACGTCGGTAATGGCGGTGGAATGTCGAGAGGCAGCTTCGTACTTCTCGGGCTGGGAGGAGATGGGAGGAGACGATGTAGTCTCGAGGGCCGTACTAGAAGCAATGGCGGCAGCGTCGTCGCTAGCGAGGGACATGGAGCCTCGGCGAGACGAGTTGGCGAGGTGAGATGGTGTGTGCAGGCGGAAGGGGTGCGGGTGCATCGTAATACTCTTGGAAAGGTCGGGCTCCATGCCAGGCGGGATACCAGAAGGCTATGAAGAGAAATACAAGTGAAGGATGTCGTTGGCTAGCTTGGATAAGTGTTGCCCACGTCGGCGTGACGAGTTGAGAAGTACCGTAATAGGAAGACAGGCTACGGGATGGAAGAGAACCGCGAGGTTCGCGGGCATCGGAGGGAGTTATGTCGGGCGGATATGTCGGTTTGGCGCTTATTCTTCAAGGAAGAGCTATGGGACCTCATCCTGCAGGGTTGCTATGGCCGGCAAGCAAACAACGCGCGCAACTGCCACCCTCAGTCCAGTCTGGCCGGTTGGAGCAAAGATGAACAGGCGGCAATCGACAAGACAGGCTTTTCTCGGGGCAGGCTCGGTTTGAATGTGAGATGCGGAGGCTTGTCTCCTCCCTCTGATTCCCTGTTCACGCGTCTGACTTATCTCCGTCAAGTCCTGATTAGTTCGGCGTAAATGCCCCCAAAGTGGAGGGCAGCAGCATGAAGCGCAGGTCGCAAATCGCGCAGAGAATGTGAGCCAATCACTTGCTCACGGGGGAGGGTTGCATGGACGGCGGATTGCGGCTAGATGTGAGAACAGAGTCTAGCAGCTCATCGTTCGCCTCACAAAGCTTGTGTCTTTGTGCGAAAAAAAAATCGGCCATGTGTACGGCGTTATGCTCCTGGGTTGAGAGTTGGTGAGCTTCTGGGCGGAACATGCGGAAGGACTCCTTCACAACGGCAACTCCACGATAGACATGAGGCGGGCGGGCGACATTCGAAAGCAATATCAGCTAAGGTTGAGAGAGTTCATACATTAGAGCACCTTGGGTGCCTAGACTGAGAAGAGGTCAAGCCCAATTGTCAAGTCTTGCGACTCATATGAGTGTAACGACGGCATGCGCGAGCAGCTATGCTACTGGGCAGCTCAAACCGTTGGTGAATGACATTGCGAGCCGGCACCTCCATGTCCTTTGAGAGCTGACAGTGCAGTGCCAGCGAGACGGCGGTTCTTGACGGCTTCGTCAGGATGCACAGGTGACGGTAGTGAAGAAAACGCTCCGGGGTTTATGCTGATGCTGGTGTCATCTGGGATAGTCGAGGTCGTTTATCATCCCGAATAGCAGGTTGCAGGTCCTCCACAGCGGTGGCGGTAGTGGGGGAGTCAAGATTGACACTAGAGATCGAGTACCTGAAAGGTTGGTAGGTAGGTAGGTACCTTGGCAGGTTAGTAGATGGTTAGGTACGTATACCTAGGCAGCTGTGCCAATTTCCGCACTTCTGGGATGCGATGTGTCGCAACTGGAGGACCGCCAACAGCACAAGATGAGGGCCGATCCGCGTGGGCAACAGCAACGAAGGTGTGTAGGTAGTTGTAAAAACGCCGCGGGTTGCGGTTGTACTTTATATTATGAGACGAAACGTCGTCTAGTGAAAGCAGCGACTGAGACTGGCGGGAAGGAAACCCCGTTCTCGTCCATACTTCCCGTCGCGCTTCGGGCGTGACCGGAACCCAAGAACCCCCACCCGTTTGGAGAAGGCATTGACCGGTTGGTCTCCTCCATCGTCCGCATGGGTCCTCAGCCGAAACCACGCCATCCACGATGGCCGGCTGGCTTGTTTTTCCTGCTGGTGCTCTCTCTGTTGGGCTTGAAGGGCGCTTGCGGTCATCTTCGGGAAGAATCGGCAGGGTAGAATCGATAGGAGATAGTCAAAAAGCATGAACCCCGTCACATCAATCACCATAGGCATGCGACGAAACAGATCGTCATCGCAAGTCAAAGTACAAGACCCTGGATCAATGACAATCCAGCCTCGTTCAGCCTCCTACAACTTGGCCTCAGGCTTTGCCGCAGTCTCCTCCTCAGCCCTCTCCAAGATCCAGTCCCCGACATCTTTGAAGAACTCGTCCTTACACAAGTCCGCGTGCAGTTGATGGTACGCCCCCTCGTAGGGCTTGTGCGTGCTGTCATCGATGCTCTGTGCGCCGAGCCATTTCTTGCTGGCGTGAAAGCACGTCGTCTTGTCCTCGGTGCCGTGGCCGAGCCACAGGCTCCTGACCTCTGGGCTGAGCCGCAGCTTACCGTTGGCCAGCGAGTCCGTCCTCTCGAGCATCCCCGCGAGCCCTTCTAGCGTACCCGTGTTGTGCATCATGTCGTCGTCGCGGATGCTCTGCTGCACCGCCGGATCGCGCGTGAGTTTATCGGCAGGGATTTCGTTGACGAGCTGCTGGCGTGGCAACACGCGGCTCGCCAATTTGCCAAAGAACACCTTCAGAAAGCTCGGCTCCTCGCCGGGTGTGAAGGCGATGAAGGGGCTCTCCAGAAGCCACCCGCGCACTTGAGCGACAAGGTCGTTGTACTGCGGGTCGCTTGCCAGCGCAAGAACCTCGCCGCCACCCATAGAGTGACCCATGACGAACAAGGGCACGTTCACGGCCGCCGAGGACGAAGACGAGAGCTTATCACGGATGAAGGCAGCCACGTCAGCGAGCACACGCGACGTCGGGCCCGTAAGGCCCCTATCGGCGGGCTTCGCGGCGCTGCGGCCCCATCCACGTTGGTCCCAGCTAAAGACCTGGATGCCGCGACCTGCAAGGTAAGGGAAAAGCTCGTAGTAACGGCCGACGTGATCGCTGAAGCCATGGACAAAGACGAGCTTAGCCCTGATGGTGCCTTGGGGCTGCGATGCAGGGTTAGCGAAAAGTAGATTGGTCCAAGGGCGGACGAGCTGGGAGTGTATCTGCGTGTGTGCCTCTTACCGTCCAGGTCGTGCTGTGCAGCTTGTGACCGTCCACCTCAAATACGCTCTGAAGTTCAGTCGCCATGGAGATAATGATAATGATGATGATGGGTGACGGGGTAATGAGGAGCGCTGTGGCAAGGAAGACGGATTTGAGGTTTTCTGGCGTTACGGACCAGACTTGACGACCATCCCTAGCAGGGTGTATTCGTAGGGAAATATATCCTGTTGTTTTCCTTTCACGTGTTACTGCGGTTGTCTGATTCAAGACATTCGGTTACTGGTGGCGCTTATGTAGCAGTCCGCTTGCAGACAGGGGAAGCTTGGACCTTGAGAGCAGAGCCACCCGGGAGCTCCAACTCTCCCCAAGTCTTTCATCCGCTTTGGGCTCGGCAAGGAAAGCGGGAAGCGTAGGATCACGCAGACGCGGAATTGCTACAACCCGCTAAGCCAGTCTTTTCGGGTGCGTATTTGTCTTCGTATTTGTTTGCCGGAAGGGGGGGTAATGATACTAGGATGCTTACAGATTACCAAGTCACGCCGACAGCCCACATCAAATCTTGTGTGCCTCGCGGGCGGCCGTACCTCTCGTAACTGTAAATCTTGATTTTTTATCTGAAGACCCCAAGTGTCCATCCAGACCGAGCGGAGTAGATTCTATCAGATGAGTCGCGCGTAAATGCTATGAAAGTATACAAGATGCCAGCGCTCAGATGCACCGCAGTTACACGGGACTTGCCGTGGCTGCTCAACGGCACGTGGGCGGCTTATAACATCAGAACACAAGGAAAGAAATGTATTGAGGGGCTGCTCTTGGTGTATGAGCCTCTTCGTCTGCTATATCCAAAGGAACACAAATCGATCACCGCCGCGGTGTCTGCTCCTTGGTTTCCTCATGCGACTGAATCCCAGCATCCTCCTCAGGATCCTCTCGCTCAAGGTCGGACTCGATCTCTTCCGACTCTGTGATATGGCCTCTGTCGCCGGGTCGAGAATCGGGAACTTCACCACCGCTCATCTGCCACTCCATGAGTTTGCTGAACGCGCTGTTCGGGTCAGCCGATAGATCTGTATACTTGCCAATCTCGGCAACGCCGCCGTTGTTGGAAAGCACAATGATCAAGTCGGAACGCTTGATGGTTGACAGTCGGTGCGCAATCGAAATGGTCGTATTCTTGCCTTTGAGTAACGAGGCGAGAGCAGCGTTAACAAGCGTCTCAGACTCAGCGTCCAACGCCGAGGTAGCTTCATCAAGGATGAGGATGTCGGGGTCCTTGATCAGTGCTCGTGCAATGGCAATCCGCTGCTTTTGGCCACCAGACAACTGCGAGCCTCGGGCACCAACCTGTGTATCCAAACCGGCAGGAAGATCGCTAATGAAGTTGCAGTTTGCCTGACGAGCTGCTGCGATGATTTCGGCTCGTGTGGCGTTAGGTTTACCGTACGAGATATTTTCGGCAATGCTGCCGGAGAACAGGACGGGCTCTTGCGCGACCATGCCGATGCGACGACGCAAAGACTTGACGTTCATCTTTGAAATGTCGACGCCATTGATAGTAATAGAGCCGGAGGTAGGATTGTAGAAACGCAGCAACAGGCTAGCAACAGTCGACTTACCGCCACCAGACGGTCCTACTACACAAACGTTGCTACCCCAAGGGATCTCAAAGTTTAGGTCGTTGAATATCTTGACTGCCGGGCGTGTGGGATATGCAAATGAAACATTTGAGAATTTGATAGGACCTTGTGCCGACTTGACCTTGAGCCCAACCGTCTGAGAGATGCCGGGCTTTCTATCCTGAAGCTCGAATAAACGACTGGCAGCGCCAACTCCCTTCATGAGCTCGGAATAGAAAGACGATAGACCGAACAAGCTGGATCCTGCGAAAGCCGTGTACATCATGAAAGAGGTCAGGTCCCCAAGACTCATAGCTCCGTCGCGAACGAAGTTGCCGCCTACAATGAGCATGGCGAGAATGGTCATGTTGCCGGCCCAGCCCGTCGAGGCAAAAAAGGTTGCTGCAATCGTAGACTCCTTCTTTCCCAAAGCAAATATCTTCTTGACCTGGTTGTTATAGCGAGCGACCTCTTGGACCTCACCAACGAACGCCTGACTTGTTTTCACGTTCCCGAGGCGCTCTTCAGCAATTTTGGTCAATGTGCCCAAGTTCTTCTGAATGCCCTTGCTCACGTTCCTGATAGCGCGTCCGTAGAAGAAAGCGCCGACAGCAACGGGCGGCAACATGATCAGGAGTAGTCCAGTCAGCTTTGGGCTAAGCCAAACCATGACACAAAAGCCGGCCCCTCCGCTGAACAGAGCTCTCAGACCATCGCTAATGTTCTGGGTAATGGACTTGCCAACAATAACAGTATCTGAGCTGAGGCGTGAAATGAGATCTCCAACTCGGTTCGCATCAAAGAACTCGGCGTCTTGAACATATGTTCTCCTGTACAGGGACGATCGTAGGCGGGCGACAACTCTCTCGCCGACAATGCGCAGGAGGATGACTCGTCCAAAGTTGGCCATGGCACCAACTGTCAAAATGACGCCCAGAGCAGTAAAGAACTGCGGCATAGTCAGTCCGAATAAGCGCGCATCCTCAGAAGGGTCTTTGGTAGCCATGTCGAGGATTCTGCCGATGGAGAACGGAATGGACATGGTGACGCTGGACGAGATGACGAGGAAAACCATGGCGATTCCGAGCCACCGCAGCTCCGGTCGCGCAATCTTGATCAACCGCCATATCTCCGAGAAACCAGCCTTCCCGCCTTGTGATTTGCCCTCCTTCGATAGCTTCGCGCTCAGGTTAACCTGAGCGGCTTTGGCGGCCCTCTCGGTCTTTTGAAAGTCGTCAAGTTGTTCATCATCCTGGATAGCCGGCTCGACCTGCTTCAAATTCTTCTCCTTCTCATGAGCCGTCTGTGATCGTGCAATAGGTTTTGAATCTTGTTTTCTGGGAAATCCGGTCGAGAAATAACGCAGGACGGCAATCGGCCCGGGCAGTTGAGGCTTTTGAAGGAATGGAGTTGGTTGTCGTCGCGCAAAACAAGGAGTAGCGGCAGATCGCGTCACAGATAATGACTGAACCGAATTGGAGTTCAAGTACCTGATCTGTGACATGAGGGGATGTTGTAGGGTCGTTGATGTCGTCGAGGCTTTGCGCAGGCCGGGGAGAGTCGCCAACAGCGAGCTTGAAGTCGTAGGGCAGCTCCCGACGCGGTGCGGGAGCAACACCGCTGATCGCGCTACTCCCGTGGCCATTGTAGAATGGGTTCTGAATGATATTATCTCATGGGAAGCGCATAGTCGAAGAGCGTGGAATAATGAGGCGTCATCATACGAAGGAAATGGGCGAGTTGCGCATGGATTCAACAGTCAAGGCCCGGCTGATTAAAGGACGGGAAGGATTCCGTCATCGGTCTGCGCTCAAAATTTACAGGCTCAAATGCACCCTGTGACCGGTGACACGCGCTGCAACCGGGCCCCTCGGTGATAGTCGGGCCGACAGTATCTTTGCGCCGAAATTTCACAGCGTATCAGCCGAGGAAGGCAGGAGCATCATCATCGACCCAACCAAGCCTTGCTAGCATGCAGATGACGGCGCTTCCTGCCTCTTTTGTATCATTTATTTCCTTCCATCTGTCTTTGCTATCGCTTCCAATCCTTTCGCATAGACACGTACTATGGAAAGAATATAACGAACTCAGACAGAAAAGGGACATAAATAGAAGATATCAAACCACGACCGCTTTTCGGTTTTTTTTTGTCCGCATGGTTTAAATTGGTATTTCAGATGTTTAGTAACTAGCTGCCTGTTCTGCATTCTAATGGCCCACAGCTTCTCAATTCTCTTACATACACGGTATCTAGACACTAGTGAGAATGCAGCGGAACCTGACGCTGCAATTGCCAAGTATGGTCTGGCACAAGGGAAGACAACCTTGCTCCAATCTTGCCACAATTACCAACCAGGACTTGTGAAGGAGGAGAGATCGAGTATGATGACAGTCCCTGCCTCATGACTTAGCGTCAAAACAGTCCGGACTTAGTGATTACCGTTCAAGCCAAGAACGCGCCCAGCGTACTTTCTAGTATAGTATTACAAGATCCCTTCCAATGCCTTCAAATCGTCTTAGTTGCGTTGATGTCGGAGAGTCCGTGACAAAGACTTCCTCAAGCGCTGCCGTTGCTCTCCTTGCGCAGCATCTCGGCCACGTCAGCATCAATCCCATCATCGCCTCCAAGGTCCGGAAAGTCCTCTCCGTCAAGCCGGCGCCTCTTGTTCGCACCGTTGGCAGAGACAGGGATCGACTGGTACTGAGAGGCAAGGGCGGACAGCATTTCAATGCCAGATGCGGCGGGAGGCTGGAAACCCGAGTTTGAAGCTGAGCGTCCGCGGTCTGTATCTGCATGGCGAGGGGCGGCTGGCTCATCAAGGACAGGTGGGGGGGTCAATGCCTCCACAGAAGGAGGCGTGAAAGCCTCGATAGGCGGGGGAGTGAGTGCCTCCACCTCTGGTCTCTCCGGCTCTGGTGTCTTGGATGCTCCGTTGCCAGGGGATCGAGAAGCCTCATGGACGGGCAGACCGCGCATGATGGCTTGCTCGATCTCGCGTCTCTTCTCCTCAGTCTCCGCTTTGCGCGAGGTCAATTCGCTGTACTGTCTCTCGTCATTCGCCAGCGCCTCCTGGGTTACACCGAGAAGTTTCTCAAGTTCGCCAATGAGTCCTTTTCGGGCCTTGACACATTCTGCAACAGCCCCCTCGGCACTGGCCAGGCTTTTCAGTAGCCCGTTGAGGCGTGCAGCGTAGACGGGGGCGGACGGCACAGGTATCGAGGGGTCTGTGATCTTATCGAAGTCCTGATTGGCTGTGCTGATGGCCGTCTTAGTGGGCAGGTTGAGCTTTGAGACGTCCTGGTACGAGGCGACGAGCGGAGTGAGCTCAGGGGGTATAGACAAACCGCCTAAGCCGGGGCTGTTGAATGTTGTCTTTGCAGTTCCACGGGCCTTGTCAAGTTCTATCGTAGCGTCAGTACATCACAATGATATTCTTCGCAAGGGTGCGCCTACCATCAACGCGCGCTTCGATGGCCTGTTGCACAGACGGCTCGAAGATGAAGCGGTCTTTCCATACATCGATGACTCTCCGGAGCTTGTTTTGAATCTCAGCCGGTGCTCCCTTGTAGGCCAATGACGTCGCCTCGGCGATGACTGGAGAGAAAGCGATGAGAAAATCCTCCTTGTGCCGAGCCTTTGACTGTTGGGTAACCTCTACAGGTGTGTTAGTCATACCTTAGTTGTTGAAAACTGGACAGCAACTTCGTTCCCAGAGGCACTTACCGTTTGCAAGGTAAATCAGACTCAGCCTCTTGGTACTTGATGAATCGCGAAGGCGTTGCAACCAGAGCTGCACTGTGCGATCTGCATGCCGTCTATGGAAATAAAGTCAGCTTGTCCATTGATGGAAAGGGTGTGAGTCTGAAGTCTGAGTCGGTGGGTGGGCTCACTTGTGGAACATGATCCATTGTGCCGCAGTCGCAATGCTGTCATGGCTCTCATTTAAGGCTGACAGCTTCGCCAGCACAGCATCGTCGTTGTACGCCATGTTGGTCTGCTTGAGTGGGCCTAGAGGTGGTGTGTCTTTGGCGATTGCAACTGAGAGGGGAGAATTTAAGGAATGTGAAGGAAGTTGGAGTCGCGAACACGATCCAGGTTGTCTAAAGATTTTTTCCCCCGGGGAGAGCAAAGCCACATGCCCTGAGGCTGGGTATAGGATGTGTGTGAGTTGGCGACAATGACTTATAGCACGTATTCTTTTCTTTTTGGGGGGTTGCAGTCAAGGGGAAAAAAAGGTCGATGTGCAAAGGTGGGAAATTCCAGGTGAAGGACGCCGCCCAATGGGAAAGGTGGGCGAGGGGGGAAAAAAGGTCTACAATCAATCAATCACCGGGCCTGAAACTCCAGTAACAAACAAACACCCAACCTCCCCAACTTGCTTGCGCAAGTGTCCGGGTCAGTGCATAAGGCGGCTCTTCTTATAGAGAGATAAATAGTCTGATGGGCTGTAGACCTTGGGCAATAAGAAATGCGCTTCTTCTGATGAATTCGTGGGTTGGCCGGGAAGAATTCGATATTGATGTCAGCTTAATGGAGGTCGGATGGGATCAAAACAACGCTGAGGAATTAGACGTGGTTGCTCCTGTTCTCCCTAGCCACCTAGGACAGAAATTTGATTTGCAATACCAACGATATGCAACTAAGCAGCTCTTTATCTCCCCCTAACGTATCCGTAACCTTCCATGGTTGCATGGGGGTAGTTAGCTCGGACCAGAAAGGTGACACTGCTCGAAGAGAGCGCATTCAACTAACCGACAAGAACAGCTTCGCTGTACACGGCAATCACCGCTCCTGAGGTAGCCTCATATGCTATGCTGTACGTACCTATCCATCGAAAGTACCCTCTTTCCGTCACCTCGTCTTGCTCCTTCCGCCTACACCACACCCACGATTGCATCTGAATCCCGCTAATCAGGCGATCGCTTGCCAGTCGATACTCTTGCTTTGCGAAACTTTGCGCCAAGGCCTTGAGAAATCTTACCCTCACTTGCCCGCCAACACCCATCAACTGCGATTAGTATCTGGGCATCTGATCCTTAGTACTGAGCCACTTCGACCAGTTGTCCTCCTTTCCTTTTCGTTACCACAACACACAACTGTTATCAAAATGGCCGACAGATTCCCTTCCCTAGAAGATTTTGATTCGGGGGGTATGTACATAATAAAGCTATGAATGCATGGCCAAGCTGACAAGTGGCATGTAGCCCAAACCGACATCAAAGACTCAGGCGCCTCCCCCTCTGCCGACGACTTCCTTGCTCGTGAGAAGGCCCTCCTCGGCGATGATGCCGACCAATTCGCTACTGTTGACGACTCTGCTGCCTTCGGTACTGGCGATGACGACCTGCTGGGTGGCGGGGGTAGCGGCAACGTCATCAGCGAAGAGTCCACCTTCGAGTCGCAGTTCCCCGATCTTGCCAACCAGAATGAGGTTCGTTTTTCACGCCGTTCTGTCACATGTCTTGTCTTGTCTAAAACTGCATGAATAGGCTCTTGCTCCAGGTGCGATCCCCGGTGCCGGTATCACAGCGCCCAGCGTCAACTACAACTCCGGTTACAGCGCCTTCGTTGAGGAAGAGGAGGAGCCCGCAGTGATCCGCGAATGGCGCGAGAAGAGAGATGCACAGAACGAGAAGCGTGCGCAGCAGTTTGCCGCTCAGCGTGAGGAGACCATCAAAGAGGCCCGAGAGAATATCGACGATTTCTACAACAACTATAATGCCAAGAAGGAGAAGGGTATTTCCCAGACCCGCAAGGACGCCGAGCTGTTCCTGGCCAGCCGCGAGGACACAGTCTCCGGTGGTACGAGTTGGGAGCGGATTGCGAAGCTGGTTGACGTTAGCGGAAAGGGCGCCAAGGGCGGCGCCTCTGGCTCTGGCAAAGAGCGCTTCCGTGAACTCCTGGTCAGCCTGAAGAAAGACGAGAAGGCACCAGGGGCCAGCGGCTACTAGGTGTAACGGATGAACGTTTGGATGATGTTAGCGGTGACCGCCTCATGAGAGCGCCGGCTACCGCGCAAGAACCGATATTTTGGCGTTGTTGGCGGTGCTAGTGCGCATATGTATTCTAGATGACCTTTTCTGCCACACAAGGCGCAAGAAAGGGTTGCCATTTGGTAATTCTGGCGGGCATAGTCAAGAAACTTTCATGATCGAGACGTTACCACTTTCCTCACCTCACCAACACAGCAACGTATGTAACAGAAGAAACCCAGTCTAGTGCCAATTCGGTCTATTGATCACCCTAAGAATCATGCAGTCCGACCCCGAGTCTCTCCCTCTACCGAGCAGAATACGTCGCGAAACAGCTACTCCTTACCGAAGTAAGTGTTGTAGCCGAGAACCTTGCGGCCGGCGCCATAGAAAGAGGCTATTTGATTGTAAGTGCCCAGCTCAGGGAAACCTTGCTCATGGTCTGTAACGTACCACCGAGTGTTCCCCACAGAAGAATAACGTAGGGGGTCATGTAGAGACGGCTGCGAGGGTTCTGCGATAATTAAGTCAGCCCCTGTCAGTCGATGGGTACGCAGGTTGTATGGTATCGGGGCAATTCGACATACGATCTTCCAGAGACGGGTGTGCTCCTTGTAGGCCGTCTGATAGAACTTCTGGAGCTCTGGGACCTTGTTCTTCGCGTCGACGAGACTGTGCAGACGTCAGAACTACCCTCGTACGATGATTGTTTCTAGCATCTAGACTGGAAGCCATTGGCGGTGAACCGCGCTCAGATATCCGCGACGGAATTATTCGTCTCGAAGGGAGTCACGTACCCCATTTTGATCGATCAATTGCGATATGCTCGGGGGTTGTGGTGGTTTGCGGCGTCGTAGGCTTCTCGAATGTCAACTTTGAAGGACGGACGGATCAATCAGGAAGATGTGATCATGCCTTGGATTGGTGGGCCGAAATGACCAAGTGACTAAGCAGGCCCGCTTTCCAGCCAACTCCCAGCGAATGGCACTGATTTTTGGTCTGAGACCGAAGTTCTTCTCATTTGACAGCTCTTACTTGCAGCTCCAGCCTCGCGATGCAGCCTACCCCCAAATCTTTGCTTTGGTAACGTATCGGCTGCTATGCTTGAAGCCTTGCGTTCATACAATTTTGCCTCGGTGGTTCTTTACGCGGGGCAATGCAACTGGCCTCGCAATGCCTCTGTCACTTGAATAGAGCACGCCTTGGCCGGCGACAACCATATCAAGGACTCGATGCGCTTCGACGAACGGCCTCAACCCTACCGAGGAACGCTTGCAAAAGCTTATACGAGTCTAGCACGGAAGTTGGCCATTACGGCACCGAATCCCTCGAATCCAATATTTCGGCATCGAGCCCGATGCCCTCTTCCCCGCGCCTTGTCGTCGGTCCCAGCTCATCGAGAGAGAGAATATCAAGATTAGACACTGTTTCCACATTTTCGGGCGACATAAAGCCGCGGAAATGGCTTGCACCCAATTTAAAGCCGAACGTGCAGGGTCTGGGGAAGCGGCTGAGATCTAGTCATGACAGACAAACCGTCTCCTCAAGAGCCGTTTGTTCTCCAAACGAGTTCAACCTACGGCTGGTGGACATGTCCAAGAATCAGAACAACGCCTCCTTCTGGCTCAGTGTTCTTGAAGCAGCACAGAGACAGCATGGACAGGACGGCGTCTTGGCCGTTTGGAATGTCGTGCAGCATCGCAAAACATTATACGATGTGAAAAGCGAAGGAGTGGAGTCGTTTTGGAGAACCATCTTGGAAGCTATCCTCCCCAACGAGGACGAGCTTAAGGATGCGTTTCTCTTCTCAGAATGGTTACTTCGTGCTCACGCTGTGCAGTGGCCGTCGTTATACACGACAACAATATCATACTGTCTGCGCAACGGACAGTACCGCAGAGCGATGCAGTGGCATTTGCGCCTGATGCCGAATTTTGATCCTGGGCGAGAAGAATTCAGTGTTTTGCTGCAGAAGTTTGCCGTCACTGCTAAGGCCGATTTGCAACAGACGTTGCAAACTATCTATGTCACATCCCTACACCGCAGCCTATACAATGAGCTTATACCCCTTCTCTATCGCAGTGGCCGTTCCCAACATTGCAACGAATGGCGCAGTCTATTTATACGTCAACGCGACCTACCTCGCCCAACTCCCGACTCGCAGCCTTACTTAAGGTACCTCGCTCGATACTTCCCATCCATCACTCTCGAGCTTGAGGAACAGATGGTCTTGGGCCTGAACTCATCATCATATTGGAACGAACAGGACGACGCCCTCTGGGATGCTATGAAGGGCGCGCAGGGCGATGAAGACGACGCCCCAGGGAGACGACACAGCGACACCCTGGGCGCAAGGTGGTTCGCAAGTTCTTGGATACCGCTCGACTTCGCAATCCATGCTGCCCATGCCTTGGGCGTGCGCCAAATCGGCCCTTTATCGTTGCAGTCAATTGCGTTGCGCGAATCTACGGCGCATGGAGTCGTGGCCCGCATTGAGCAATTGCGAAAGGTTAACATTGGCATCGGATGTTCAGTGTATTCGCTGGTTCTCAAACGATTTGCTGAGAACGAGGATAACGAACTGCTGTATGAACTGCTGCATACAGACATCCACCCAGACGTCTTCGATGATCCACTAATATTGGCGAGCATTCGTGACAAAGCCTTGAAAGAGGGGGCCTGGAAAACGCATCGGCTACTGCTTGCAATTCAACCTGCCATGGTCGAAGAGTCGGTTAACTCGACGTCGAACCTCTTACTGCAAGAATGTGTCAAGCATGGCCAACGCAGACAGGTCTTGGCTTTGCTAGACGACATGAGGTCGATGAACATCGATGTGTCAACAGCAACAGTACGACACATTTGCTCGAGCGTCCTTGACATACTACCATGGAACCCAAGGACCACTGCCACGAACCGGGATGCTTGGAACATGGCTATCGCCTGTATTACGCGCCTGGTATTGCTCAAAAAGCCTGTCCATTCGCATTACTGGCAAAAGATCATATTTGGCCTTGGCAAGTTTGGCCGCATTGGCGAGTTGGAGGACCTATGCCTTGGCATCATCGACACTTACGGGAAGCTCTGCGCTTCGGAGGGTGGTCTCCTGCCCGTTCATTACCTGGATGTGCCACCTTCGGATCTAGATGGCCACTCCACCGACGTTCTTGTGCCGGCTGATTTGTCTATCACCCATGAACACCACCCGGTGCGCCGGATCTTCGACAATCGCGCTTTGCACGCCGCAATTGTTCGCTGGGGGTTCAAGGCAGGCTTCTCAAAATGCAGCAGCAACTGGCGCATGGTTTCTATCAACTCAACAGCCACTTCAGAGTACTCCGTCGCTAGGGGTGTGCGGTTTCTGGCTATACTTAACGAGCGGGGTATCCCATTCCGAGCCGCTGTCGTTCGAGAGGAGGTCATCAGGTGCCTAGCTAGGGCATATTTACTACGGGATAAGAGAGCATCTCGTAACAAGGCTGACCTGCCACCTCTTGCAGCCATGCACGAATTGTTCAACAAAGCAGCTGGACGGGATTTGCTTCCGGAAGTTCCCATGCTGCAAGATATGATGGAAGAATATCAAGGAAAGGCCACATGACAGGCATTGAGCACGGTGTTACATTATCTGTAATAACGCATATGCCGTAGGTGTTTATGCGTGGAATGATCCCAAGATCATCACAGGTGAATGTTGGACCCCGGGTTCGCTCATTGTTCTAGTCAAATTCATACATTTAATGTTTACACTTCTCGTCTCTCATTCGTGGCGCCTTGCACAGACAGGCTGGGCGCCCCGCACTTCACATTCGGCCAGCCCATCTTACTCGTCGCCGCCGTGCTTGGGCTTGATCACCAGCAGAATGATCATTCCCGCGATGATGATAAGCAGGAGGAGGATAATCTTCCGCTTGGTCGTCTTTTTCTGGTAGCCCGCGGCGACAACGAGCTCCTTCTCGGCGCCCTTAACGTCAGTGGCCATGCGCTCAACGTTATAGTCTATCCTATCCAACATGGTGCCCTGGTCGATGACCATGGTTTGCAGGTCGCGGAATATGTCGGCAAGCTCAATAATACCCTGCGCGATATCCTCGATCTCTCGCTCGCGCTGGATAATGGCCGCGTCGTTGGACTGCAGGAGCTTCTGCTGTGTCGCCTGAAGCGTCGACTGCGAGAAAGATCTGTCGGCGTCGGACTCAAGCATCGAGGGGTCCATGTAGGAACTCGAGGATTGCGGCGTTGACCCCTTATCACCTGGTCCAACCCCACTGCCGCCGCCGAGGCCGCTCATCCCACGCAGCTCTGTCTTCTGTTAGCCCAACCTTCGGGTTTCGGAATGGCACTAAACACTTGCTTTTCAAATATGCACTCTGCTTTTTTCTAAAGAGCGCACTGGAGTCTTGTACCCTCGAGGCCAGGGATATCTGTATGTTCTTGGCCATGGTCTCCTCTGCACTAGTTATCGTCCCTGCGTGCTGGGATTCTCTAACCATCTGCTCGACCCGCTGGATGCAGCGGTGACAGTCGTGGAAGCCTTTAGTAATCTGCTGGGTAAGGGTCTCGATCTCACGCTCCTCGGCCTTCTTCGTGTCCTCATCGTTGAAGCCGGGAAGCACATGCTTCTGATGCAAGCGCTCAAGGGCTTGGCTCTTGGTGGCTATGTCGGCAAGCAGCTCAGTGATCTTGTCGGATATGTCGACCCATCGTGGGGGCAAGAGGTCCATCTCTATGACCGCATCGCCGTCGTCTTCGAAGGCGCCAACCGATAGAAGGCCGCGCGTATCGTCGTTGCCGCTGGCATAGCTGCTGTTTCCCGGGAAGGCATCGCCGAAGCTGTTCCCACCGGCGGCGCCGCTGTACTTTGTCCGCTTCGTCGGATGGTGCGCGTACGACTGCCGATAGGAAATGTAGCTGTGTACAGACTGGTTAGCAGGAAAGTGGTTCGCAGGATGAAGGGTGAGAGAGTGCAGCAACATACAGGTTCGTGCGGTCTCGCCACATGGCGGACGCCAGGGTCGGCTGCGATGGCGCTCCTCAGCCTGGGGTTCTTTGTCGCTCGCTGCGCGGGCTGCTCAGGTCCGTCGTCATGAACGAATGGTAGCGAATACAGAACAGGACACCATTGGCATGGGACTGCAGAGCAGCAGCAGCAACGTGGGTATGGAGAGCAACTTCGGGATGGCCGTCCAAAGAGGTACGTCAGATGCCGGATGGGTTGGTTGGTGGGTGTCAAGGGCGGGCTGATTTAGCTGTCCAAAAAGGCAAGGTTCAGTTCTAAGCCCCCGAATCGCGTCTACTAGTATCGGCGAAGTAGGATAATGAGGGAGGGAGTCGCAAACAGCGGGCTTTTCGATTTGCAGTCGGTTTGTGAGCTAGTCGAGTGCACGGCAGCAGAGACAATCACAGGCAGCTCCAGGATGACTGGATTCCTCGAGTCAAGGAAAAGTGCGTAGTAATGCAGTCGGGAGATGCGCCAACAGGGAGTGCATTAAAGCGTTGATGAATTGAACAGGTATCTCATGCCAGCAACCCTTGGGGACGGATTGCGTCAGGGCCTTTTCGTCTTGGACGGATTGAGCCGCGTGTGGACCGTTCCTTACTGTCGAGGCTAGCGTGAATTTGGGCCTGGAAAGACGGTAGAGCACCTTACTTCTCACTGTGCAGAGGTGTACACAGGTGTCTGACAACAGTGCAGAGGGCTCTCGTACGTGTTATGTCAGCATCTTGCAATGGAAGTTGCAGTGTACTACCTTAGGTAGCCAGTAGCCAGGAGGACCATAAACTCTAGGGGACAGACTGATTTGGCAGGTCCGCGCTCCAAATCATCCTTTATTCAGCAGGGGGAAGGGTCCATCCCAACCTCGGGGCGGCCGTCGAAATCCAATTACCAATTAGAATGCACGAAGGTCCCCCTGGTACGCTGAAAGGCGAAGGTGGGTTACTACGCGTTTGTCGAGTACCTACCTACGCTACCTACCTATGTACCTACCAAAAGGCTGGCACTTGCCAGTCACTGGCTCGACGGTTGCTGTTCGCGGTGCGTTCGCAGTGCTGCAATTCCCATCTGCATGCCAGCCCAGCCTGTCAGCTTCCAGGCCCGCGGCCCCCCTATCGCCCGACATTTCCCCCCTTGCCTGCCCCATTCCTCCCCACGAGTTGCACACTAAAGAAAAGCTCGACCCCCAAAGGCATCCAGGCGATCCAACTTGGCCAAGACGTACGAACAGAACACACTTGTGAATATACTCCGGCCTCAACCAACCCGTCTCCAATCATCGCAGACTCTTCCTGAACACAAGACAAACCGAAAAAGCCACCCCACACTCTATCGCGGACATTCATCATGGTCAGTTGTCCTTTCCCTGAGTTCTAGCCTTCTCATTCCGCTTTCATGCTGCCGTCAGGAGGTGACCCCGCGGCTGAGGGGTTGACAACTTTGGCAAGCTAAACTGACGCGGCTGCGGCCTAACTAGGCTGACTCCCTCACCGAAGAGCAAGTCTCCGAATTCAAGGAGGCCTTCTCCCTCTTTGTAAGTTGAATTGTTTCACTCGTCGCCTTTTCCTCAATACTTCCTCCGGCGACCGTCGTGGCCTTTTGCTAACCCACCGTAGGACAAGGACGGCGATGGTTAGTACCCTACCCCCTTTCCCCTCGTCTTCGACGCCGCACACCTGCTCTAGCAGAAGCCCCCGCGAACGCTTCGATACGAATCCAACACCAATATGGCTTGGATGCCAGGAGATAAGACTATCGTTATGGAGGGCTAAAGAAGGTGGACAGGTCAAATTACGACCAAGGAGCTCGGTACCGTCATGCGCTCTCTGGGGCAAAATCCCTCCGAGTCGGAGCTTCAGGACATGATCAACGAGGTCGACGCTGACAACAACGGAACTATTGACTTCCCTGGTACGTCAAAAGTCCTGATCCAACGTTCGCAGGATACAGATTCGCTGACTTGTAGCTTATCCAGAATTCCTCACCATGATGGCTCGTAAGATGAAAGACACCGACTCCGAAGAGGAGATCCGGGAGGCCTTCAAGGTGAGGAGGGCTAGCGCAACTTTCGATGGGAATAGCACTGACTAGACATAGGTTTTCGACCGCGACAACAACGGCTTCATCTCCGCCGCTGAGCTGCGCCATGTCATGACTTCGATCGGCGAGAAACTTACAGACGATGAGGTTGATGAGATGATCCGCGAGGCTGACCAGGACGGCGATGGACGCATTGACTGTAAGAACCCTGGCTCGCGATCATGCCTTCTGTATTGCTCCTGGTGCTAATGGGTTACGTCAGACAACGAATTCGTCCAGCTCATGATGCAGAAGTAAGGCGTCAGGTTGGTAGAGCGGCTGTCGATCAACCCCGCCTGGTTTTGGCCGCGCAGCATGATCTTCTATGTGAGGAAAGACGCAGGCAGGTTCTCACCGAGTCTGGGTTGGTTAAAGGATATACTTTCTGGGACCATTGGAGCTCCCACGCAAGGATATCCAGTGAAGGCATAAGTTTGACAGCCGAATGGATGGAGGACTCGATGCCTACATCTCACTGCCAGGACACTTGCCTGTTCTGTTCCCGATCCACCACAATGCTTTTTTAACGAACACACAACCCCTCCCCTGCACCGACACAGAGACAAGATGTACTTGAACAAGACAGGAGTTATACTTAGAAGGGTGATGCTGTCTCTAGGGCGACGAATGCTAAAATTCAATCAGCACTTATTACGATTATTTTTCATGCTGTGAACGTATTATCTGCGGTTTTGTTACTTGTCATGGTGGGAATGTTTGTGGATGAGAGTTGTATTGCTGCGGCCTATCACAAGCACGTCTGGTAAGGCATCATGCACAAGCATTGATATTGGTCACGCCTGAGTTGTCCACTATTGTTAGGTTGGAGAAGCAAAAAAACTGTCTTCGGTATAGGCCCTTTTGTTGGTGAAAGACAAGCTTAGTTTGTCGCCTGTTATTCATATAGGCCTGAGGCTTCTTATTATAGGAGCTGCGGATAGCGGTTAAGTGTAACTTAACACACAGTGAAAGAGCGCACAGAACACTGCAGCTTACCTAAGAGATTCCTGACGTGTTGAATGAACCCCTAAAGCCTCCCTCTCCTGACCTATGGAGTCTCACCGACAACCGCAATGGTTTACGCCTGAGATTTTGGGCTGCAGCCTACTTCGACCCCACAGACGTGACGGCGCTGTAACCTACCACCTGCCAGCTGGACGTGGACCTTTGACCAGCTAGCATAGCCGGCCTGGACTGGACATCCCTGGCCCGTCTATCTGGTCTATTCGTCGACCATTGGAGGAAGTCTGCCGCAACACGACCCCCTCGAGCATCTTCGACATTCGGCGACTTGCAACTTCGAGAGCTCCTGACGAGCCTGCAACCTCCGTGTGAATCTCCAATTCAGGCTCTAGCAGCCTGTTCAAGGCCCTACGCGGGCCGCCTCTGTTGCCCAACATGAGTTCCTGTGCGAGAGAGCCCCTGCCCCTCTCTGTGCTATGTCGCTGGCCTGGAGCTAACCAGTTGACACTCTAGTGAAGCAATTCATTCGCAACGTTCGTGCCGCCAAGACCATCGCTGACGAGCGAGCCGTCATCCAGAAGGAGAGCGCATCCATCCGAGCAAGCTTCAGAGAAGAGAGCGGAGACCACAGCGTGAGGTGCGCAGATGAATTGAGACTTTAGGAACACCCTTTGCAGACGATGGCTGATGGTTGACCCAACAGACGGAACAATGTTGCCAAGCTCCTTTACCTCTTCACCCTCGGCGAGAGAACACATTTTGGTCAGATCGAGTGTTTGAAGCTGCTGGCCTCGCCCAGGTTCGCCGATAAACGCCTGGGGCATCTGGCCACGAGTTTGTTGCTGGACGAGAACCAGGAAGTTCTAACGCTCGTGACGAACTCCCTTCAGAAGTAAGAGACGGCAACAAGTTGTATCTTGCGCCAACAACGCTAACATACTGTAGCGACCTCGCCCACTCGAACCAGTATGTCGTCGGCTTGGCCCTCTGCACCCTTGGTAACATTGCCTCCATCGAAATGTCTCGAGATCTGTTTCAGCAAGTCGAATCCTGCATCAACACGTCAAACCCTTATATCCGGAGAAAGGCAGCACTTTGCGCCATGCGGATATGTCGCAAGGTCCCGGACCTGCAGGAACACTTTGTGGACAAAGTCAGCAACCTCCTGGCCGATCGTAACCACGGGGTTCAATTGTGCGGCCTCACGTTAGCCACAAGCTTGTGCGAAGCCGACGAGGAGGAAGGCGGGGAGGAAGGTGTTGTTGAGAAGTTCAAGATGTTTGTGCCGAATCTGGTCAAGACCCTGAAAGCGCTTGCGACCTCTGGTTACACCCCTGAACACGACGTCACAGGCATCAGCGATCCTTTTGTGCAAGTCAAGATCCTTCGCCTGCTGAGGGTCTTGGCGATTGGCGACGCGCGGGTCAGCGAGCAGATCAACGACATTTTGGCACAGGTCGCGACAAACACAGACTCGTCCAAGAACGTCGGAAACTCGATTCTATATGAGGCCGTGCTTACGATTCTCGATATCGAGGCGGATTCCGGTCTCCGCGTGCTTGGTGTCAACATTCTGGGCAAGTTCCTATCCAACCGGGACAACAACATCCGCTACGTCGCTCTCAATACTCTCATCAAGGTGGTCGCCATCGAGCCGAACGCTGTTCAGAGACATCGCAACACGATCTTGGAGTGCCTGAGAGATCCGGATATCAGTATCAGGAGACGTGCGCTTGAACTAAGTTTTACACTCATCAACGAGAGCAACGTGCGGGTTCTCATCCGGGAACTGCTCGCATTTCTGGAAGTGGCTGACAACGAGTTCAAGCCGACAATGACCAGCCAAATTGGTATTGCCGCAGACAAGTTCGCACCGAACAAGCGTTGGCATGTCGACACTATGCTCCGGGTTCTCACACTCGCTGGGAATTACGTCAAGGAGCCTATCATGTCTTCTTTTATTCGACTAGTCGCCACTACTCCTGAACTGCAGACATATGCGGTTCAGAAGCTTTACATTAGTTTAAAGAAGGATATCACGCAAGAGAGTCTTACCCAAGCTGGAGCCTGGTGCATCGGCGAGTATGGAGACGCTCTGCTGAGAGGCGGTCAGTACGAAGAAGAAGAACTCGTACGGGAGATCAAGGAGCACGAGCTCATTGACCTGTTCACGACTATACTCAACAGCAACCACGCAACCCAGGTTTCCACCGAGTATATTGTCACGGCGCTCGTCAAGTTGACGACGAGACTGGCGGATCCTGCGCAAATTGACCGGATCCGTCAACTTCTCAAGGTTCACCAGACGAGTTTGGACGTTGAGGTCCAGCAAAGAGCCGTCGAGTACAGCAACCTATTTTCTTACGACCAGATTCGCGCAGGTGTCCTCGAGAAGATGCCGCCTCCTCAAATCAAGGAGGAATCCCGTGTATTGGGTGCAGCGACTACGACTAAGAAGGCCAAGGCTGCGAACAGGAAGTCCAGGGTTATCAAACCCACTGAGCAGGACCTGCTTTTCGATCTTATGGACACTCCGCCGACGACAACACCGGCTGCCAGCGGAGCCTCCAACACCGATCTTCTGGCGGATATTCTTGGCGGCACCTCTTCGCCGCCCCCTACCTCAGCCTCTCCTGCACCTCAACAGTCCAATACTGCTTCGATCATGGACCTTTTCTCCCAGGATTCTGCTCAGTCAGTGGCCTCTCCAATTTCGGCCATGGGTGGTTCGAACTTGGATTTGATGTCTTCCATGTCCGCTGTAGCAAATCCTCCACCCCAGACGCAACCTACTCCGCAGGTCCCAGCAGGTCTTCCTGTCTACGACAACAACGGCTTGGGTCTCGGATTTCAGATTCAACGCAACGCTGAGGGCCTGGTCCAGGTAATTGGTCGATTCAAGAACGTCGGGCCTGCGTCTCTTTCGAACGTAGGGATGCAGGCCGCTGTGCCCAAGACGCAGAAGCTCCAGCTCATGGCCATTTCAAGCACGGATGTTGGACCTGGCGCCGAGGCTACCCAGAGAATGATTGTTTCTGGGGCAAAGGGAGTAAGTCAATGTCCAACCCTCTAATCGAGCATGAGCCGATAGCTAACATGAGTGCAGCCGCTGCGGTTACGCTTGAGGATCGGATACACCCATCCGGCTGCTGGTGAAGTCATGGACCAAGTCAACTGGACCGAGCCATCTTAGGATGGCAGAAGGCTAGTGAGGATAGCCCGCATGGGCATGAAATGTGCTTGTATAGTTAATGCGACAGGCAAGCGTGGTCAAAATAAACAAATCTGCAAGAATGAATTTTTGGGTGCATTAAGCGAGGGACTATGGTTGAGGATCCGACCATATGTTGTGCAATCTACTTGAAATGAGGCTGCATCATCATCATACACTAGCTTGTGCAAGATGACATTGTGGCTTTGATGCATCCATCTCCACTCAGTTGATGCGGGACACTACATGCTCGTCTCCAATATTTCCCACTTTGGGTTTTGCACATCATCCGTCACCCTACACCCGTCTAAGGACAGGATATCCCTTCATCAGATACACACCGAATGCATGTTTCGATGTAGAACAGGCTTTCTAGTCAATTCCTCGATTGCCGTTTCTTGTCAGGTCCGCGGGTTCGGCTCGTTGCCGGTGAACATGAGGCCCACGTCAAGTAAATATTCACATATCGAGCGCACAGCCGCCGAGCCAAGAGATCCTGTATGCAAAACAATGGTGTTGAAATTCTCATAAATACAACTGACATCTCAAATAGTCGTTACATACCGTCGTGTTGAACCGGGTTGAGGAAGTAAACGAGAGCATTCGACTATTCCGCCTCGGAATATTTGAAGGATCGAGTATCAAGGTAAGCTCATTTCTACTTCATCGGCATCCGCCGTGATATTTCAAGTTCAGTTTCGCTCCATCAAATACAAATTCGACGATGTGTCTAATGTACAAAGGGCTCACCTGAGTAGTTTCTCCCGGGCCAATGGCTTGACATCTTCGTCCCGGGCGTCCTGAACCCAGGCGGCTTCACCATCACCAGCCCGCCTTCCATAGCCATGCTCCCGTCCTCGGCGTACCTTGAACTCGCAGTGCAATATTCGCCGTCAAATCCACCCGCCATTTGGCTTTGGGGCAATCCCGTCGACGGCAGCGATGCCGTCCACAGTCACAACTCCGAGAATGAACCGGTGCAGCTCCGTGTACGAGTCGGCGGGTCCTTTGTGTGGCCACCGCAAAGCATTGACCTTACCACTCTACGCCGTGTGGTTTTCGTTGCAGGTGGCCTGGGTATAAACCCGCTGATGAGCATCCTCAGCCATCTTGCCGAGAGAGGTGGAAGCCGGTATGACGTACAGTTTTTATACTCGACAAAGACGCCGGCTGAGGGTCTGGAGCCAGGGAAGATACTGTTTTTGGAACGGTTGTCAGCTACCTACGGGCGGAAAAAGGTTCGAGGACAGCTAAAACTATTCCTCACCCACATACAGGGGACATCTGGGCCCAGCGAAACAGTACTGCTATGCAATGAGGTAGAAGTTCCTTTTAAGAGGCGCCGTATGACTCTAGAAGATATCGCAGAGGCATTGGGGCCGGAAGAGGAGCACAAATGGGCGGTGGTGTATGTTTGCGGTGTGCCAACCATGACGGACGAGTTTTTAGGAAAGATCACATCCCCACATGGGTTGGGTTTGGGGCGCGAGCAAGTCCTTTACGAGAAGTGGTGGTAAACCATTGTCAGGAAACGCCATGGCTGCGAATACGACATCGACACGTGTAAGGTTAGGCAACGGCACCCCTTGAGGGCGAGGTTTGACTAACGCATGTGCGTAAGACAATATTGACCCGAAAATGGTTCTCAAACGTATACTATGAGCATGAACTTCCACAAGAACTCAGAAACCATCCCTACCAAAGTACGACAGCCGTAGGGTATAACACAGTTCTACCGACGCATCTTTGATCATAGCGCACCAGTTATTGGGTGCGGCAGATACCTATGATAACGGTCTCACATAAACATCACGAGAATGAATGGCAAAGGCGTATAGGTCTGCCTGGAACCGGCGAAGCCTGATCCGTTAGTTATTAGTAGGAAATACAATTGTCATCGTCCCCTATTCTCGTCAATAGCCCTCTCGTATGAAATCCATGGTATTAGGGTTCTCCAATGCAGATTTTCGTAGTTGCTTATCCGTCATTTGGCCACCTTTCTCGTTGAGATTCAAACTACCCTGCTTCCGACGTAGCGGTGACGGACTACGCCTAAGCCACTCTCCTTCTGATACGTTCCCGTTTTCGGAGTTGAATGCCGTCATCTCTACTGTCGCGATATAATCGTATCGTCCGACGCGTCTGAGTATGTCCTTACCGCCAGTGGAGGGGGGTGACATGTCGTAGTTAGACGATGGCGAGTGTGCTTGAGATGGCGAGGACAAAGGGCGCGAAGAGGTCTTGCCAAGCTCCTGAGAAGGTGACGGCAGGATGATTTTCCTAGCAACTCCAATTTCAAATGCATCACTTTCGCTCGGCTCATCTACGTATGGTAATAATGAAGAGGTGACGGAGGGAGTTCGCATCGATTCCAGGGAGGTTTTCCGCAGTGAAGTTTCGGTGCTTGGCAGCAGAGGTAAAGGTCGTAGAGGTTCCGAAGCTTGCCAAGTATTGTGCATCAGTTTGCTACGCTGTGGTATACTGGCACGGGCAGAAGGAGGCGGAAGCCTGGACTGAGTTGCGAAGAAGAATGATCTCTGGGCTAACTGAACACGCTGGTTTCCCATGTTCTCGCCGCGGGTCATACTGCACCCCTGAAAACCCGACCCGTCAAGCGAGTCAAAGCTGAACAGCCTATTATTGGCGTGAAGGTCCTTGGCGCCGTTGGGTCGAGCTGGCAGATGTTCACCCTGCCTGTTTGCAATTGCCACGAGTGCCTCACAATGAGATTCCGATACGAGATTCAAGGCCTTGAGGTTTGTCCAAGTGCGGTAAAAGAAGCGGAATGTGGCGAATGGCGAGTCGACGGAGTCTACGAGGACCCAGTCGTAAAAGGTAAGCTCATGGGGTGACTCAACGAGGCCACCAGTGGGAGATCTAAATGTGGCGTTTAACAGTAAGCTTGGAGTATGAAACACGTTGGGCGGCGACTTACGTGATGCCATACATGTCTTGCTTGCGGAAGCCTTTGAGTTCAGGGGCTCTTCTTCTCCTGCCCTTGGACCGGAAGACTCGTAGCTCAATTAGGCCGCCATCTAGAGCGGCGGAAGCCTCGAGGCATGGCGTGAAGTGGAAGAACCGTTTCTCGACGCCGTCACGCTTGTAGACAACCCCACTGTCCCGATACTGCCATTTACTGTCTGGCTCGTAAAGGGCGTGACTGACGAGCTGATTTTGAATCACTTGAGACTTAATACCCCAGGACACTATTTGGCGTCCGTTAATTGTCATTCGAAAGTACAGGTACTTGGCCTCGGGAGGGGATCTGTTGATGGAGTATCGAAGGTGAAATTGGGCTCCTGTATATTCAACACTCAGCTTTGCCAGCACGGGTTGTAAGATGGAGTGAGGGCAAAAAGGTTTACGGACCTGGGGATGATGGGATGTATACCGAAGTGGTTGGGTTGCATTTCTCGGGAGTTGAGACAAGACTGGAGGGGGGCGACGACCTCGGACTGACTGGATGAGGATACCGTAGATGAATAGAAGAAGATTCGGGATGAGGCAGTTCAACGAAACATTCGGCATTATGGCGAGGTACCACCGAGACATCCAGACCTCTGAAGTTGGGCATCCTCGCCCTCTTGTGGCTGCGTCGCTTGATACTGAAGTCAACGTTGGCGTTGACGGAGAGAGACTATGTGGAAAAGGGTTGTGTTGATGGGTGAGGTTGAAGCAGGATCGTTAACTGTGAGGTGGCTGTGGAAGGTGTAAGGTGTAAGTAGTCAAGAGGGAAAATGGGATGGCCTACTTGGCTTCATTACTAAGAACGGGCAGTAGCAAGAAGGGCAGCTGGACCACACTTTCCTGCGAAACCGCCTTCCTCCAGTAAGAACCGCGGGAACGACGCGGCCTGCCAGCGCTTTACTTCAAACCAGTGCTCAAATCTCACATTCCGTCACAAGGTCAAAATTACCCCATCAGGAGGAACCGAGACGATGTAGGTTACGACACTCGGTCTTCAATCTTGCCATTTCAGTCCCGAGTAAGCACCAAACATCCATGGAAAAAGCATTCGCCAGAATGGCCAGCATTTGCAGGGCCCTACCACGCCCACCACGTACTACGAGTTATACCAACCCAATACCAGCCTCCCTACAGCAAATATCAGTTCCAGCGCATGAGAAAGAAATTGACCATTGGCCATTCGCTTCTGGTAACAGCTTCCTATCTGGCCCGCGCCATGTACATGTATATCGACCCCGTCATAAGCTCGCTTTCATCTTGTTCAACTAGACCCCGTCACGGCCTTCGTGTCATCCTCCTTGCCGAGAAGTCCCAGGTTGCGTATTTGGCCCGCACTCGGCGCGTTATCTCGTGCACTGGCCGATTCGGCCTTTCGGTAAGCGGCCTGAAGCGCCCTTGTTCTCGCAGCCTGCAGGCAAGTTGGTGAGCTACCATTCTTTCGCCTCGTTGCCCATCGTCCTCGGGGTTCGATTGATTCAACAAACCTCCTTCTTGTGGTGCAAGCACTCATAGTAATCCTCCAGAGCCAAGCCGCACTTCTTCTTTCCCGAGTGGTCCTCTCCAGCGGTGTTGATAACGTAGCAGCCAAGGACCTCCTGCCAGAAGGGGAAGCACCGCGACGGGCCTACCCGGCGTCAGCGGGTCAATGCAGTGTCAATGGCAGCGTATTTGTCAACATACCTCCGTGAAGACCGTATCCAGAGGCCATTGTGAATGTACAGGCGTCGAGTGGTGGATGGGTGAAGCTCAGAGGTCGTCGTTAAGGGTCGTTGAGACACAATCGCGAAGTCCAAAGCCTAGGAAAGTTGTAGGAGGTTGTGACCAACGGAAGAGCCCGCGGCTATCAAGAAATCCGTCCTATCAGGAGGTACTTGATTCCAATGGTAATTACTGCCGTAAAGGTGGGTTCTCCCTGCTAGTACGCGCCTAAGCCTCCCCAGAACCCATACAGACCCATATAATTATGACGAAGCTAAGGCGCCTTGCCGGGTACCTACCTAGTTACCTGTCGCATAGACGCATTTTGGGGACTTGGAGCTTGGTGCCTGCTGATAAACTAGCGACACTCTCGATACTACACTTGACCAACTCATTACTCCACGGTCAGCGAACAAAAGAAGAAGAAGAAGAAGAAAACTCTGCACGGTGTACCAAACCCGATGTGTCCCTGAACCACACGAAATGAGCCTCATCATATCCCCGCCAAAGCTGGTGCTTTTGGCCGTTCACTTAGCCATCCATGCCGACCTGGACAGCTTGGCCTTTCTCTCCTCGCGACACGCTGCGGTCTTGCGTAAAGATCTGGTACTGCGCATACTCTTGACTTACCTCCCCGAGACGGTTCCATCTAGCGACTATGTGTCCTTCCTAGAAGAACTCGCGAATGGCGAGTTCGCTGAACGTGAAGCCGGTAACATCGACTATGCCATCGCAGAGAACATTTCAGACGAGGATGCTGCAAAGAAAGTTCGCAAGCTCCACTTGTTGCCTCTTGCATGGAAGGATGCGCCGATTGAGATAGGCGACGATCCGATGGTTCTATTCCTGCTCAAGCGTGCACATCGTGTCGACGAAGAAGCTGGACTGCTCACTCAACTGCCCGAGCTGCTCGGCCCTTTTCTACAATATGCTCCTGGGATCCGCACTTGGATGGTCTCAACTCTACTGCCATTGTTGCGGAGAAACTGCGAGTACTACCCGGCAAGCAGCATACCATACACCTTGGCCGAGTTTCAGAGTCTCTCTGATGGCGCTGCCGTCGGTGCTCTTCTTTCCCAGACGGGTGCACGGCAGGAGGACCATGTATTCATCGGCAGAGATCTGAGAGGAATGCTCGTTCCTTGGCTACATGACGATTCCCGGTGGAAACGGGTTGAGAAAGGTGATTCTTTCGGGGAGACTGTGTGCAGTCCGGGGTGGGAGCGTTTCCTTGAATGGTTATTGGCGCAAAGCTCCAATTCCTGGCGAGTTGCTGTTGCCGCCGTCGAGCAATGGGGAGGTGCCGTTGATGTCGACCTCGGAGACTATGATGTCGTTTGGATCAGTGAGGAACAGCAGCAATACCTGGACCGGCGATATGCTCGTGCCATTATGGCCGGTGCATATTTGGTTCCCGAGGCCACAATCGACGCGCTTGAAGGCGCTCACCAGATGTTGAGAAAGGTCATGGACCTGTTGGGCCAGGATGATACGCTGTCCTTACGTGAAGGAGCGGATGCGGATGTTCTACCCCCTGTCGCTTACTTGGAGGGAGGGAGTGTTCTATCTCACAAGAACACGGCGTTCATGCGAGAAGGTTTGCTCAAGCAATCAAACCCTCTCACAACTCCTTCAAAGAGGTCGACCCATCTACTCCATGCGTTAATCCTAAGCGCGTTCATCCTGACTAGAGCAGGACTGCCCTGCACGATCAAGATGGCCGGAGACCTGGCGTTCATCCAGGACGAACGAGACCAGAAAGCTGAAGTTGTCAAGTTGATTCACGCTATCGCTGAACGGGCTCCAAAGAACGGCGATGATTTCTGGGCCAAGGCACGAAACGAGATTCTTTGGCTCAGGAACTGGGGCATTACCTCCCCACCGAATGGTCAAGTGATGGGAGTGTTTGCTAAGGTTGAGCCGGGGGTAATTGAAACCGAGATATTGAAGGCACTTTTGTCTAGTGCCCGTAAGTTGCCAGTCACCAAAATCCCACCGCCACTATTGCTGATGGTGCACAGGGTATTCGCTCGCAAAATCGTTATATGAGGATGCTGTCGTGAAGCCGCTGTCGGCACAAACCGTCCAAGAAACTGTCATTGCCGCTGCTCTCAACGCCTACGATAACGCGTCCAATCCGAATCGCACGAGGGGGGGGCTCAAGAAGTGCGATGAAATGTATGTGTCCACTCGCATCAGTGTCTGTTGATTAAACTGACCAGTGTAGTATCAACGCCTTCCCTGGGACTATTAGCAGCTCTCTTCCCGAACGGTGCCGCATTGACTCCCTTCTCAAGGCAACACACGCCTTGAGCGACTACCGACTAGTCCTGAGGCAAGGCGAGCCCTTCAGTCCAGTCGTTCTGCGTGTCCACTCAGATCCCGTCTCCATCATCGGTAAGGTTCTAGAGCAGAACCCCAAAGGTTATACACGCATCCATGACCTCTTGGATGTAGGTTCCAACATGGTTCGCGCTGGGATTGTTGACCGAAGCAAAAGGGAGGTTGCCGCCCAGGCAATAGAAGACGAGGAGGCATGCGTGGACACCAGCACGAGGCGCATCACGGCCATGTGCATTGAGGCGGCTCTTAAGGAGGACGACTTCGAGACGGCGTATTCATATGTCGTCAACCGGCTCAGCGGTCAAGTCGGCCATTCAAAGACAGCTTCTCGGGTCCAAATAGACGATGACTGGTCATGGAGGGCCGCGCTGCAGGCGGGACAGTACATGAGAACAGTACGAACTGTTCGCCCGACACATCTGGGAAACGCCAGCGGGAACCCTGATATTCGGCACCTGGAACAGCGCATCGACTGCCTCGCCACGGCCCTACGTCTTGCTCCGCCGTCACAATTACAAGAGATACTGAAGACGTTCCGGCGCTGCGAGGAACAGCTCGACTCAGCACTCAAGGAAGAGGCCGCTCGGGAAGCTGACCTCGACGCCGCCGCTGCCAACCTCCACTCCGGCATGCCCGGTGGCTTCGAGGGGGCCCCAACGGCAGCCCGACTTCACATGCCATCGGGTCCCCAACAGCCCCGTTTGTCAGCAGGTACGAGCAAGATCAACGACGACGCGCCGATGTCGCTGTTTGACTTGTCACGCGCCACGGCACGTGCGGCCTCGCGTAACTTTGCAGCTCTTTCCACGCTACAGCAGTCTGCCGGTGGTAAGGCTCCGGTCCCCGCTCCCGCTTCGTCGGCGTCGGTGGCTAGTAGCGATGTGGATCCTCATGATGACCACACCAGAACAAGGAAGCGTGACCAGCTTCGTGAGGCTGCAATGGGAACATTGACGTCAGGAGTGGGCTGGCTCATTGGCGCGCCTGCGCCCAACGCACAGCAAGCGCCAAGGACCGATTAAAGGCGTGGGGAGATGGTACGTATTAGTCACAAAACATGAGCAAATTAATGGAAAATGAATGAACGCCTTCTCTAGCAAGTATAGGGAGTACCAAACGTGGGACGATTGACCATTATCATGGTGAATGCAAAGGTATTGGATTCACAAACTTTAATTCTTACTCGGAATACAATTACGTGCCTTTGGTGACGAACCTACGTGGCCAGTTTTTTCATTTTTTTACTTTCATCATTTACTTATTGAGCTCGAAACAACAGGGGTTGTGCTGCAGCAATTTGACAGCTCGATAGAACATCAAAGCCCCGGTCGGCTTGGCCAAACAATCCATCCGGGCTGTTTAATGCCGGTCTGCAATAGGTATGCCCCTTGACCAGGACGGACCGAAAGCAAAACCCCTCAAGTCATCATTTGATCTTTGTGGGATCGATACCAATGGTAGGTAGATCGGAGGTTCGTGCCTTGAGGTACTGTGACAAACCCTCGCAAAAGTGAAATGCTGGACCACATCGCATTTGGGCGATATCTTTGAGGTGGAAGGGACAGCCCTGTCATGACAATATCGGATGAGCCGCTTCCACAAACGCAAAGCCCCTTATCGGGGCTGAGACAACTAGGGCGATATCGAAGGAGTGGCAAGGGGCAGAAACATGTCTGCCAGAATTAACGGGGCTCCGTAAGAGTTTGTCTTCAACAATGTCAATTGAGGGCGATTCAAATAGTAGCAAAAGATGCCAAGCATAATTGGTATCTGCTTTCCCCAGTCGGTAATGACCGGTTTTACTGCTCATTGCTAGATCATCAGTCTTGCTCATAACCGCTGGGGGGAATACCTTTCGTCTTTTCTTCTTCTTCGTTGTTCATTACACTGAGCCTACCGTCTCGGAAGATGCGATACAAGGACCATCTATTAGTTGTATCTCGCGTCGCTGACCTGTGCAAAGGCGGCAACAAGATGAAGAGCAATGGGCGTGAATGGCGAGAAGGCGTTTCATTTACGACGGAAAGGTTGAAACTTGGCGTTCAGGCGGCACAGTTACGGTTTAGTTGTATTTATGGACGCGGTTGTCATTCATGTTGCATTGCTGGTCAACATTTTATCATGCTGAGATTTGCGAAAGAGCCATGCCGAATTTGCGAAGCCGTCTCAAACTCGGCTGGACCCGAAGCGGGACGCGATAGATAATGGTACAAGGTGAAATTGGTTTGCGTGGGGGAAACAATCGTGGACCACCGCCGGCCCACGGAATGGTGTAGTAACGAAAGTGCTGATCCACGAGGGAAAGTGACTGTCACTCCGGCCAAAGCCTGTCGACGCCTGCTGTTTTGCCGTGTTGATTGTTTGCCAAAGCTACCATAAAGACCGCCAGACATTCGTCGAACTGCAGAAGACCGGGCTCATAGACAGTTCCAGCTGAAGACAGCTGATTGTTGCCTACAGCCGTCGTCAAAGAAAGGCCGGGGCCAAGAAGCCGTGGGCCACGCAGGCTAAAAAAAACCCCATTTTTTGTTCCATTCCAGACTAGTTGTAGTGCACAAGGACTCCATGAGACGCAATTTTTGGGATATCCGCCGTAATCGATCGCACTAAGAAAGATGAAAGGGGTGAACCGTCAGTCGCCATTACCAGGCGCATCAACGGCGTATAAATCAGCGAGAGCCTAGGCAAGTCAGCATTAGCAACAGGTTGGGGGAGGGCATTAGGAGTTCCAACCTCCGTAGGCCTCGCGGCCCTCAGAGCGGGCAGGGGGGTCAGCGTAGGCTGCGCCACTAGCAGGAGCGTCGCGGGAGCGAGGCCCATCACGGCCGCCACTGCCACTGTATGTGTCGTCCCCGCCACGCTCACGTCTCTCGTAGCCGGCAGCACCGCCGCCGCGACGGTCATCACCACCGCGAGCATAGCGGTCGCCACGGTCCTCACGTCCGCCGCCGTAACGGTCGACACGACCGCCACTGCTGTAGGTGTCATCGCCTCCGCGCTCGCGTCTCTCGTAGCCGCCAGCGCTGCCACCGCCACGATCTTCACGGTAGCTGCGATCATAGCCACGATCCTCGCGGTAGCCGCGCTCGTAGCCGCCGCCACGGTCTTCGTAGCCGCCGCGGCGGTCGTAGCCACGGTAGCGGTATGGGTCGTCACGGCCGCCGCCGTAGCCGCCGCCTCCGTAGCCGCCGCCGCCGCCGTAGCCACCTCTGCGACGATCATCATAACGGTCGTTGAATCGGCCACCACTGCTGCCACCACGTCCCTCTATTCATTGACGCGTGAGTAATATTTTTCTAATAAGAGTATTCAAAGAATGCTTACCACGCTTAGGAGGACCGAAGTACTTGCCGGGAGTGGGAGTGCGAGGACGAGCACGGCGAGCCTTCTCGATGCTCAGGGTGCGACCCTCGATCTGCTCTCCCTGGAGACCCTCCTTGGCGGCATCGGCCTGGTCGGACGTGACCATCTTGACAAAGCCAAAACCACGGGACTCCTTGGTGTGAGGGTCGCGCATGATTTGGCACTTCTCGACATCACCATACTTCTCGAACATGCGAGTGACCTCCTGCTCGGTCAGACGAGGATGGATACCAGTGACGAAGAGGTTGGAGCCAGGGTTGATGGCGCCGTCGTCGTCGCCACCCCTGGAGCCGGTCTCATCCTTGGTGGCACTAAAATTGGGACAAGAACGCGTCAGCGATTGGAGAGGAAAACAAACTGGTAGGTATTTCATCAGAGGATGGAGGTTTGCCTACCGGTCGCGGTCGCGGTCGCCGTTCCCAGAAGGGGAGGCAGAGCGACGGCGGCCCGAGTCGCCGTCATCACGCGCAGGGCGAGGAGAGGCGCTGCGGTTGTCGCGCTCGTAACGAGGAGCCTCGTCTGTATCGCGTACATCTGTCAGTGCCTCGTCGTGCTGAGAGCGGCGATCCGTATCGAGGAAAAACGAACCATCGTAGCGGTCGCCGTTGGCGGCCTCGTAATCCATAGAAGTGGTAGCCATGATGATGGGATTGATTGAGCCGGCAAGTGGTGTATTTAGTCGTGTTGATACTTTGTGGAATTGGCCAACGACGCGAATTGCCGGTGACGCAGACTCTTCTGCTACGGGGATTGGTCAGAAGGGAGGACGGAAAGCGGATCGGGGTCTTTTGATGGAAAACAAGGAAAAGGGTCTGTAGAAGAGAGAAAGAGACGAGAGAGGCAATTACAAGAAATGTTATTACAGTCGTCAGCAATCAATTAGATGGCGAAGGGCATCAATTGAGAAGTGGCGTGGCTTGGAGATGCCAGGTGTGGGAGTGAAAGGGAGAGTGAGGAAGGTGAAGAAAAGGCGAGGTGAAGGAAGGGATGTTGGTGAGTCGGGGCGGGAGGGCGAGGAAGGAGAGAAAGAAGGCGATCTGCCTTGCGCGTGTCTCTGTTGGTGCTGCAGGAGAGGAGGTGTGGTATGGGAGGTGTTACGGGAGTGCTTTCAGAGGTACTGCAGGCCTGGTGGCCCTGCTGACGTGACAGATGAGGGAGGGTAAGGAGCAGGGTAGGCACAAGTAGGGGGGAGGAGACAGGGCACCTGAATGGCCAGCCTGGCGCAAATGCAGGCAGATAGATACCTACATTGCCTGGGTTGATAGAGTACAGTGCAAGGCGAACAAACAGGTGACTGGATGTAGGCAGCAGAGGGCGTTGGTGCTGTGTGGCTGGCTTGTTGGTCGAGCGAAACAGGGCAGCGAACGAGGCGGGAGGGAAAAAGTGAAGGGGGAAAAAAAGTGATGGGTAAATCGATGGAATGATTGCCCTGGGGGAGAGAGGGGGCAACTGGGGGTTCCGGTGAATGGATTGGACTATGACAAGGGGGGCATGAGCAGAGGCCAAGGCTAAAATGCAGAAAAGGGAAAGATGCAGCTGTCCGTGAATGAGCTTGGCGTTCCTGTCTTCTCCCTGTCCACCACTGGCCAATGAGGTGCTCTCTCCATTACCTTGCTGAGTGAGAACTGAATCCACATCCAAATCCAAGTCGTCACTGTGATAGAAACCTTGGTACCTGAGGTTTAGGTCTATTCTTTTCGGTTGCTACGGTGCATGCAAGGCTATCTATCCCATTTGCCGGGGTTCTTTGAAAACTCTTTTATTGGGGGAAGGGCTTGATTGCATCGTGTGCCATTGAAGGCATCAAGTGTGCTTCATGTGGGATATTTCGCAGGCAATTGCAATTGTAATGAGCTGCTTCAATTGGAATACTGTCCTCTTCAAAACACACTTGTCACGTTCATTAGAGGCATCCCCTGCTGATGCGACAAGATTTCGTCTTTAGCGTACGCATGAAGTGAGTCCAGAACGATGGCTCGCGACTCCCCACAGTAATTGATGTCTGCACAGACCACCATTTGACAGATCTCTGCATGCCAGCAATTAGTAGTAGTCTTATTCTTTGGTCGGACTCGAGGCGTTTCATCAGAACACGGTTGCAAACGACAACCAACAAAGCTGTTTCAATCGAAAGACAGCTTACAGACCACCTAAGTACATTAGAGCCACGCTTTAACCATGCCAGCCTAAATGCCAGTTTAAATGCCACGTAAGGCGCGGCCAATCAAAGCTCGACCTGTCAGTTTCTGCGGAACCAAAACTGCTTGTATATGAGCGCCGTGTTTCCACCGCCGGACTAGGCTCGCATGCCACAGCAGCCGCAGATTCCTAGGTAGTCAAAGGGCAGTTGACCCTGCCATGTCCAAACTGGAACTACAATCCTCTATAGGTCGTCCATTACCGGTTGCATCGACTCCGGAGAACTCGCGACAAAAAGCTCAGCCTCGAGGGCCTTGCGAACATCCACATCTGCAAACGATCCCGGCTCGTCCAAAAAGCTGAGGCCCTCGACCGCCTTACCGCCGCAAGCCCTCTCCAGCGCCAGGAAGGCAAAGTGGCCTCCGACTACAGGCCTGGCCATAAAGTGAGGGCCAGGCCATCCACCAGTCCCTTCTGTCTCGTAGAGATCTGTGAAAGGCCGGTCTGTGACGTAGAGTTAGCAGACTTTTTACCCTTGGCGGTTTCTTTAGCCCACTTACCAGTCGTCGTCTCATTGACCCAGACCGCAATGCTTTGAAGAATCTCCATCCGGGTCTTCTTGCTGGTAACGGCCGCAGCAAAGAACTGCCAATCACTTTTCGTGTACAGGTGACGACTATCGAGCGGGAGTCCATAGTGCTGCAGTACCGCATGATACCAGTTGCTCTGCATGCTGTACACCTTGTCCGGGACGAATGTTGATCGCGCCTCGATGCCCATGGACTTCTGGAACCATCCTATGATCCGTCCACTCAGTGTAGACGTTTTCTTCTCATCCGGCAGATGGAAGCAGAGCAGCGAGTCTGCGTAAAGGTTGTAGATGGTAGTCCAGGACCCATACCACGTATAAGCCAACTTGGCGTGGGTACCGTCCCTAGAAATACCGAAGTCTTGCCACTTGTCAATATACTTGCTCGCAATGTCCGTGTAGTATTTGGAATCGTCCGTCTTGCCCAGGACATTGGCAATTTCAGCCATAGCCTTAACACCGATGATACCCTTGAGAGCCAAGTTCGTCTGGTTCGCGAGCCACCCAGCGAAATCATCTGTGCAGAGCTGGTTCGCCGGGATGAGCGATTCGCGAACCAAATATCCTGTCCACTTAGTCCAGAGTTCGTAGGACCGAGTTACCCACTTCTCGGCCTCCTTGGAACCCCTCATCGTAACTTCGGTCGAGGAGCGGTCCATACCGTATGGGTCCATGGAAAGAGGCCACGGCTGGGCACTGCTAGTCTCTGCCTCGAAATGTCCGTACGCGCGAGCATAACCCTCAACAGACTGAAGGAATGCCGGCTGGGTGTCGTACTTGAAAGCATTTACAAGCGCCAGGCCCATAATGAGCATGTTGCCACACTCCTCCACAGGCATATACTCGTCTCTACCATCAGGATGACCAGTGGCGTTCGGGAAATGGGCGCCTAGATCATGCATGCTATAATCGTTGGGATATTGTCCGCTGAGCTGGTGCTCGAGCAAGGGCTCCAACAAGTACGCGAGCCAACGGGGGTTCGTGTACAAAAAGAACGGAAAGGCGGGAAAGATCACATCAACCGTCTGGAAGTTTCCGTTGGAGGAGATTTCCTTGAGAAACAGGATAGGATTGTCAGGAGTGCCCGAGAACTGGGTTGCGCCCAGCACCTGCCGAGCGGAGAGCGCAGCAATGTCCTGATAATCTTGCGAGCCGGACGCAAACGCGTCAACAGCCAGTTGGTCCGAATAATTCCTGGCCAGTAAGCTGGCCGCGGAGAAGTCATTGTAGTGGTACTGTACAAGCTCAATGGGCGTGGCAAAGTAGAAAGACCACAGGGGGCGCATCTGCGTCAGTCCTCTGGCGGCCGCAAACTGAACAACAGGATCCTGAATAAGAGCAAAGGTGAAGAGAACACTGTCCTCTGATGTTGCCTCAGAACCGGTCTTGTTGCTCAGGTGAAAAGACTTGGAGAAGGCGAAGACTGGCTCCTCGTCCATGATCCTCCTGAAAGAACGATCGACCTCGTTCTTTAGCGAGCCCTTTGTCGCAAAATTCTGGCGTAAGATGGCAGATGTGCCAGCTTGATGAGAAATGTCGGCCGGCCCGGTGAAGTGAAGTGTGCCCCATTCCGCATGGTCTGCAAATTCGGTGAGCAGCTGCTGTGATTGCCTGCTGACCTTCCAAGTCTTAAGAGCGGCCTCGTGATCCTGCGAGGCTTTTATCCTGCTGAGCTCCCACATTATACCATTGCCTCTGTTGCCACTGACCCATTCACCATTCACGTCAGTATATATATTGATGTCGAAGGAGCCCTCGACATGAACAGTCAGATACGCAGCAGGAATCGACTGGCGGAAGGTAGACGTGGGCGTAATGGGCGAGAGAAATGAGAGCACAACTTTGACAGGTCCAAAGAATCCCGAAGGCGGAGGGATTGAGTAGGATAGGTTCGTCGTCGAGGCGTCAAAAACGGCGCCCAGATAGGTTGGGAATGACAGATTGTAGTGCCAATTAGGGATGTCAGTGTACGATCACCGTGGGGGCGGGGACGCCTATAACACACTTGGAAGACGGGGGCAAGGAGTCCTGAGGTCGTCCTAGCAGAGGATATACAGTATTGGAGTCTGGTACAGAGGCCATGACGGAAAAGCCAACCTGATAAGCAGCTCCAAGTCAGTTTGCAGGAACGCAAGCAGCTGGCCATGGACCATAGGACGCTTACGCTGGAGCCCGTCCAGAAGTAGGGCCAGTGTTCCCATGGCGCATCGCGAGCATTACCCAGCCAGGTGCTGAGGTACGGGTTGCGGACGATTAAAGGAAGAACGGGGGGCGTCAAAGTCGAGGCGCCGGCCGTTACAGCCGTGACCAGCAGTGAAGAGAGGCGCATGGTGGAGAGAACGTTCCGAGAACCAGCTCCAAGACCGGACAGGGACTGCGGGTTGAGTAGGCTACCGAAGGAGCAGAAGTAATCACAGGGGAAAGGAGCAAAGGGACAAGTGTAAGGTAGGATACGATACGTTCGCGGGGCTCTCTGCCATGCAAGATGAACGATCGTGCAACGATAGGGCCAACGACAGTTTGGCACAGAGTAGGAATAGAGAAAGAAGATCAAGACCAGGTGAGGTGAAGGAATGCAAGAAGAGGGCTCGGACAAGACTCTTCCCCGGCCCTGTTTTACAGCAACTCCAAGAGCGTAAGCATCAGGAGCTCTACAAAGTACCTACACACCACCGACCGTAACCACTCCAGGGAACGGTACCTACCTCAAAGGCGGCACGGGAACAGTTGGAGAAATCTGGGGTCGAAGCTTCCGTGCTAGTCACAGGTTGATTAAGCGGCAACTCAGGCGTAAAGCAGGCACATGTACGTCAGAAACTGTGGGTACGGCGGGTCAGGTGGAGGACACTGCGAGAATCACGGCCGGGTCTTCCGTCCTGCCGAGGGACTGGGGGCCAACCAGGAGAGTGTAGGTACGTGACTCGGCGGGTACCAATCAAACACAAAGTGCCGCGCCACAAACCCCTGTTTTGCGGGGACAGCGGCACTGCTTCGTGCGGGGACAGGTAGGCAGGTAGGGAGCTGCCCCGAATCGAAAGTTCAAGACGCGGCCCTGTCAACTGGTCTTTGTTAACCTTCGAGACGAACAATCAAGCATTGACTTTTGTCAACTCAGTATTAGAGTCTCAACCAGTTTGTGCAAAGATTGGATGGAAGATTGTGCGAGGTTTTCGGTCTCTGAATGTCATGCTGTATTCTTGCATACCTGTACACATACGAGCGATGCGGACTTGAACCATCATCTGTGCTCGTCGTAGTCATCATTCCATATAAGCTACGGTAAACAGCTTGGCGAGTCACAGGTACTACATTGAAACAATACTCCATGAAATACTGAGTCGAGGAAACTTGGTTCCTGCAAAACTTGCTTTAAGCCCCCTCATTCTGCCTCTTTTGGAGACTTGTAGGGATTCAGATGCAACCGCTGTCCCAAAAGTCGCCAACCTCGGGTCGGGTCAAATACATGCGAACGCAGATGTTCAGCTGCGTATACCTCATATGATTGGACGGCGATTTCGCCTCGGAAACGCGCGACACTATCCTACCCTCTACCCTCCCCACTGCAGTTGGGATTGTTCCTCTTGACGTGCTCTGGCTCTTGAGACTTTCCTGATACATCGCGGGCGGACAGCGTATACGCAAAATCCCACGCATGTTCCTCCTCCGAGACAGAATCACACTCACACCATGGAATCACTTGAAGGAAAGGTCTACGCCTTCACCGGTGGCGCTAGCGGTATCGGTCTTGCAACGGCAAAGATCATCGCCACGCGTGGCGCCACGGTGTGCCTTGCAGACATCGACACTGATGCCTTGAGAGACGCCGAGGCCTACTTTAGGGAACAGAACAGGCCCTTCTCCGTCACAAAGGTCGACGTCTCCAATAACGACGAGGTTGAGGGCTGGATTGCCGGCATTGTGAACCAGTTTGGCCGCCTGGACGGTGCAGCCAACGTGGCCGGTGTTATAGGCAAGCACCACGGCATCCGGGCAGTCGCAGACCTCGAGGATGAAGAGTGGCACAAGATCATTGCTGTCAACTTGACAGGTTGCATGTACTGTCTCAGGGCGGAACTCAGAAACATAGCGGACGGTGGCTCCATTGTCAACGTAGCGTCGATTCACGGCATCAGGGGTACGCCACCTCTCCTTCCTTCTGCCTGATGTACCAAGCCCTCTTCTCTCTGACCAGCTTATAAAAAGGGTTTGCCAAGCATGGCGCATATGATGCCAGCAAGCACGGCGTGATCGGGCTGACACGAGCGGCGGCCAACGAGAACGGCGCCCGCGAGGTCCGCGTCAACGCCGTGGCCCCCGGCGCTATTTACACGCCGCTGATGGAGAAGGCGTGGAAGTTTCACAACCGCCCGTCAGATGCCGCCTTCGACGAGCCAACGGCATTCCAACGTCAAGGCACCGCCGAGGAGTGCGGAAATGTCATCGCATTCCTACTCAGCCCAGAGAGTTCTTTCGTGAGCGGCAGCGTCTATCAAGTCGATGGAGCGTGGCTCTAAACCACAAGCGGCCCTTAGGCAGGTTGGATTGCCCTGCTATAATTGACGATGGGGACATTTCACCAAACGTCCGAGGGGTCAACCTCGTGTTTCTCGCCGTCGTCTCTAATGTGTTGGAGTTTCGTATCCCTCTTCATCGGCTTTCTCATGTCGTACGCGTCCTCGCTGTCGCGCGTAGGGTCTGTGGCATGATCGCCATAGTAGTCCTTGACCACGCGGAAGACACTATAGCCCATGCTCTTATAGAATGTGATTGCTTTGTGGTTGCTAGTGCGGACGAAGAGGTCGACGAACCAGGCATCGTTAGCGTCGGCGGCGGCTTCCAGCTGCTCGGATAGGATCTTGCCAATTCCCAATCTCCGCGCTTCTGGAGCAACGGTTAGGGCTGTGATGTGAGCGTGCCACGGGAGGTAATGCTCGGAAAATTTGTAAACATCAGGTGATGATTCCAGTTTGCCCATGACTAAAGTCTCAAGTCAGATAAGCCAAGCGAACCGTGCATTTATTTCATCGTTAGACGTACTGTAGCCAATGATGTTCCCACTCATGTCCTCGCAGACCTGGAACATGGAGGGCCACTTGGCATGGTACTGAAGGTAGAAGGCCAACTCGTAGGTCTCGGTGAGTGGGTCGAGATTACACTTGGAGAACTTGTTGACATCCTCGGGGCGGAACCGGCGAAATGTGGCCATTGTTGAGGGTTGAGGACGGTGTAGACGCAGAGGGGTTTCGGTGCGGCAAGGGAGGGGTCGGTGCTGAAAACCGGCCGACGGAAGGACGGTGCTTCTTCGATGGAAGCTGGGCGATTCAGAATAACCGCTGACAAACGAAGCGCCGAGTGCAGCTGATGGCCGGGATTTTGCTCAGCGACAGAGGCACAAGAGAAATATTTATTCCCGGGCTGTTGGGCGTCGTGTCCGATAAAGTACGATAACAGACGAATCTCATTAGGCTGAGCAGAGATGCGCACTGAGAGTAGGTTTTTCGCGTTGGTTTATTATTGCTGACGTAATTAAAACACAGGCAGACGGAACACCGGATTACCCAGGGTCAGGCACTTTCAACCACCACTAGATGCAGGGGCCGTAAGAGGCATGTAGGTAAGGAGTGACAGTCCATGCCCCATCCAAAAAATGCCTTGGAGGGACGTAGGCGGTCAGAAGATTCCGAGACAAAGACAAGGGGAGGGCAGTAACGATTGCTCTTCCCTCTTTTCTTCCACAATACCCTCAGACCCATGCGCCAATTTCACTGTTCACTCTGCTATATCATCCCCGATGCCAACGAAGGGGTGACGCACAGGCGCTGCTTTAAAAATTGATATAGATTGCTCATAAAACACATCCACTGGCCGATACGTAGATAAATCAAACAACAAAGCAGACCCCGCTAAGTTGCATTAATTGGATCGCTGGCCGTCAGTCAAACCAACCCGCTACCGAGATTAATAACATAGGCATTAATCACAGGCTCGCCTACGGAAACCAGACCCATCACTCTACGACCTGGGGACACCCAGTGTTGACCTCTGCTACCTTTTGCGCAACCGCTGCTCTTCGCTTCAAGCGACAGTCCGCTTTGACACCCTTTCTCAGCGTCCTCCACTTGGACGTTCCTTGTCGTCTGTTTGATACGGCAGCCTCCGTTGTTTGTTTGTTACCAGCAAACCGAAACACGCAAGCAACAACATTGCATACACACTCGACTGCTTGGATAGCCAACACACGTACGCCGTGAAGCGACTTCGGCTAGGCTTTTTCTTTCTTATCTATTGGCTTTCTTTGGACGGCATCATCGGACTTGCACTACACCCAAACTGCCGACCGATCGACAAACAGTTCCGATCCCACCTGTCACGATGCCGCAGACTCCGGGGCATTCGCGTAACCCTTCGAGCGTTGATGCCTCGTACCAATACAACAGCGTCAGCTCCTCCCCTCGACGCAGACGAACATCGAGATCCTCCGCGAACGACCCAGCAACACCTTTGCGAAGTAGCTTCAATACCCAATACCCCCTAGATATCTCGTATGCCAGCGGTGGTATGAACGACGGTAATGGCTTAGGCAACCTTGCCGACGAGCTGGCCGACGCCTTCTCCGATTCCGGAGATGAGGACGAATACTACGAAGATGACAATGACCACGAAACTGGCAACGGCGACAGCAACGGCAAGGGGACACCAAACATCAACATCCAAGAGACCGAGAGACGAGCCAGCGCAGCCGAGGGAATACGGGACAGCGGGGTCGACGTCGCCTGCCTTGGCGACGACAACAGTAAAGCGAAGAATCTTAGTCTGGGGCCACCACCGCTCGTTCAACGCGGCCATCGTCGGAGTGGAAGCGAATACGATGGCAGTGAATATGGATCTGAGTCGGATCTCGACTCTCCCGGCATGCTGCCTAGTCTGGTGGCCAAAATGGATGCTGTGGAGTCTCTGGCGAGGAGAGGAACGGAGAGCAACGGAGGGCCCACCGACGGTGTTTTTCGCCGTGTTACGGAGGGTTTGCGGGATCTGGGCTCTCAGGCCGGCGTCGAGGGCAGCGCGACTAGGTATGTATTGCCTGGCTTCCTCCGTACGGCGCATTGCTAACATACACAGGCTTATCACCGCACATTCGGCCCTCACGACCCACCTCACGCACCAAACCCGTCAACTGCACAATCTGACTTTTCCTCTTCTCTCGCCCCTTGTCCCGCCCCCAGATTCTGAGACGATTGACGAATTACTGCCGCTTTTGATTGAGCTATCCGAGTCCATGCCCCGCCCGACAACCAAGGCCTATGACTCTTTGACAGCCCTCCATACGTTGACCTCGGACCTTGTGCAAAGCCTCAACTATCTCTCAGACACGCTCCACATGTCCAGACAAACCACGACAACGGCCACGCGCCGCTTGAAGAGCGCCAAAGAGCTGGTTGCCGAGATCAAGAGGGAGGAAGAGCTTCGTGAAGAGGGCGAACGGTGGCTGAACAGAGGGAATTGGAGCGAAAGGCTAGCCAAGCGTGAGTGCGCCGGGGTATGCGGCGATGTTGTAGGCGGCTTCGAGGAGGTATGTAATGGCTGGCGTGCCCGGTTGTTGGAGCAAGCCAGCTCTGCCCAAGCTTGAGAAGTTCGAGCATAACTACCTACTTATGGACAAGGTCTGGAAGGCGGACCATTGAAGTACCAATAAGGCTTGTCAAGGAACTTGGCGGGCGCATCTTTCATGCTGGCAAGGTTGGCTACGCGGGACATTGGGTCTGATAGAACCACGGGCATGCTTTTGTGTAAACCTCGGACTTTGGTGGCTTGCAGGACTCGCAAAACTTGCTAGACTATATGAATTTTCACGAGTTGATGAATACGACACGCAATGCAAGCAAAGGAAGTCTCGCAGAGGACAGCGAAAACTCAAGAGAAAGCAGCGTCTCGTCGCAGTACTGAATTCTCTGGTGTCCGTGAGTCCGACCAATCAGCTATAGCACATAGCACGAGACTCAAGTCACCAAAACCAAACATAGCACGGGCCTTCATACATTGCATCGTGGCCAGTCGATGAAGTCTCGGCAGGTTCAGTGTGTCCGTTTGGTTCGAGGACCCGGGAAATCCGGGCCTTGACATCACGATTCCGATGAGCTTTCGCATTTTGTAGCTAGATGAGACACCATATCTATCATGGGATAAACTACAACACCCTGCAATATTAAAGTGCGTGCATCGCAAATGGCGCAATGCGTGCACGCGTTGTCGGCTTCCAGAGGGGTTTGACATTGCATCTTGTGTTTCCGATTGTTAATTAAAGTAAAGTACTGTTGCGCTTGGGGAGAGATACAATAAAGAGGGTTTGGCTCAATCCTCCCCCAGCCTTATCGTATACGGAGGTCGAGCCGGGCCCCCGTCGGGGTCGTCGACGGCATGAGTGGTCACGGAACCAAGTGATGGACTGATAAGCCCCCGGCTCAGCCGACTCGACAAGCTTCCATGGCTCGCGCGGCTCAAGGGGCGGTCGAGCTCGTCCAGGCCATGGTCAGCGACGGACCCGTTGGCGTCGTTGAGCGGCCTATTCATGGCGGCAAAGCCCGATAGGCTCATTTGGTCGTCGACGGATGGGCGTGGTTGTTGCTGACCCGAAGCCCCGGCCCTGAGCAAACGTCCGCCAACCGGGGGCGCTTCTCTACGGTATTTGACCCCAGCCTCAGTCTCGTCATCGACGAGGACGACCATCCACACGCCCACGGCACCGTTGCTACCGAGGAGGGGCGTACAGTGTATCCAGCGCATTCGTCCGTCGCTGCTGGACCTGCTAACCCATCGAACTTTTGCTGTGACGCCGTGGCCGTCGGCGAAAGCATGCGAAAGCCCCTCGCGAACCCGGTTAGAGCCGCCTATGCGGTCCATGAAGTTGGACTGGAGGATACCCGGTAGCCGTAGGGACGGCGAGGCAAAGAGGATGCGGAGGCTGGGGTAGGGCCGGACGAGGAGGTAGTGTTCGTAAATGCCCGAAAGCTTGCCGCTGGCGAGTGGTATCACTGAGTTGGCTTGGTGGACGGGTGAGTATTCGTCTTGTATCAGGATGCGGGGCTTGTGCCAGTTTGTCGATGGCGCGGTTTGGTTCTCGTCCTGAGGCACACGGTGCATATTTCCACCTCGTCTCCGGACGGTCTCGAGTTCGGCCACGTTGAACATCTCACTGAGTTCCCGAAACTCGTCCCTTTCTTCATCCTCATCTTCGTAGTTATTATGCCCATTAACAGGGGTTATATCTGCGGCTTCTCTCTCGGCGACGAGACTCTGCAGAGCTTCGAAGCCGGAATTTTCCTTGGCGAGACCTGAGACATCCACCTGTGCGCCAATAAAGTAGCGTACTGTTCCGCGGCTATCGTAGAGCGGCGCCACCATAAGCAGGTTCATGAAGGGCGAGCCATCTCGGCGATAATTCAGAAACGTTTCGTAGTGTTCTTTCCCGGCTAGACATTTCTCACGTAGCCGCTTCACGCTGTACGGATTTGTCTTTGGGCCTTGAAGAAAACGACAATTGCGACCAATGACGTAATTCATCCCATACTGTGTTGTTCGGTGGAATTCTGGAGTCATGTCAGCCGATGCTCGTCCAGCACTCCCAAGAACTAGCACACTTGCCCTCTGACGCCATGACTATGGGATTATCATGCCTTGACGGGTCCGTCAGACAGAAAACTTCCGCCAGACCCTCAGACATTTCTCTCAGCTGGACAGGAAGTGTTCCCGTAATACGCCGCTTGATCGACATACTGACTATCTGTATCCACGTGTAGGTGATATAAGCAGGGAGGTCCTCCTGCACGAGAATGTCAAAAGCAGCCTCTGCTTTCTTCTCCAGTGAGCTGTTACATGTCGTGTTCGTATTCCCTGATGAAAACTCATATCCAGGCAAAGTATCCAAGCCATTTGCAATAGCGTTCGCGTAAGCGATGGCGCGAAGTGCCTTTAGACAGTCAAGGTAGTATGTCAAAAGGGGCAGTGAGGCGGGGCGAACGGAGTTGATGAAGTCGGTGAATCTCCTGAGGAGATTATAGTCTTTGAAAATAGCCTTCAGGTGGTCCTTTGAGAAAAGAAGTTCGGACCGAGCTTCCAGCGAGTACTGTCCAGTATCGCCGTGCGACGGCACTACGAGATCGAAGGAGCCCGGTTCAATTTCCTCCTCAGCCAATGGCTCTAGGATCTCATCATCGCCCGCGCCCTTGGTCTGGAGAGGCGGAAGTGAGGTGTTATTTGTTTGGTATGAAGACGTTGTTGAATTGGCCCTTGACCTAGAAGATCGTGTTCGAGGGGTTCTCGTGGGGCTAGGCGAGGTATGCCTCTGCTGGACGTGGATGAGCTCGGGGGACCTAATTCTTCCTCTTGAAGGATTCTCAGGAAACTGTACAGCACTGCGTCGATTTGTCAGAGGAGGTCTGTTATCAAGTTTTGTTGCTGCCCTTGTGCTGTCCGACTCAGGGTATGGTGTGCTTACCTCTTTTCGTGTCTATGGGCTATGGCAATGGGGTTGATGGGTCTTTGATGTGTGGTACAGTTGTTGTCCTCATCTTCCCAAACCTCTTGAAAATGCGACGGCATGGATGACTGGTTTACAGGACGCCTGAAGGGAATGTCAGGGATATCGGCTCCGCCTTCGCTTTCATCCATGGCCCGTCGATGCTGCTGCTGCTGCTGCTGTTGTTATTCGTGTGAGGAGGTAAGACTGAGAGTGTTGAAGGCTGCTACCTGTGGCTGTATAAGTTCCCCGTGCCTGTGTCGGCAATGGCTGGTGCTGGCAGGTGCTACTTGAGCCGTATACTATTTGCGCCGGAATAGTGCTAGCATAGAACGTGGCAAAGGTTAGGGTTAATGATGGAATCTGTTATTTGGACATGGCTATAAGTGGGAACGGAGAATGCTTTATATTGGACTTGAGCGAAGACGTTCGTAGGGTGTGAAGGAAGGCGGAGCACCAAAGAACAACAGACATGGGGTGTCCAAATCATAGGCCTCCACAACCATCCACCCCCGGACAATGCAGCGCCATCTAGGTAGACAGTGGGGAGGGTGATCAGAGAAGAGGGGCGCGGCAGAGACAAAGAAGGTATCCGTACAGCCAAGGGGGTGTGTGAGCAAAGATTGCCAACCAGGCGCACATGCATATACTGCGTGAACAAGCTAGCTTACTACTATGTACGTCAGGTATCCGTCTAATTGTGCCTAATCTTGTTCTGTCATCAATCTAGAGCAGGCACTCGCCAACTTTGGTAGCAAACATGAAAAAAGCATATACGTACCCAGTGTTGTGTTGTGGAAGAACGGTGGTCGCAATGAGCGGGATATGACTGTTGTGATTTGAGTTTCTATTAAGTCCTAACACTGCTAACTAGCCGGGCCTAAGTGTAGCTAGCTCCAAGCAGTCCGAGACATTTTCAATGGCCAAAATGGGGATGATGCAGACGCCGACGAGCCTTTGGAAGCTTGCTCGCAGACTCAGGCAATGGTGGCAGGTCGGGATTAATCCTACCAGGATGTCTGGTAAATATGCGAGAACTGCAAGGTCCGAGGGTCTTGATACTGAGTACTTGGACAAACCAGTCATCCGTTGAACAACGGTCCGTGGGTCCGTGGACTGACTGGGGTACCCTAACATGGCCCTTTTGAGTATTCGTAGAAGAGGAAGACTTATGTGCATCTTCCAGGGTCTAGGTAAACGAGATACATTGAAGGATGCGCGGCTCGAATGAAGAAGAATCTTGGAGATGATGCTGTAGAAGAAGAGGGAATGATAATCAGCCCATGGCATATGCAGCTGGGAGAGACAAGCTTGACGTAGAAGCATGAGGCGGTTTCCTGGCTCCGAATTAGCCTCAAAATATAAGATGCGGTCTTTGGGCGGCGCATGATCTATCTCCTCTAGCGCAGTGCTGGTACACGACTTTGGTGTCGTTCTGACTGACGAAATGGGAATGAAGCGCATTGAGTATACGCTGCGGGATGGGACCAAAAGGATGCCACATTGTTCGCATGCGTAGCAATGACCATGGCAAAGTCGAACGACTGCGCTTCAGCTAGTCAGGCCTTGTTCTAGTGTGGCGAGAGTTGCAGCGGATCTGCCGGGCAGTCCTTGAGCGTTATTATAGAAGAGTCGGCGGATTCCAAGCAACCCAAGGTCCACGCTTCGTCTGATTCGATGACAGCCGATACACGGACCTCGCCCCATGTCCTAAACGGGACAAAGAATAATTAGCGGTTGTAACCTGGCGGGTAGCATTTGACAGATGAGCTAGGCCTGGGGCTAATGACCCATGCATCCCGCTTGCTCTGGAGGCTGGGACTAGTATCATCGGCCTGATCTAGCCAAAAGAGTCAGGTCCTCGGTCTCTCGATGCTCATGCTGCTTCGATCTGCGGAGCTGCGACGAAAAGCTCAGATCGGCGATCAGACGTCAGCGTCAGATATTAATTATATTCTCACGGCGGATATGCAGGCGGCTATATCATTCCCGGGGGAACGGGAACCTTTGGACATCTCTGCCCGTGTCGTATCGCTGCCTCTAATGCGGCCAATACCTTATTGGTTTCCGGTAGTTGATATACTCGGCACAAGGGCTTGGTAGTACTTTACCACGGCCGTCGCCATGGACTTTTATTGAACGTGGCTAAGATGCTCGAGTAGTTTGCCCATTGGCCCGGCGCGCAGTCTGTAAGAGGTAGGACTATCATATTTGCGTATGGGCAAGTGTCTTGCTTCTATCATGTCGTGCATGTCTGATCTATGATCTGCGCAAGACTGGGACCTTTTGCTGAAGAAACACGCGGCAAATACGGCCAGTAATCAGCGAGGGTTCCACGCGGTAATTTGGAGCTTGGGTGTTTGTTACCAGTGACCCGGGGCAAGTGGGGTTAGTCACGTGAATAGATCCAAGTGGTCGGCAGTGAAAAGCGCTTCTTCGCAGGCCTTTCGTTGGGTAGGACATCGAGCCGGGGCCACCGCCGATGTCCCATCGCTGATTAGGAGTCAAGATCAGCGTCAACGTTCTCGGATGAATTGACTACCTAGACTTGGTCAGGGTACGCATGCTAGTGGCGACGGTGCCAACGGTAAAAGGTGCCAACGGTAAAAGGTGCAAGGCCGAATCCATGACGATAATCGATGCCACCGCACTGCAGGTTGCAATTGCTTAGAGAGGCGTGCAAGACCATTTGTAGGGATGAATCCGTTCCCAGGGTGTTGGTTTCTAGTCTCCACATACGACAACAGCTATGCCCAAGACGATGGGCCAAAGAACGTTGAGTCTCGACTGACCCAACTCTGACTGTACTCATCTTCGATAAGGTTCGGGCTGCCGAATCCACTTCGGAGTGAAGACAACAGAGAGAGGTTGCACATGTCCATTCGGCGACGTCCAATCGTCCCGCGTGGTCTGGCAGTCAATGGTTCACAATTACACAGTCAGCAGTCGACGCGCTTTTAAAGGTGCCCAACCCCTCTTTGCGGCGGTGTTCAGTCAACAGTCTCTGTTCAAGCTTCTCTTCCTCGGGTTTCAGCACGAGATGAGGACTCTACGCGAGGTAGGCCTAAGTACGGATACGGATATCTAAGTGCCGATGTAAGCGTGTTTCCACTATACGCGAACACGCGACACACGCGAAAACTACGCGCTATTCTCACATGCAGCCCTTGCTTCTCTCTCCTTCATGACGTACCCGCGTGGATCGTTGTTGTTAGCTGTAGCCAAGTAACGCTGGGAATGCCGTCTTCTGGCCTTTGGAGCCCAAGCTTTTGGTATACTAGGTAGATAGAACCGGAACCAACAGTCAAACCCGTAACGGTGGAGTGTCACAGAATATATGTGGGACTCGGGGACAAACTAACAAGTGCGCATTCCAGTATGAGCTTCGTCGTCTGGCCGGTATGGATGAATAGGTTCCATCGGTTGGCCCATGCAACAGACACGGAGGCTGGACAGGTCGATTGTTTGTGGCAGACGCGAGATGGGGCGTCCCCCCGCCACCCCCAATCAAAAACATCGCCCGTCAGCACGTCCCGACTGGTGACCTATTGGCTACAGCGCGTCTGGCGCGCCCCCTCGCTGGGCATCTAGGTAGATACGTAGCTAGGTACGTGGGGCCGACAACAAACAAACGCCCTTCACGGTCTTGTCCCAGCCCCCCTTTGCCCCGCCAGGGAGGCAGAAAACACGCCAGCTGAATTCCAACGCGGCGGCGACGATGACAAGAAAAGACGCGAACTCGCATCGCTTGGGGAAGGGCGAAACGCGCACATAGACACACGCCGGTTTGACCGACCATTGTGGCACTTATCCGCGGCGGTCCCGTCCTGCTGTTCCATCCGTACCTTGCATCGACTGGGAAGCGTCTTCCAGGTTGGGTTGTTGTCTCGGGTAGCAGACTGTGTATGTATGCGCTTCGTCGGCAATCCTTGTACGCTTATCATCTCAAATCTGTCATTTTGAGGCTCGGAAGGGCTCTTCGCAAAAGCTGGAACGATTCTTCCAACAATTACAGCACTGCAAGAGCTACGGAACCCAGCAATGGAGACGAGCGGCATTGTCCAGGGAAACGCGAAGTGCAAAAATGGCCCATGTCCCGCCTACTGGGTAATGGAGAAACAAGCCCAACATGGCCAGTCAAGCGCCAGGGAAAGTGGAAGCTATTTCTCACGAGCCATGCTGTTCCGAAAAGCGGGAAAGAGACTTGGGTAGTAGACATCATGATAATCGCCAGCAAATGCTGACCCGTGTATGTATTCTTTTCGAGATAGTAATATAGAGAGCGAGTTGACATACGGCAATTTGGAGATTGATTTCTTCTGTTTGTTGGTCTTGCCTTGTGGTGTGCTCAACCGCTCAGTTAGTTGCAACTCAAAAGGGAGCACGCCGAGGGGAGGAGATATGGGGGAAAAGCAAATATACGACAATTGCCTCGCGTTGAGTCCGAACGCCCTCATCAACAGGCCTTACCCCCTTGTCTTCCACGGGTTGTTTGTTGTTATTCGCTGGTAATTGCCAATGTTGTTGTTCCCCTCCCCCTCACTCCTTCCACTTCCATCGTTGCGGTGCTGCGCTAAACGCCCTCCCTCTCACCTTGCCTGTCGCGTCCAAATCGACGAAAGACCCTGGAAGGCGACCCAGACAGCGGCCCCAAGGGGGGCTACCACTCTTGTGTTGTTGCTCTGCCGTCGACGCTAAGGGCCAATAAGGCTAGTGTCCTGCCTTAACCGCGACTCTTGCGGTTCAGCCTCCCATCAGCGTCTACTTCTAAGGGTTACAGGTCCTCCGACAACAAGTATTACCCTGAGAGTCGGGTGGCTATTGGACGGCCACTGAGAAGTACCGCGCCGCACCGCACCGCACCGCACCTATCTCTCACTTCACCTTCCATCACTCGCCATCGACCGTACCCATCGCCTACCTCTGCTCTGCACCACGGTGGTCACAGACTATCTTTTGACTCTATACACACTCGACGTCCGACGGTCGTCCTGCACCGTCCTGACGAAGACGACAACGACGACGATATCGTGCTCGTGCTCGTGCTATTTGTATATTCTTCTTCTTTCTCAGCAGATCATTCTTTCGACAATATTGCGCATTGCCTCCCAGCACCTTATTGATTACGCCCGAGCTCTTGCAACCAGTGGGAAAAGCATGCGAACGACAACATCCTCAACACCACCGTCAGGGATAAGGTGGTGATTCTCTGACCGCGCCGACCAACAAAAACGAACTGACGACCATTCGGGCAATCTATCATTGCTACAGAGAGTCACTGGAATATCATTTTTACTACAATAATCATTGTCACCCAAAACCCAACGGCGACAACGGCTTCGACCCGTGCAGTTGCAGTGTGCTGGTGTGCTGCTAGATCGGTCCCCCCCCCCGCCATCCCCCGACGCTCGTCCCAGCCGCCTTTGCTGAACCTCAACCTCTCCGCGCAACTGCCATCACTCCTGTCGCCGACTCGAAACAAACAACGCAACAATGACGATTCCCGTCGATTCTTCGGCTGCCATTGCGGCCCACACTTCCACCAAGAGGCCAGTAGCAGAGACAAGTGATTCCGCAGCTGCGACTCCACCTCGCTTCGCAACACCTCCTCCGCCCTCTGATCGGGGCCACCTCGAAGACCGCCAGAATCTAGAAAATACGAACCAGCGCAAGATTCAACGTAGCAGGAGACCGAGTGAATTGGCTCGCGTCAATGGGTTTGACGCCGACGCGGTCGACAGTGCTTTGCTTCGAGAAATGCACCACCGGTCACAACGAGAAAGCACACCAGGCGCCAGTCCGCACCGGAAGCGCCAGAGGATAAATGGCGATAGGTGCGTGTGCAGCGACGCGACAACCCTCCCCAAATTCGTTTCTAATTCCGAGCTGCCAGATTCATTCCCACACGGTCAGGTCAAGACCTCCAAGCCAGTTTTAGCTTGCTTCACGAAGATGGCTCCCCAGCGACACCATCCAAGCAAAAGAAGCGTACCCCTCATGGAGAGCTTCATTTTCAGAAGAGTGAGCCACATTTGTCTTAGGTGCAGGTATCGATCTGACCAATATCATCTAGCTGAGGAGGCAAACCGTACATTCTCGACGCTACTTCGCGCTGAACTGTTCGAAGGCTCAATACCGCAAGCAACGCCATCGGTTATGTCTCCAGAGCATTCTTTATCTACCGCGTCCCACTCGGCACACATACGAGATGGCACGAGGTCTCGCACGCCGCCCAATAATGCTTCCACTACTTCTTTACCATCATCTTTGACGCCCTCCACGCCCCACAAGAACTTGTTCTCTTACATGTCACCTCGACAGTTGAGCAACGCGGGCCACCTAACACCGTCCAGGACACCCCAAAGCCGACACGGCCCCAACTTGGACACTCGCTCCGAGATATATAGTCTCTCTCCAGTTCGCTTCAATAGCCAGCAAATGTTGCTCAGCCCGCGGCGACAACCTCGGGCGGTCAGCAAGGTACCTTACAAGGTGCTCGATGCCCCCGATCTGGCAGATGACTTCTACCTGAACTTGGTCGATTGGGGCAGCGCCAATGTACTGGGGGTAGGCCTTGGATCTAGCGTTTACATGTGGAATGCTCAGACAAGTCGTGTTAACAAGCTTTGTACGCTCGAGGATGATACGGTAACGAGTGTGTCGTGGATCCAGAAGGGAACGCACATTGCCATTGGTACCGGAAAGGGGCTGGTTCAGATCTGGGATGCCGAAAAGACGAGACGACTAAGGACGATGACGGGCCACACGGCGAGAGTAGGATCTCTGGCCTGGAACACCCACATCTTAACCTCGGGTTCGCGCGACCGACTCATCTACCACCGGGACGTTCGCGCTCCTGATCAGTGGCTAAGGAAACTGGTCGGCCACAAGCAAGAGGTTTGTGGCCTCAAATGGAACTGCGAAGACGGCCAGCTGGCTAGCGGTGGTAATGATAACAAGCTCATGGTCTGGGATAAGCTCTCGGAAACGCCGCTTTGGAAATTTTCTGACCACACTGCTGCTGTCAAGGCCATTGCCTGGTCGCCCCATCAACGTGGATTACTGGCGTCAGGAGGCGGAACGGCAGACCGCAGAATCATTTTTCACGACACAGCCAGAGGGTCTGTCATTAACGAGGTCGACACGGGTAGTCAGGTTTGCAACATTGCCTGGTCCAAGAACTCCAATGAGATTGTCTCGACACACGGGTACAGCCAAAACCAAATCGTCGTCTGGAAGTATCCTTCGATGACGCAGGTGGTTAGCCTCACAGGCCACACGTATCGTGTGCTGTACTTGGCGATGAGCCCAGATGGCAGAACTGTCGTGACCGGCGCCGGTGACGAGACTTTACGGTTCTGGAACGTGTTTGGACGACGGCCCGGAGCTAGGGAAGACAGCGATGGCGGCAGACTGTCCGACTGGGGCGTCATCCGATGAAAACCAGATGGGAGCACTCATGGGACATGATACCACCATATTCCTTTTTCTTTTTCATCCGTTTCGGGGTGTTTAATACGGTTATAGGTGGTGGAAAGGGTGGAAGGGATGGGACCAGCACTCGAATTATGTTTCATGCGAGTGTTGATGGGAAGAGGAAACGTAAATACCCCGCTACCGGTTGCATCATGTGCATGAAAATGGCGTCACGACAGGTTGGAAGGATACATGGCATTCTTGTGGTTTCCGGGAGTTGTCTTTTCCAGGCGTCATTTACAGGGTTGCCTAATATTGTGGCTTCAGCGGGTCGGTTGTGAAGGACACAACCTTTGGGAGAGGGTCTCAAAGGCTATCGGGGAGACAAAAGCCGGACGGGAGCAAGTTACCTACGGAAAAGGAGAGAAGGCTCCTGTCATCTTCTGCATCAGACTTAAGCGTACATGGTGTTCATCGCAGTGTTTGTTGGGGAGTATGGCATATATCAAACCAAACAGCTACTACTAAGCGTAAACGGACAAGACCAAATACAACTCAGTCCAGCTTTCTTGCACTCATGGAATGATGCCTCGAACGAAAAACAGCAGTGCCAATCTATCAGCCCTCATGCGAAAGCGCTCATAAATCATTCCCACCGCATCTGAACGTCATTGTAAATAGGCCAACGGGGATGCAGTATACAGTAAAAAAAACCTGCATCGTCAATGAGAAATAAGACATTCCAAGCACTTTAAAGCCCTTGGTAATTGTTTCGCAGATGATTACAAAGAAAACGAATCCCTCGTGGCGTTGCAGGCACCCAACCTCCTAGCTGCTTCCGAACTCGCACTTCCTGATAGAGGTCAGACTTGACCTTCAGATTCCACCTCAACTCGCTTTCCTCTCTCTGGCAACATCTCTGGCACCCCCATCCACGCCGCTGGCCTCAGCCTGAGCCGAAAGCTCCTCACCCAGCAGCGGAATTCGATCCGAGGGGCCGCTTGCCTTGATGCTCTCCCCAATCACGTTATTTTCATGCTTCAAGGCACTTTCGAGGTTCTCATCGCTCATCGAATCGTTGGTATTTGCCAGGTGCAGCTCACTTGGTGGGGGCCCCTCAGGGTTAGGCATCATCAGGGGGGAATGACCGCTCATCACGGGTGTGTTTTGCCACTGCTTGACCTCGGCCCTTAGAGCCTCGAGCTCCTTCTGGAAGCGCGTCCCAAAGACATCGATGTAGTAAGTTGCTCCGTTGTAAACACTCCATGTGAAGACAATCGTCAGGAAAGCCGCTGAGGCGTATCTGCTCATGAACCAGATGGGACAAGGAAGCATGGTAAGTACCGCATACGAGTACTGAATCAGCATAAATGCCGATTCTTGTAGAGCGTCCGGCAACGAAAGCACAACCTTGCCGATCCAGGTCTTGGAGTATGACTTTCGTAGCCATGTGAAGGATGTAGGCCGCCCCGCAGCAATCTTGTCGCGCCTGCGAACTGTAATGAAGAAGTAATAGGACAACTGCCATATAGCATATGGTATGGAACTCCAAGCCAGCATAGAGACGATGTTTCCGTAGGCTGTGGGCGAACCAGCAGGTGAGTGTTTTATAGTCCAAATGGAAGGGAGACGGCTAGCCTGAAGCTCTTCGGGCCATAGGTGGACGATACAATGAAGTGTTGCGCAGGGCATGATGTGAATAAAGAGAGAGGTAACCTTGTCGAAACTGTGGAAAACGAGCGAGTTTCTCCACATGATAATGGCCACAGCGTTGTTGCCAAACGCAAGGCAGTAGGTGGCTAGGAAGAGTCGCTTTGAGCCAGGGAAAACCCAGATGCTAAGAACCAAGAGCAAGTTGACGAAATAGCATAGATCTGCAAGGAAGTAGTGGTAACCGCGACGGTGGTAGGTGAAGTAGCGGATGGGCATGAAGTACATGACCTGAACCGTGTACCACAGGTGGAAGTACTCGGGCCAGCCGCCCATGAGAAGACCGCTCACGAAAATGTTCATGACGCCAAAGATGAAGGACACCTTTTCGCGCAAAGTTACCACTCTGGTGTCGTTCCACTGCTTCCCAAGCTTGTCAACACTACTGCGCATCCGTTTTCTGTATCTCTCGAGCTGTTCCTCTGCAGTAGGAACTCGGCGCCGCCATTCCTCTACGACTCGTTTTTGGGCGTGCTGACTCTTGTTCTTGAAAACGTCTCTTGATTTGCGAACCTTTTGCGTTTGGGCGGAAATGCCTTTCTGTAGCTTTTCGAGCTGTTGAGGCAAGGCAAAGTTGTCAAGAAGGTCTAGCACGGAGATGCGGTCCAGCGGCGGGAACACATCCCAGTCCTCTTGATATGAGCTGCTACCAGAGAATGACGGATTTCTCGAAAGCTTTGGGCTTCCATCGTTGACAGGCCCTAGCGTCGGTGTATGGAGACCATCTTGGTCTGGTGGGGAGGAGCTAAGGTTGGACTGAGTCTCGATCGGATCGAGAGAGAAGGCGGTTTCACTGTCGGTATGGGCATCGTCGCCTTTCGCATTGGGTATATCAAGTGGGTTTGACTCGGCCATCTTCGACTGGAACCACTATTGAAAAAAAGACAGATTTTGTCGGCGGTCGTAACTTCCTATTGGAAATCTACATAATTGACGGGTCAAGTCAGTCCTGGATTTTATAATATATTCATCGGGTCGTCGTAGCAAAAGGACTATGCGATGTGGGAGAGGAGGCTGGCCGTAAAGTTAATGTTACGGCGTACCTTTCGGAGAAGCCACCCTTGGCCTAGACATAGAAGTCGGTTGATCCCTCGAGGATGAAGCTTTCGAGCTGTGGTGTTTGGAAAAGAAAGCCTGGGTTCCGTTGCAAGGGCGCGGGGGGTCGAGGTATGCAGCGCCGGCTGTTCCTCTCAAATGCTGGGATAGACGATTTTCCGTTTGGTAGTTGGTGGGGGAGGAATGATTCGGGTGCAGAGCGCCGCGCGGGACGTAGCTTGAACCGCGGCGTGACTAGGAGGATGGTTGGGGGGCAGATGACCACCGCTTGTATGGGTGTGGTGAGGAGAGAGAAACCAGGAGATCTGGAACACGTTGAGCTTTGGCGATGATTTACACGTGTTGATGATTGACCGCTACAGCTCCTTGTCGTGTAGCGAGTCTGGCAGGCAGCACCTCACAGCTATCTACCTACTACACTGGTACTTGGTCTTACCTGGGAGCTGGAACAGCATTTCGAACAGGGGTCGTCGCTCCCAATACGTCACAGGGCGTGGCTACTCCGCCAGCCGAAGCTTATCGGGGAGATGAATGCAGCCAGGCACTGAAGTGCCTAACATGGACAATAGCATTTGATGCTAATAATGACAGAGACAGGGCCAATATTCGTCCAACTTGCACCGATAACGCCTGAGCGAGCTTGGTTCCAGACCAGGGCATGAGGCGCATTGTCCGGACCCGGCAAGCATAGGCACCACAAGATGCAAACACAGCTGGGTAGTAATCTGTACAGGTGTTGTTGGATGAGACGGTGAGACAGTATTACGTCAAAAGTCTGTTTACAGCAAAAGGATAACTAACCCAAGGAAGAGTCAAAGAGAGGACCCACTAATAGCTTGAGATCACTCCACAGTGCGCCACAAAGGCTTTATGCCTCAGCAGCCCACTGTAGGTTTTAATTGGCTGTCTTTTCTGCTGTAAACAGACTTTCGACCTGGTACTGTACACTCCGCCGGGGTTCTAAATGCCCAGCCCCACTTACAGGTGTACCTAGTATGAGCAAGCACACTATGAAGCGTCTAGTAACAGTACTTTTACGTCTGAAACAAGTCGACCTAGAGATATACCTAGGAGATCAAGGAACTCTGTAGAGGTATCCTTCCTATAAGATCGAGAGGAAAGCGAACTTTCTGTGGGTTTCTGGACCATTTCACCGCGCTAACATTTAGAACCCCGGCGGATTGTACCTACCTGAATATGTGCAGACTCTGTATCCGTACGTACTTTGTGATGCTCACCATCACGTGATAACATCGAAACGCCGCATCGATGTGGCTCGAGCTTCTACACACTCGACGGGGTCAGCCTCAATGTGGCCGGCCAGTCAGTGTCCCGTCGCGTCCAGGTGCAACAGGAGCACTCAAGACGCGCGTGTAGGGAAATTCGAGCTCTATACCCCCCCCCTCTCAAACTGTTACCAACCTCGCTGTCGCCAAACGATTCCTTCCGAGTGCCTGTCCGTCATGCGCCAGGCTATTTTGATGCCCTTAACACCCGAATCAACTGTTATCAAATCCTCAACCTTTGCAACTCAAAGTTGTTGCTTGTCCATCGCGTCGCCTTCCTGTCGATCCGTTTTTCTCGCGCGCTCACCACTTCGCGTTTGCGACGATCTTTAACTGAAGCACACCAACCCACTACAGCCATAGTCACTATCGTTGCGTGTCCCGCGACACCCCGCCGATAGAATGGGGAAGCTCATTCGTTTGGAGCTTTTCAGTATGTTCATGTCTTCTTTCTAGTCGTCCATGTTACCCTGGCGCTGACTCGTCCTTACAGACTTCAAGTCCTACAAGGGCCATCATATCTTGCTGTTCGGCGACTCCTACTTCACTTCCATTATTGGCCCCAATGGATCCGGCAAGTCGAACTCGTAAGTCTACTAACCTTTCCGCGCTACATCTGTCTGCCAACTGACGTACTGCTGTGGGCAGCATGGACGCGATATCCTTCGTGCTTGGCATCAAATCATCGCACCTCCGATCAGCCCACCTTAAAGACCTCGTGTACCGCGGTCGCGTACTCAAAACCTCCAGGATCCAGGATGACGGTTCAGCCCAATCGAATGGCCAAAGTAACGGCGACGGAGATGATTTGTCGCAAAAGGCTTCCCGGAGCGATCCCAAGACCGCATGGGTCATGGCCGTCTACGAAGACGATGCGGGTGACGAGCAGAAGTGGAAACGTTCCATCACGAATCAGGGTTCAAGCGAGTACCGCATCAACGATCGCGTTGTCACCGCTCAGCAGTACAACGAAGCGCTCGAGTCTGAAAACATCCTCATCAAAGCGAGGAACTTCCTCGTCTTCCAAGGAGATGTCGAAGCTATCGCTGCACAATCGCCACAGGATCTTACACGGTTGATCGAGCAGATCTCCGGCAGTTTGGAGTACAAAGGCGAATACGAAAGGTTACAGACCGAAGCTGAGCAAGCTGCCGAAAACCAGAGCTTTCAACTCCACCGTAGGCGCGGCATCAACTCTGAAATCAAACAGTACCAGGAACAGAAAAAGGAGGCAGACAACTTCCAAAAGAAGACGGAGGAAAGGGATGAAGCTATTGTCAAGCATGCTCTTTGGAAGCTGTATCACTTCCAGCGCGGCATGGATGAGTCCACTGAAAAGATTCAGGATCACCAGCAGAATCTGCAGGAGTTCCAGCGCAATGTCGAGTCCTTTCGGAAAAAACTCGAAGCCGCCCAAAAGGAGCAGCAGGCAGCAGCAAAGCAGGTTCATGGGGTGGAAAAGGCCATCAACGCCAAGAAGCGGGAATTCGACGAGCTGGAGCACAAACTCATCCCTATTGACGCCAAAATCGAAGAAAAGACGCGCAATATTGAGCAGTGTCGCTCACGTATGGAGCCGGTCCGTAAAGAGCGTGATAAGCAGGCTGAGCTCATCAAGGAGGATGAAGGTCGGCTCAAAACCACTGAGAAAGCACAGAAGCATTTCGAGTCGCAGCTAAAGGAGCGAATGAAGAAGTTGGGGAAGGAGCTCAGCGAGGACGATCGTAAGGAGTACAACGCCCTCCGTTCTCAGGTTGTACAAAGGTGCGCAGGCAACCAGGCAAGACTCGACAACTTGATCCGTCAGCAAAAGACCGACGAGGTCACTGTGAATACGCTCAAGGGAAAGGTCGACACCCTCTCGGCCGCCCTGGAGAAATATGAGGGGGAGTTGGAGACTCTGGGAGAACGCAAAGCATCAACTGAAGGCAACATCAAGGCATTATCCCAGGAGATCGACACCAAGAAAAAGCAATACCACCAAATCCAGTCGGAGCGTGTGAGAACTAGTCAAAGACGCACGGAGCTAGAGGAGAAGCTGGAGACCGTTGCCAAGCAGCTGCGTGAAGCAGACGATGGCCGCCGACAGAATGACCGAGAAGCCAGAATGAAGGAAATGGTCAACAACCTGAAGCGACTCTACCCGGGCGTTAAGGGACGAGTGGGCGATCTTTGCAAGCCCAAGCAGAAGAAATATGATGAGGCTGTCAGCATTGCTTTGGGCCGAGACTACGAATCAGTTATCGTCGACACTGAGAAGACGGGCCACGAATGTGTTCAATACCTCAAGGATCAACGCTTCCCACCAATGACCTTCATCCCTTTGGACAACATCAAGGTCAACGCCGTAAATGGGGCTATCAAGGGCATTTCGGGAGCCCGTCTCACCATTGACACAATCGATTTTGATGCTGCCTACGAGCGCGCTATGGCCTACGCCTGCGGAAGCTCAGTTGTGTGCGATAACGAGCAAGTCGCGAAGCTCATCTCGTACGAAAGGCGTATTCCTGTCAAGACAGTCACTCTAGATGGTTTAGTCATCCATAAGACCGGCATGATGACGGGTGGTCGTGGCCCAGAGCCAAAAGGTGGAAAACGCCGTTTCGAGAGCTCAGACTTGGATTCGTTGAAGAAGATGGCGGCCAAATACAAGGAGGAAATTGAGAAGCTTCCCAAGTCTGGTCGCCGCAGCACCGCTGAAGAGTCTCTTCAGACTGAGATCCACGGACTTGAGCCACGTCTGGCGAATGCCAAGGCCGAACTGGCACACCTGGAGAAGAACTATGACAGCAAGAAGAGAGAGCGAGACAATGAGGAGAGGCAGCTCAACGAGCTCCAGCCCAAGTACGAAGAAAAGACAGCGGAGCTCGAAGCAACCAAGCGAACTGTGAGGGAATTTTCGGACGCCATTGCAAAGGTAGAAGACGAAGTATTTTCCGGCTTCTGCAGGAGGCTCGGCTTCAGCGACATTCGTGCCTATGAGACAGAGCACAGAGACATGCAGCGAGAGGCCGACGAGGAACGTGCCAAGTTCGAGGTGCAGAAATCTAGGTTCCAGAGCCAACTTACGCTGGCACGGGACATGCACAGCAACCTGGAGAAACGACTCAGGAAGTTGCAGGAAGCTCTCAAAGCTGCTGAGCGCGACTTACAGACCTTCCAACAGGAGAAATCAGATATCGAGGATGCCACGCACGAAGTGTCTGATGAACTCGATGCGCTCAGCGAGACACTAGAGGAGTACCGCGGCAAACTAGAGGAAAAGAACCAAAAAGTTTCCCAGGCCAAGGCTGAGGTCCATAAGCGAAGCAAGGAGATTGACGCCAGACAGAAGGAGATCAATGCCCTGGAGACAGTGGTGCAGAAGAATAGCGCGGGCAAGTTTGCGTTACTCAGGCGATGCAAGCTTGAACAGATCCAGATCCCCTTACTCGAGGGCTCCCTCGACAACCTGCCGAATGAAGACAACATGCTGCGACAAGATGCTGACGCCATGGATGTCGATGAGGAGGTGGATGACGAAGATATGATGACCGCTGCTCTTGAGAACTACGGTATTGAAGTCGACTACGATAGTCTGGATGAGGAGATGAAAAACGTATGTATGCTCTCAACGATGTGTCTTAACAAACAGCCACTGACCCGCCATGCAGTCCGACGATGCCAGTGTTGAGGAGAAGCTGCTAGACAAAATCGCATCGTTGACCTCAGAGCTTGAGAAGCTCAACCCCAATATGAGGGCAATTGAGAGGTTAGAGAGCGTTGAGTCGAGATTGAAGAATACGGAAAAGGAGTTTGAGGAATCCAGGGCGGCTCTTAAGGCGGCCCGGGATGCATTCAACCACGTCAAGGCCCAGCGGTACGAGCTGTTCAACAAGGCCTTTACGCATATCCAGGAACAAATCTCGCATGTCTACAAGGACCTCACTCGATCAGAAGCGTACCCTTTGGGCGGCCAAGCCTATCTCGATATCGAGGAGGACACAGACACACCCTACCTGTCGGGCATCAAGTACCACGCTATGCCGCCGCTGAAGCGATTCAGAGACATGGAGCACCTGTCCGGAGGTGAGAAGACCATGGCTGCGCTGGCTCTGCTGTTCGCCATCCACAGTTACCAGCCCAGTCCCTTTTTTGTGCTTGACGAGGTCGATGCTGCATTAGACAATGCCAATGTCGACAAGATCAAGAAGTATATCCGGGAGCACGCTGGACCTGGCATGCAGTTTATCGTTATCAGTCTCAAGACTGGCTTGTTTCAAGACAGCGAGAGTCTGGTTGGCGTGTACCGCGACCAGGAAGTCAACAGCTCCAGGACACTCACCCTTGATGTAAGCTAATGCAACCGTATATGCTATGACCCGGATACTGACAATGGCACAGCTTCGAAAGTATGCGTAGTATAGAAGACAAGATAACGAGACGTATTATGTGCGAAAGATAGAGAGAAGGGGGGACTCGGTTTTGCGGGATGAATGGGTGGGGAGGGAAAGAGACGAGTCACGATACCAGCCCTGCGTTCATGGCTTTTGAGCGGTTATGGGTTGTGTGGAAGAGTGCGAGTGTGCTCTCGACATTTGCTTCACATCATGTATCTCTCCTTTCCCTTGCACGGTTCAAGGTTAGCGTTGTGGCCACGCCGTGGTTTGGCAGGGTTGCGATTGGAGTTCGGACTGTAATACGGCCGACCGGTGGAATATTAACTTTATTTCATGAATTGTTTTTTTCTGTTATCATGAATTGTTTTCTTCGGTCATCCTTGTCTCTTCAACCTGCGCTAATGCCGAACTCACAAATACAGGTACTCGGCATTCGGGTAGACGTAGTGAAATGAATTGGTAGCCAAGATTGGACCAGAGGAGGACGCGGCGGTGGGAAGGGAGGGTGGATGTAGGTACGTATCTTTCAAGGGACCCTTGCGACCCATCGCGGTGCATGGATGCCTGTAGAAGAGCTAGGTACCTATCTGCAGCTCTGTTCCGTTGGCCGCTAAGGACGGATACCACTAGGGCCTTTTCCCCGATCCAAAGACTGAGTGCGACTGCGATTTCGTGAAGGCCAGCATCAGCTTCCTTCATCTCTCTTCTTTCTCAAGGCAATGCCCTCGGCCTCTGCCACACAAATCGAGCTTTTCCCCTTGTTTTATTTTCCCGTGCTGGAGAAAGAACCTTAACATTTCGCAGGTGGCGTGCGCAGTCGCAAGTCGCCGCTTCAATATCATACCTGTCATGGACATCGCTTTTTGAAATAGCGAAAATATCGTCCGCCTCCGTCTTGTCCAATCTTCGCATATTACCCCCCAGCTCATACCCAGCAGTATTGAGTAGCAAGACTATAAGATGGCTCAGCCGCTGGATCTCGCAAAGACTCTCGTCAAGTCTGTTATGCGTGCTTTCTACGAAACCCGCCACATTCTGATCATCGACGCCTTGATCATTCACTCTGCGTGCGTTTCGCACTTCCGAGCTGTTGCGCAATATCCCTAACCTGCGACAGGCTTCGAGACGATGACTTGGCTTACCTGATGGCGACGAACACAAAGGATCTTCATAAGGCATGCGGAAAGCTCAGAGAGGACCGCTTTCTTGCTGTGTAAGCCTTGCGCCTACCTCTTGTAATCTTCGTTCGGAACTGACATTGGGTCTCGCTCAGTTACACGAGACTGGAATATCGCGAAGACCCCAAGAACCCCGAGGCGAAACCCCGACCCGTCAACCGAACATACTACTACATAGACTACCGCCAGACCATCGATGCCATCAAGTGGCGTGTGTATACCGTCGACAAGCAGATTCAAGGCACCACCGTGCCAGCGAGCGAACGCAAAGAGTACTTTTGCGGGCGTTGCAAATCGGAATGGACCCAAATGGAGGTACTCGACAACGTTGGCCCCGAGGGTTTTGTCTGTCACCGCTGCGGCGCTCCCCTCACCCACGATCTCGAGCGCAACTCAACCGGTCACGAGCAATCAACCCGGCTGAACAATCAGTTCAAGTTTATCACCGAACTGCTGCCACGTATCGACGAAATGGTTGTACCGGACAACACATTCGATATTGCGATTAGCAAAGCCCTACCCGTTGTGCGCGACGCAAGCTACCAATCCGTCACGACCATACCCGTCTCTTCCCTGCAACCGACATCAGTCAAGGGTCTTGATAACGTCGGCCCCAAGTCGATGTCCGTCAGTATATCCACATCGGATGGACCATCGGAGGCAGAGAAGGCTGCAGAGAAGGCGCGCAAAGAGAAGGTCGCACAGCAGAATGCGCTCCCCTCGTGGATGTCGAATAGTACTGTCACCGGCGAGTCCTTCTCAGCCCAAGCCGGCCCGACATCTGCCACCAAGATCGAGGAAACGGACGACAAGGACGCTATAGTTAGGTCAGCAGACAACCCAGAACATGCAGAACTGGACGACTACTTTGCTCGCCTCAAGGCTGAGCAAGAGGCTGAAGCGGCAAGGGCAATGGAGGAGGAGGAGGACGATGATGACGATGACGAGGATACTTTTGAGGATGTGACGCCAAGCGTCGAGACTCCAGCTCCAGCTATTAAGACGGAGCCATCACCGGACTCTGAAGAAAGAGTGGTCAAGAAGGTGAAGGTGGAAGCGCCAGTGGATGGGGAGGATGGAGAGAGTGACGAAGACATGGAATTTGAAGACGTCTAGAATCGATGCTTTTTTAACGAGGTGTGCATCATCCTCTTGCCTTGGGGTGTTGGTGATCGGGTAGGCAGAATGCAACGATGTACATCTATTATGGGTTGAGACCTTTTGGTTTCCCCTTTATAAGACTGCATTAAATAAGTTTCGCGATTCCACCGCAAAATATACCACCAATGATCCTTTCAGCCCAAGACCGGTCATCTTGACGATTCGAGGATAGAAAATACGCAGATTCGTTCTGACGTTGGCAAGCCGCTTCGACAATGGTGCATTGCGTATGGGGTGTTTGAATATTGAATGATGTCACCGCCCAAGCAAAAGGGATGATTTGCTCGCGAAACGACATACTTCTACCTTGATCCCACAACAAGCTTCGCCCCTCAAAGGCGACCCGAAATCACCAGCGGTGGCAGTATAATTTTCATTCAAAAATACTAATAATGGTGTCAGCTCTTTATTGTTAGGCAACCCGAACTCGTTTAGGACTAAACCGCTGGCTTGCACTTCAAATCTCTATTGGCAACGATTCAGGTATTCTACTCACTTCAGTATCACACGAAAAACAAACATCAAGCCGGCTGACTGCAAGCCTATCATCGCATTCAGGGCCGCTCTACCAGCTTCGACAGTTCCTCTGATTTACGCCAACCGATGTTGATAATATTACTATGACCAAGATGGGGTTTGACCTTCCACCCGTCTACCTTCTTGCCACTCACTTGAAGCCGGAAGAGTTGCACGATCTCGAAGGGAAGGTTTCAAGTTTGACATACAACATCAAGGAGGCCGAGATCATCGTTGGCAATATTTCCAAGCGTGAACGGGCTCTTTTCGAACTAAGGCGCGGAAAGGTGTATACTGATCCTGTAGGTGTGGGTGATGTCGCCAAGTCACTCGTCACGACACCTCGAAAGCGCAAGAGGACATCATCTCAGAATGACGGCGACTCAACTTCGAACACTGAAGATGTAAACAGATGCGGATCAATTCCGCTACAGTCCATGGAGGCTTCATCTCTGGCGCATCGGCCTGGTAACACCAATACTGTCAAGGTCGTGAAGCTAGCGTGGCTCACAGACTCTCTGGAACAGAGCAAGGCCGTCCCAGTTGGTGGCTATCTTCTTTATGAAGGCTACAAGAAAAACTCACCCGAGACGCCTGTCGAATTGAAGGACAGTGACATGATATCACGCGCTGCAGCCGGCGATACTTCGCGCCTGCGAAGCACTATCTGTTCCGAGGGGAAAGGAAGCAAATCACCGACGGATGTGCATCGAAAAACCGTTTCGCTGATCAGGCAAACGACATTAGAGCACGATTCGGTTCTTCGGCTGCCACCTATACCGTCGTTTCTTGGAACGACTTTTGCCTGTCAACGGGCGACGCCTGTTAGACCCCCAAATGTCGCTTTCGTCGATGAGTTGAAGAAGATACGGACTGCACGGAAACTAGCGGGCGATCACATAGGGGTCAGGGCCTACTCAACGTCTATAGCTACCATATCGGCATATCCTTATGTGATTGCCATTCGACAAGGTGAGCATGTGTCTCCCGTCCCAAGGACAACAGGATAGGTAATACTGATATCATACAGAAGTTGCAAGACTCCCTGGCTGTGGAGTCAAGATCGCCGAGCTGTGGCATGAGTGGGAAAAAGCCGGTAGGCTTCGTGAAGCAGATGAAGCTCAGGCAGATTCTAAACTGTCAGTCATACAAACGTTTTACGATATCTGGGGAGTCGGTGACACTACGGCTCGAGATTTTTATAGCAGGGGTATGCTGCAGCTTGGAACGGCAGCGTCCATTAGCTGACAAGCATTTACAGGATGGCGAGACCTGGATGATGTCGTCGAGCACGGCTGGGACAGCCTGAGCCGCGTCCAGCAGATTGGCGTCAAATACTACGACGAGTTCAAGCTGAAAATACCGCGGACGGAAGTCAGGGATATTGCTGACACCATTTTGGCACATGCCCGGAAGATTAACTTGGGATTTCAACTGGTTATCGTGGGGGGTTATCGGCGTGGCAAACAGGGCAGCGGTGATGTTGACGTGGTGATCAGTCATCCGGACGAGTCTGCTACAATGCACATTGTCGAGAAGTTGGTTGTGAGCTTGGAGAAGAGCCAGCACATCACGCACTCGCTCATGTTGAGTAACCACAACAGCGAGCGTAGGCAGCGGCCCGTCAGTTGGAAGGGTAACGAGTCAATAGGAAGCGGCTTCGACACCCTTGACAAGGCCCTCGTGGTCTGGCAGAAGCCCGAGACCAAGACTAAGGCATGCTCCAGCGAAGCCGAGGAGAGGACGCATCGGCGGGTAGATATAGTTATCAGCCCATGGAAAACGGCTGGGTGTGCAATCTTGGGCTGGAGCGGAGACATGACGTTCCAGCGAGACCTGCGTCGTTACTGCAGAAAGCAGAAGGGCTTCAAGTTCGACAGCAGCGGCATCCGAAGCCGACAAGATGGTAGCTGGATCGACCTGGAGGGCGGGAAGCTTGGGAAAGCCCCCGATATGTTAACTGCCGAAAGAAGGGTGTTTGAGGGACTTGGTCTCGACTATATCCCACCGGAGGATAGGTGCACCGGATGAGGATGAGTATTGCTTGCAAGGACAACCCTCAGTCAACCTGGACCTCTCAAAACGATGACGAGCTGCCGGGACCTAAGAACCCCGCCATTGTGCAACCGTTGGTCGAGCAGATAATGTCATTAACTTGGCGCAAGGCCCTGGTGGTAGATGGCATGGTGAGGCGGGACTTAGAATGGCGTGCTGGATCCCGCCGCCATCTGATTGGGAGAGAAGCGCTCCAGACGCTCTGAAGCGCGGTCAACTAAACTTTGCGGCCTGGCATGTATCAACATCTTCAAGGTTAATCTGGCTCTGTGAGCAACCTCACCCACGGTCTCGTCATTGCAAGCTGGTTGGTTCTAATGTTCCTGGCAGGCAAGCGTTGACGTCAAATTTACAGGGGTAAAAGGGGCTTGGAGGCCACAGTCTCCGTTCAATTAGTAAAATGGGCCAAAGTCCGCCTCGAAGTCCGCGCATTCTGGAGAGCCATCATCGGCGGTCGGAGTTTGGTTTTGACCGCCTCATGATTAACAAGCCGCCGTCGGCGAATTTCCATACCGTCGGCACAAGGTTCCGTTCCGTAGTGGTGCATGTGTTCAAGCCTGGACGCTTTCGTGCCAGGCTGCGCACCCCACCCCCCAACAGAGGAGAGCAGCGGGCCAAAACACCTCGCGTCTCGAGCGTAGGTAGCTTGGGAGGCGAATTATAAGAGCTAATGTCTCTGCTTCCATTTTGGGTTTGTTTTCTTGTTTTGTCCTGCAAACCAAAGTCCCCCACCCACTTCCAATATCAACTCGTATCTCTGCAAACGTATTCGCCCCTTGGAACCACATAGCACCCCCTTCACAAGTTCGGCCAATTCGAGTTCTCGGCCCTAGAAGCTTTCCAAACAGGAACCCACATCAACACCCAAATCGACATACATCTCATCACCATGTCTCTCACACTCCAAGTCCCCAACGAGTACGGGTATGTGACGGCTGTTTCTTCATTTTCAAGGCCATTGTCCTCTTCTGAACCTGCCAAGGGCCGACTAACCGCACGCGCCAGCTACGTCCTCCTCGTCGCCGCCTCGACCTTCTTCATCAACACCACCCACGTCCTCCTGACGAGCAAGTACCGCAAGGCCAGCGGCCTCGTCTACCCGGCCCCCTACGCCTCCAATGAGCAGGCCGCCAAAGACCCCAAGGCCTACCAGTTCAATTGCGGTTCGTCTCCTCTCCTTGATGGCCAGATCCCTTGCCGTGCCTATATACACGGGTGGAAATATTAGCCTTCAGCCACATCCGAGTTCAGAGACTAACGTACCAACACACAGCCCAACGCGCCCACGCCAACTTCACCGAGAACCAGCCCTCGTTCCTAGGCGCCCTCCTCATTTCAGGCCTTCGTTTCCCCGTCGCCAGCGCCGTTCTTGGCGCCGGCTGGGCCATCTCGCGCATGATTTATGCCTTTGGCTACACGAGCGGCGCCGGCCCCAAGGGCCGCACCCGGTAAGTGCAGGCGCATTGCTCCTCTGGCATTGTTCTCTGTAGATATCTTGCCCAAGTAACGTACTAACAAATTTCATCAACCCAGTGGCTCCATTGGATCTTTCCTCTTTGATACGATTCTCAAGTTTACTGCCGTTTATACTTCTATATCTATGATTATGAAATGGTAAAGCCGCTTACTTTGGGAGGGTGCCTCAACTCGGCACCTATATTCACTCATATACTCATAGCTGTCTTTTTAAATCCAGAACAAAAACAACATCAAGTGCAAACGTGTGCCTTGACAGTCACCCGATCAACCACTTCCCGAGTGAATGAACATACAAGTTGCCTACCGATCGCTGCGTACCAACATGAATAACCGTGCCTAATGGCATTAAGCCACTGTCGCTGTAACGCCTTTGAATTCCACACTAACCGACATAAGAACTGCCTTACTTCCTCTTCAGACGCCGGAGCTCTAAGCTGCGATCTGGCTCTTCCGGTGTCGGAATTGCAGTTCCAATCGACTTTTCAATCCCGTTATTGCCGAGCAAGTAATCTCCAAAGTACTTCATGGCACTGAATATCTCTTCACCGACAGGAATGATGTTGTCCTTGGGGAGTAAAAAGCCATAGCTTCCCGTGTCCCTCAGCTTGATCTGGTAGCTGTAATGCGCATGCAACTCATGATAGAACCAGTCAATGGCCGAACCACCACCTGCCTCGATTCGACTAGCGTCTGTCTTGGAGCCGCGGCCTGCTACTGCACCCTCGCACGCTGATGTTACCGAGTACAATTCACCGTTTGACAGGCGGATCGCCTTAGCGAGTCCAGCGGCGAGCTCTTCGAGGTTTTCGACGTTCGGCGGGTCCACATTGCAGGAGTAGGCAAATGGGAAAAGAACCTGTTGCGAATACGAGTGCAGGTCGATGAGACCAATGAACTCGGCTGTCTCCCGGGACGCATTCTTTGCCCATGTAGCCAACGCGGCGGCTTCGGTAGCCTGCCATGGTTCCTTACCACCGTAGCTTTCGGAACACGGGTCGTTCTCCAAAAAATCACCCCATTCATAGCCGAAGGCGTGGTCCAGGTCAAAACCACGGCACCATGACATGCCCGTTTGCTGCCTGGATTTGCGCCACAGTCGATCCGTTGTCCAAGTATACTCGATGCCATCGGGGTTGACCGCCGGTATGAATACGAAGTCAAAATGCTCCAGCAATTTAGTGATCATGGGCTCTCGGCCAAAGGCCGTGATAAACGACCAGGCGACGTAGTTTGTAGTGGTCGTGGATATCCACTCGCGCGCATGCATCCCGCCCGTCACGACAACAGTCTTTCTTCTATCAGCTCCCGGCACGCGCGTTTTCGTTCCCACTTTGAGCCCCAAGATGTCTCTGCCTTCGTACGATTGTCCGATGGTGATTGCTTCGGTGATGGACGGGAACATAGCCTCAGTTAAACGCATCCATTGGGCGATTGTCTGGTTAAAATTAGTTCGATGATTGCCAAAGAAGCGCCAAGAGTCGCTTACGTCAAGCTTCTGATAGTCTTGGAAGAAGTAGTTATCCCTCCCGCTGTGCGTCGGTTTCAGATTCGCCCGACGGTCATCAATACGATGTATCTGGGTGGGGGTGTCGATGGCCGGATACGTATCATATACTGCAGCGGCCAGGTCTGTAATCAAAGTTGAATAGGTTGTCTTCAGAGACCCGGGCAAGAGGCTTAGCAAGGATCGAATGTCGCTCTTGTGAATCCTAATGTCAACGTAATCGCGATTGAAGGTCCAGACGTCGAGAAACGTCCGAGCTGCGGCGGCAGCAAAAGCAGTCTCCTCTTCGGCAGTAGTGAGATTGAAGCGCAGAACAACCTCGTTGACATGATCATCACGAAGACTCGCTTTAGCATGAGAACTGCTGGTAGTTGCTTTGGCGGGATGAGGGCCAAAGACGAACTCCACAACACCGTTGCGCAGCTTCTTCAAGAGAGGGAATAGATCGACCTTGTTTGGACCTAGCCCCGACGTCTCGTGTTGGCGGCCCGAATATATATCGAAACGAGTGGAAGAGACGATGGGGGCGAGTAGGACGACGCCAGCGAGCGATATGACGGATTGGGGACGCATGTCGAAGGCTATGCCGATGGAAGTGGGTTGATGGATGTCGGCAGTCAAGATATAGCAAGCGCCGACTACCCCGGCGGGTCGAGGACTTGATGAATGGCGCGGCCGCAGTGATGACCGAAGGCGAATCGCAGAAGCAAACTGATTTCGAGTGATGTTGCGCTGATGGGCTACAATGGTGTGCTGGGATGTGAATACAGCAGATTCAGAAGATGGGGAAGCAGATAAGAATTTAGGTGGGAGGCTGCCTTGGAGTTAACGCCCCAAAGAGTCGGTATGCAAGGATGGACAGCGTAGGCTCCTGCTGCTACCTGACGGACGGTAAGAACTTTTACCTTGCACCGGCCCTCCACCCCTCCGTCTCTTCCTCTCAACCGCTTCCGGTCGTCTACTTTGCAACGCTTCATACTCGGAATGTGGTTACGGGTAGGGACAACGAGGATGATGATGAATCAAAGAGAAAAGAAGAGAAATCTCGAAGCGATACAGTTTTCTCAGGTAGTCCATATTTTAACAATTCTCGAGTTGCAAGCTTGCCTGCTGAGTGCCAATCTTGGTAGCGGAAACGACATCGTATCCCGCTTGCTATATTCGTAACCAAGCAAGATACTGTCTCTCTTGCCCGTTCCAGCCTCCCTGTTCTATTTCTATTTAATTCAATTTCTGCTTCCACCGGCAAATTACCTTGTAAGATGATGGGTGAGAGTGCAACGGGCTAGGCCTTATCCTACTAATCATCACCCACTCCCCAAACCGTCATCCCAGGTCCATGATTTCATGCTATTCTGGGGCAGAAAGAGGGAATGAAGCCCCACGAAACAGGAGCAAGGCACCTTGGCCTAAAGCCTGTTGCAACGCGTGCCTCCCTCTCTAATTACTATTGTTTTGATTCCCCCCTCAATACTGAGACGCCGCGACGCCAACCACAACGCCAGCAATTGGTCTGTGTGTGTGTGTGTGTGTGTGTGTGTGTGTGTGTGTATGTCTCCCTCTCTGTCTGTTCCCCCCCCTTCTTCATTCTTTCCCTTCCCCAGTCGTCCCTGTCTGTACTGTTGATCCAACTTAATCCGGACATTTTCCATAATTTCCTTCCTCTCTTACCCTGTACTTCAGTATACCTTCGTTACCTTCTCTTGCCTCGTACTCTTTTTTCTTCTCTTTGCTTTATTCCATTATTCTCGTCTCACTCTCAGTGTCATTCGGAAAACCTTTTCCACGTCCCGTCTCATCTTGTTCCTCTTTGTCCCACATCTTTTGATTTTCGGCCATCAGGCAGCTGATCTCCCTTCAAGTCCGCGCTCTCCCTGAAGTCCAGGTACGCGCACCCTGCGTTCGCCTAGCCCGGCCTGATTACGCACCCAATACCGTTGCTGGAACCCCTACCTCCCTTCGTCAGAGTAGGTAGGTAGGATGCCTGGTCGTCCTGTCTTTTGCGTTGCACTGCGCTGAGCCTAACACCCTTACCTCACCTTACCATACCAGGTACCTCACCTTAACTGTCTTCGCCTATCAAATCCGACCTCAACTTAACCCTGCTTACCTTCCTTTGCCTTCCCTCCCATTAACCCTCCTCTTTGTGTCGACCTTTCTCCTCCTATTCTCTTCGCCAATGTGTCCCGTCGCCTTGCTCAACGACCTTACGCTGTGCTGATGGCCTAGTGTCCGGATCCGACGGCATTGCACAGCATCCGGACTTTGAGTCGTCGTCACCCTCCTACCTCGACGTTGCATCCCTGGCAAACCATGACCCATCGCCGCCATGCCTTTTCTTCGCCGTCGCGGCAACGTCGTCAGCGAGACCGACATGAGGCGCCATTCCATTCTTGACACGGAATCTGTGCCCCAGCTACCGCCGCTTCCCCAGCACTTTCCTCCTCAACACCCTGAACCCCAACAGCAGCAGCAGCAGCAGCAGCAGCAGCAGCCACCACGTCCTCAATCACAGCAGCTCCAGAAGCAGCCAGTCGACCCCCAGCCACAAGAAGTCTCTCAATCGCAGCCGTTGTTACCATTATCGCAGGAACAGCTGCCGGAGGTGCAACAGGAGCTCCTTGAGAAGGAACAGGCGCAGCATGGTGATGAGCCGCGCCGCTCTGTGTCTGCCTCGATTCAGGAACTCCAGTCTACCCTTCTTGCTGTGCCTGCGCAATCCGATGGCAACGCCAACAAGTCTGTTCCGCCAATCCTTGACGATCCAGATACTCGACCAGATACCCCTCCCATCCAAGACGAGACAACGAAGCACCGCCGGTTCTCTATACTGAGGTTTCGCAATGCCTCGGACTCGCAGTTGTCCCTCAGGGTCAAGCAACAGGCTGAGAAGCCCCCCCCTGTGCCTCGCCGTAAGTTGTCTTCGGACTACGTCTACCAGTCAAATCTCGCGCCCCTTGGCATGCTCATCTTGCTAATCAATAGCACTAGCACCCGAAATCATAACAACTGCCCCTACTCTCGAACTACAGATCCCTCAAAAGAAGCAATCTCGCATGCGCCTTGCCGACCGATTTCGGCGCTCTGGCGAAATACCAAGGAATAGCGAAGATGGAGGCGCCCGGGCCATGACGTGGAAATCGTCATCAAGAAGAAAGACGGTGTTGGAAGATCTGACTTCAAGAAACCGGCCGACTCTTGTGACTTTCGAAGAGCCTGGTCGCCCGTCATCGTCGAGGGCGCCGACTAACGGAGAACGCCACGACGTTCCCAACCTATCTCTCCCCGCAAACCGAGCCTCGGAATCATCGCGGTCTGATGCAAGCTCAGGAGAGCACCTGTACACCCCAAACACGACGGGCAACTCACCCCCGACGGTTCCAGGCTCCAGCTTCTTCCGTCTGCCTCGGAGGAAGAACAAAGTTGTAGCACCCTTGTTCGATTTGTCACATCTGCCGCAGAAAGGCAAGTCTACGCATGGGAATGACGGCGCTATGACAACACCCTCATCGCTCGACGCATCTCAACCGAATGTCGCATCTACATCTCGAGAGAACACCCCGCGTCCCCAACAGGGATCGCGCCCTCAGTCGAGTTACAGCGCGTGTGCCGACTCAGTAGCATCGTCAGCTCAAGACCAGTCAACCAAACCAAATGCCTCAGCCGCTACCGCTTTCTTCAGGCCAGGGTCAATTCATTCAGGGCAGTCCTCACCAACCCGTGTCCGCTTACAGCGCCGAGGTAGATCATCGACGATGAGCTCCCTCGGAAGGGAGTCGACAGATGGTCATCTTGATCCGGGAACTGGACGAACATCGACATCAATTGGTCGAAAGAGCTTCGGCGACCTTTTCGGGCTCAACCGTTTGCGCCAAAACTCGGATCTTGGCCAGGGTCGGCAGGGCAGCTTAACACCGGCGACACCTGGCTCCAGCACATCGAAAAACAACTCTTTGCAAATTGCGCGCGAACCGATTGCTCTACCCGAGAAGTTCGAAGACGAAACACCGGTCAAATATCTTGGTCGGATCGAGGAGATCCTCAGTCGTGGAGTGATTGCTAGTGCGCTATCTAAAGGAAGCGATCCGTTCTCAATAGCAGTTCTCCGCAGCTACATGCGTCGCTTCAGTTTCTTCGAATATCCGATGGATATGGCCATCCGAAAGCTCCTCATGGAGGCCGAGTTGCCAAAAGAAACACAGCAAATAGACAGATGCCTTCAGGCTTTTGCGAATCGCTACCACGAATGCAATCCTGGCATCTATGCCTCTCCAGATCAGGCGTACTTCGTCGCCTTTTCACTCCTCATCTTACATACCGATGTCTTCAACAAGAACAACAAGCACAAGATGCAGCAACCCGACTATTTAAAAAACACCCAAGGAGAGGGTGTCTCGGATTCAATCCTGAAGTGCTTTTATGACAACATTACGTATACCCCTTTCATTCACGTTGAGGACGATTTAGACCTCAGCAGCGATCGACTTTTGGCAAACAGGGCCAAGCGGAAGACGCTTTTTCCGGGAGGCACACCGGAGACTGTCGCCAGGCGGTCAACGCGGGAGCTTCTTGATCCCTATACTCTTATAATAGACGGCAAGCTGGATATCTTGCGGCCGAGCCTCAAAGATGTGATGGAACTTGAAGATCATTACAACTACTTGGGAACGGCCAATGATCTCAACGTGAAAGAGCTGCAGAGAACGTTCTTCAGGACTGGTGTCTTGCAAATAGTGTCGGCTAGGTCACGGCCAGATGCGTTCCGCGATGACAAGGGCTCCACCAATCCGGCCGAGGCGGCTCAAGGCGTTGTTGATATTAAGATCACCAAAGTTGGCCTTTTGTGGCGTAAAGATACCAAGAAGAAGAAGACGAGGTCCCCGTGGCAAGAATGGGGGGCTATTCTGACTGGCGCTCAACTCTATTTCTTCCGCAACACCACCTGGATCAAGAACTTAATGCACCAGTATGAGACTCATGTCAAACAAGGATTCGATGGCGAGCCGATCACGTTCAAACCACCACTTCCGGAGTTCAAGCCGGACGGGTACCTGCCGACAAAGGAGGCAGTTGCTCTCGTCGATGCTACCTACAAGAAGCATAAGAATGCTTTCAAGTACTCTCAACCAAGCGGCTACGTCGAGGAAGTGCTTCTCGCTGACAACGAGGAGGAAATGAATGATTGGCTTGCCAAGCTCAATTATGCGGCTGCGTTTACAACATCAGGCGTGCGCATGCGAGGCGTTGTAGGCGGCAACTATGAAGGTCAGAGCCGGCGCGGCATCAGAAGACTTGGCAGCTCGGCCTCTGCGCAAGTAATCCAGACTCCCACAGGCGATGTCAGTATCGTGCGCGGCAAGATTGATCATAAAGAAGCCGAATCCATCCAGGCACAACGGCGGCAGACTATGATGGATGCAGTTGCCAAAGCTGACGAGGAGATCGGCCTGAAAGAGCAAGAGCTCGAGGTTCACCTGAGAAACGCCCGGCACTTGCAAATACTGTCCCCCATCCAAGCCAAAACGAGAGACCAGATCCTCTCAGCTGCAGCCCATATGGATGTCAAGATCAAATGGATCCGCATGGACATATGGAAGTCGCGGTGCCATCGAGATGTTCTGTTGAAAGATTTGGCCGAGGAACAGAGTATGCAGGGCCTGGCGCTCTCCAAGGCACATAATGGGCACGAGCCGCGCGAAGTGTCTCCATCTCGAGAGAGGCTGTCCATTTTCGGGGCAGAAACGACAAACAGCGTTGCGCGAAGACGTCGACGGTCATCGGCTGCTGTCTCCACTATTCAGGGATCATCCAAAGCGCCCCAGGCAGAGCCTGAATCGCCGGCCACTGAGGCTTATCAAACGCCGCCAACGAGCGCGACTTTCAGTCCACATAAGCACCAGAATTCTTGGGATTCCAAGATATCCAAACCATTGGAGCACCTGCAGCACGAAAGACCTGGCTCTAGCTCCAGCCATTCGTCTACCGAGCCGACTTTCTACAGCCCGAAACAGCACTCAACACCAAAGAAGGATAAGGGCGTTGAGCAATCTGCAACGGATGATCCCCACAATGACGTTGACGCCAACGAGCGGGTCCTTCTGGAGCAGGCTGGTCTCCTCGATTCAGGTTCCCGCGGTAGGGTTCTGCTGGAGAGAAACCGGACCGGGTCGCTGTCCGAGGCTGGAGATGCATCCGAATCGCGAGACGCCCCAGGCTCAATCGACAAACAGGACAAGACAAAGATCAGAAGGAGCTTGCAACGCACACTCAGGGAAAGCGCCGGTCATCTCTCGCATCATCGCAGCAGAAAGGGTAAAGAAATACTCTTAAGCGGCGGTTCGGACGACACTGGTCGCGAAGACGTGCTCACCAGAGGCACTGGAAGTTTTGTGGTTCATGGGAAAAAGGCATCAGTCATCAACTTCGGTTCTGAATTACAGCAACTTACTCCGGAAGAACGTATGAGGCACCGAAAGCAAGATCAGCGCGACGAGCCTCCATCCCCAACAACCCTTGACGAAGACTTTCGCGATGCTCTGGATACTTCATCAGTCCCCAATGAGCGACGAGAATCGGCCGCTAGCGCCAGTACCGCCACGGCAAGAAGCTTCCGCGAGCTTCATCGCAAGTACTCTTCGGCACATGCACCAAAGCCGCCCGTGTTTGGCGGTCGTCTATCGGTACCTTCTGATGGCGAGAGCGAAGCGGCAGTCAGCATTTCAGAGGGAAGACGTACGCCACTGCCTCCCATCGAGAATGAATCCGGAGACGAAGAAGAGACTCAGGTTCCCGTCGACGGCTCGCAACCCATTGCAAGCACACAGTCTTTCCCGAGCCCGCAGCTCATTGTTAGCCCGCAGCCCATACCTGTGGCGCTGGCGAGTCCCTTGGTGAATTCCGAGTCAACGAGCGCGCCGGAGCATCAACAAAATGAGGGCGGGGATGGTGAGGGGGCGGAGATGCAGCGGCTGCCCAGCCCGCCCGTACAAGCAGTCAAGGCCTAGATGACCAAGATATGCCGCAGTCTTGGCAAGAAAGACCTGTCGAAAAGTGACAGTTTGCGTCGGCAGGCGGTGGGAAATCGATCATAGACGGGGGCTTAACAGCGGTTGAGGTTTGGACGCCAAATTGTCCGTTTCCTGTGCTGGGCGAACTTAAAGTGAGAAATGGGACGAGGCACAAAACATATCAATACACCAGCGTGGGCAGACAGGACACCTTCTCTGTCTTCCTTTACTACCTTCTTTTAGCGTCAAAATCGCAAGAAAACGGAGGTGTAGTCGATTTACAATGGCAGATGCGTACAAATGCATGGATTCATGGCTAAGCGGGGAAAGGACATTGGACTTTTGGGCATTGCATTGTGACGGCGACTAGGATCAAAGAGGAGTAGGAGAGGAAATCTTGGCGGGTCAATATGCGGCCAGCGGTGTAGCATAGAGCAACCACACAGCGGTCTATACCTCTTTATTCAATGTGACCTTTTGTACTCAGTAAGGAGCGGGGCATGAGATGCGTGGTGGATAAGAATTTGTATTTTGGTAACTTGTAAACCGCCAAGCCTGGTGAAATGGTCGGGATCTATCAACGAAAGGAGGAGGGTGGTCAAGAAGCTGGTAGGAGGTCACTGCGTCTCCTCATTTCTTGCCCTTCTTCTTCTTCTTGGAAGACGAGATTGGTGCTTTTTCAACCTTGACAGATCCCGCGCCGCCCGCCAGCTCCAGCGTCTCCTCCTCCTTAAGAAAGCCGCCCTGCGTGGCCTCGTTGGCCTTCTTCTTACCCTTCTTGCCCTTGGGTCGGTACGAGGATCTGTCGCGCAGGGGCAGCCACCGCTCTGGGTCCATTTTCTTGCCTTCGACATAGTCTTTGGGAAGCTTTCTTCTGCGCTTCTTCTTATGGGCCGTCTCGATCGTCTGGTCGTCAAGAAGGCGCTTCTTGGCCTGGCTGGCCGGCGTCGCGAAAGAGACAACGCCGTTGCCAGCAAGCTGATCGACGTAAATTCCATTGAGGAGTTCATCGACAGGAGGCAGGTCTCTAAGGTATGGAGTAACCTTGGCTTTGTTCGAGGTGGCGAAGGACGCCACAAGGCCGGCGGTAGCGACGTGATCCATGCTGGGCCTCTGGCAGAGTTTCTCAAAGGCTGCACCAGCTGCCGTGAGATCGTTTGGGTTTGATGACTTGAGGAGCTCCGAGCCGGCACCGCGCAAGAGGGAGTCGACGTGACGGCCGTCTCGCTTTTCCCAGAAAGAAGAAGCCTTTGCTAATTCCGACCGTATACTGCTCTGGCGGCCTTCTTGTCTATAGAGAGAAACGGCTAAAGCGACTAGCCCGGGAGAGAAGCGTACTTCCGCCGTGTCTTGCTTCTCCAACTTCTGTAGAAAGGACTCAAGGACAGACAGCGCGGCGCCAGAATTGTTTGCTGCAAGGTAGAGCTGTATTAGCGTGAGCAGCAGGCCGATATCCGTGGGCCGCTTTTCTAGCAGGGGGAGAACATTCTTGACTTCGACCGTCTTGGAATGACGCAATGCACGAGCTGTAGCATTGATGGCTGACAGGCTGTTGGTGTCCACGGATACGGTCGGTGCAGCATCGGCGAGTGCGCGGGATGTCTTCTCGTAGACACCGTCAAACTTTTGAGAATGAAGACCAAGGATGTACTTGTTCCGCTTCAGCTCGCTCTCTTGGTATTGGAACAGCTTGGCTTGCTTGCTCAGGGCTGCTGCCGCGTCGACTTCACGTTGGGCCAGGTATGGATTGTTGACTTCTCTCGCAAGAGCCGACTTGTTGTTCAGAGCAATCAACCTCGACTCCGCATCCCAGTCACTGCGCAAACAGTTAGCATTACTCTATCCTTGGAATATGTGCGAGGTGACTTACTCGGAAATAAGCAGACGCTTCTGGATTTCAAGGGCCTCGTCAGCCTTGCCTAACCTTGAGTATACATGAACTTGCTGAACCATGATGGGGATCATTTCGGCCTTCTTGTCGTCCTCTGACAGCTCTTCAGATTCGTCGCAGAGGATCAGAGCCTTTCGAAGGAGCGTCGAGGCCTTTGACAGCTCGCCACGTGCAATGGAACGGCAGGCAATGTTGTAAGCGAGCTCGAAAGTCTCAGCATCTTCGGTGGTAGGGATGTGCGTGTCATCGCCATCAAGATTTTTGGAGGACTTCCACTCCAACTGGGCAGAAGAAGCCAACTGATTGATCTTCAGGTCGCTGTCCTCGCCCTGGGGTTCCTCCAACAGACTAGTGTAGACGTTGAGCGCATCCTTGAAATCTTCAGCACGGTAGGCGACCTGGGCAGCTAGGTGGCGGTAACTCCTTTCGTGCTTGGAGACGGCAATCTCGCGGGCCTCTTGAAGCTTTCCCGTCTTGTACAGAGCGTATGCTTTCTCCAATAGGGTAGTTTCCTCGAGCTTGCTGCCGCCGTCGGCAATAGCGCGTAGGGCGTCGTCGAAGCGGTCGAGTTTGAGGAGGGCGACAACCCGAGTTTTTTGAGCGATAATGTCCGATTTGGAGACCTTCAGGGTGGCGTTGGCAACTTTGAGGACTTCTTCGTGGTCTTCGATGGAGGCTGCCCGCAGCAGGGCGCTGAGGTTGGCGGCGGGATCTGAGGGCATCGTGAGGGGGAGGGGAGGAGCGGCGGGGGGATGGCTGTGTATATATATGATCTCAGTAGGACCAATGCTGCATGCTATGGCGATTGGTCACAGCTCTTGTCGGAAATTTCCGTAATGCTTAAGACGGACGACAGCCGACGAAAGGGTTTGAGGCGATCGGCTGGTGTCGCGGGTGTCGCTGGCCTCGGCTGAGCTTGGTCAGAGCGATCAATGAAGAGAAAGTTGCGAAGACACGCCGCAGCTGGTTAAAGCACTGAATGGGGTATAGATGGTGGGGCAAGACAAGGGACGCACTGGCCGGTTCAGGTGCCCCTCCTGTAGCTCTCCAGCCAGATGGGGTGCCGCGATACTTTGGAGCTACTTCAGGCTCAGGGTGCCCTGACAGGAGCCAGAGTTATCGCATTTTAGCAGTAACCACAAACCCACATTCCAATTTTTGGGGCCTTCGGCTTGACGAGGCTCTGGGATGAGATCGATGACTAGATCCAAAGACTCGAGCAACACCAAATCACTCATCAACATACTTATCAATTGACCAATATTGTTGGTAGTTGATCTCGAATCTGTTAAGAAGGCTGTTTCCTTTCTCTTGCTCTACCTATCATGCACGGTGTATACCCGTTTCTAGGCATACAAGTACTGCCGATGACAACCCGATAGTTTTCTACCTCCATCATTCATCACGGTCATATATCGTGTTTCCATCTCGTCACAGGGATCCGGGCGTCTGTGAACGCATACGCGCAGTTCTAGTTTCCAGGGTCATTACGGCTGTATCTGATGATGAAAGTGCAGCCACTCAAGCGGTCAAATCTCAAGGGGGCGGAACACTCCCAGTACATCTGGCTCATCCTCGCCTGAATATTTTCCAGAACCTCTTCCGTCTCACCTCAGGTCGGTGGTATGGTCTCAAGGGGTACGTTGGGTGTACGGTAAGCTCATCAGGCTCTTCTGGGTCATCCTCTCGCCGCCGGTGGAGCCTGTTCGACGTGATCTCTCCTAGCTTGGTACTTCCCGACGAAATCGTTGCCACCGACATACGCTCTTTCACATCCAGCAAGTGTATGTGGCCGGGGGGTTCCATGATGATGGGAGTCTCTTTCTCTGATTCTTCGTCTTCGTCTTGTCCTCGGAGGAGTTTAGGGCCAGGAGGTTCCCTGACCTTGTGCTTGGACGCTTTGCTTAGGAGGTTGTTTCTCTTCTGCCGCTTGCTCTTTTCACCTAATCCGGACGAGATCGAATTCGAAGATGTGGCATTGAGCCGGCGAGAGAGATCTTTGATGGTTTTTACAGCATCAATCCGTGATGAGTTGGACAATGTCCTAAGTGAGTGATAGTCGATAACAGGTTTTTGCCCTCTCGTTATGGGATGGAGTAGCCGTGTCATAGCAGACGTCAAGCGCTTGATGACTTTTCTCAGCGAGGACCGCGCTGCAGCTGTAGTCTCGTGTTAGAAGAATGCTACGCTACTAGGCGAGTGGAAATACGCACCATCGCCCTTCTCGAAATCACTACCAGACATAGAGAGTCGCGAGGAGTACACACTTCGAACTTTAGACCGGTCGGAACGGATGCTCTTCCGAAGTTGACGGGGCCGTCCGCTGCTGTTCGTCCCCTTTAAGCCCTTCAGGAGCGATATACACTTGGAATATGTTTCCAGGAGCGACTCGACTGTTTCGCCAAACCCAGCCATCGCAAATAGCGGACTCTGTGGACTCGGCCTAGCCAGTGATTGGGATTCAGCCAAAAGTAACACTACAACGCAGCTTGGTGGAAGAGTCGCGGAGTGAGTTGGCCCATCTCGAACTTCTTTCCCCGCCCTTTTCGACGAGGAGGGTTGGAAATTCAGGGTACATTTCATAAGCAATGACAAGAGAAGACGTGCTGTGGTTGGTTCTACAACCGCCGCATTCTCTTATCCTGGCTTCTCTTCGGCGCACTCGCCTGGCCAACCATTTGATCACAATCTGTTTCTCTCGTGGGCCGTTCAGAACCGAGATCAGGATAGACATATGAGTGAAGCTGCAAAACAACATAGCGAAAAACAACGGGCGCAAGGAGATGCCGGGGACGAATACATGGAACTTTCCGTGGATCTAGAAACTTCCGGCCGTCCACAGTTACTGGCAATCGTGGGGGCATGCTCTTTTGGATAAAATGGGAATGCATAGTTCGCTATCGAGCCAAACCAAAGCATTGTGCCTTTGCAGCCGGAACTTGAATATACAAGGCGTGCCCTCGTTGATCAAAAAGCAGAGTGGCGTCATGTCTGCTGTGATGGCTCTGTTGATCGACTCGAGAGACACAGAAGGGCTTTTCTTTTTCTTTTTCCTTTTTTTTCTCCCTTTCTTTCTTAGCGGGTGGGTTGATGGGCAGATAGGTACGACCGACGTACAATACTGCATGCTGATAGCGGCGAAAAATGAACCCGCCAGGACGCCGCGAGATGACGCGCCCCGAGGCGAGATGCAGCTTTGTTGTATCGCCATGTATCTGAAAGTTGAGCTTTGAAGTCGGCACTGGTACCTAGTAATAGCATCTGACTTCAGCCTCCTTCGTCCCGCATGGGCGGCCTCGACCAGCGGTGAGTCAATTGAGCATATCGGATTGGTATCCGTTGAGCGTTGTTGATAAGGCAGGTGTGGCAGGCCAGGGCAAAGAGATATGCAGGGTTTGGATGTCAAGTGTTGACAAGGGTTTGTCGGGGACCTTGCGAATGGTGATCCCGCAAAGGAAACAGTCACCATTCTACGGATACTGGCCAATGAAATGCTTGGGAGCCCTCACCTCGTCTTGCGAATCTGTCCGGCGCCAGTAGAATACATTGTACCTTAACGGGACTGACATTGATGAATGTTCTTAACCTTTTTGTCAACCGTGAAGATAACAAGGTTGCAGATAGCCTTACCTGGCCTGGCCCTGGTTTGGCTGGTGGTGTCAGCGTCTGTATCGCACATATGCGCATAGATAGTGCCTAAGGCGAAAGGCATGCAGAAATGATTGGACGGTGCAGATTTGCAACAAATATGTCTCATTGTCCCATTGTCTAGGTATCCTTGGATTGGCCTGACCGAACGAAGTAGTGTATCCCACAGGCTGCCGATGGGGTCTGTCTAGGGCGGCGACAGCGGGTGCGGGCGTCTCGACGTCTGTGGTGTATATGTGAAGTTGTCCACGTCAAGTCCTTGAGTGGCCGTCTGCACTTTCGTAGCACGAAGGTGTACCCATCAATCAATGCACGAGGAGCAAGGTCTAAAAAAGGTAAGTAGAGTAGACGGTGAGTACACTGTTGAGATGAGCCGTATTAGCAAATATCCGCAGCGATATCTTGAGCAATGCATGTAAAATGATAAGTGAACTTGTGGCGGTTGACGGTCTGCAGGAATAATCCAAGCGGCACTATCGTTCCTGAGCACAGAAAAGAAGACAAGGCGCACGTCTATAAGAAGTATAAGGGAAGCTGAGGGTGGAAAATAAAAGAACACCCATGTCATGGCTCGAGATGTTTAGATGCACCAAAGGTACTACAAACACGTATGTCTGGATAGCACCTTCAATCAGACCCCTGCTCGCTGACGCTCACCACAGCAGGAGAGATAGGTGATGAAGGGATGTGGAGACGAGGTGATTACACGTGGAATTCAGACAATCATATCGTGTGTTCTACCATGTAAGGAGACACTTCATGATTGGTATTCATGATGCAACAGGCACGGGCTGGGCTGCATTCATATTAGCGGGTGCGTCGGCGGGACAGTGGTCATGAGCGCACAAGGTACCTACATAGTAGCACTATCCAATGAGACAGCCTCGACAAGCTGAGAGTTGCGAAAAGGTTACGTCTTATCGGGTCGGTCCCCCCACATCCACCACACTCACGGACGGCCCATCAACCATCTAACGGGCGCAAAGGGTGGGCTGCAACAGCAAAGTGTGGGAGTTATCGTGTCGGATGCTATCTCTGGCTTGCGAGGGTATCTACCCGGTCAATGCCAGCTCGCCGGACTTTTAAACAGAGAGCCAGAGCTGAGCACGACATCCTCCTGCGGGCGGCATCGTGTGAGGGCAAAGCTACAGAGCAGTGGCTGATTGATAAGTGATATGTACCTATCCGTACACAAGGTAGACTGAAACAGCGTGATATACCCACGCACGGTGAAGAGTACGAGATACTGGTGTTGGTTGTAAGCATGATGGTGGTATCTTGCCGGGGGCGGGGACACTGCGAGATGGGAAAGCTCCCATTTCTCATACCTTTTGATCTCGTACCTGGGGCGCCCCTCCTTCACTCACTCCCTCCGCTACGTCCTCTGGACCCCCAAACCCACTTTCCCGCCTGCCCGCTTCCCCGTATGATGTCGTCTGGGTCTCTCCCCTAAACACAACCAACTCAAGGCCGTTCCGGCGCCAGGTGCTCGCCCTCATCTCCACTAAGCGTCAGGCACGGAAAACCGGTCCCAAAGTGCTTACCTTACTGACTGTGCATTAATGGGTTTTGGTTGACTTAGGCGCCAAGTGCGCCTGCTCACTGAACCGAATACATCTTATCTATATCTAATTCCCTCATTCCCCCTGGTCCTTACGAATCCGGCCCCTTGAGCGGCATCTACCTCCCCTCTCCCTCCCATTTGTCTATCTTCAGGCTTCCCTTGTCCCATACCTATCCTTTGCCCACGCTCATCGGGATCCTACCCCCCCCCCCCCCCCGGTCCCAGAAAGCAAAACTTGACAAACCGCTCCCCTTCCCGGTCCGCTCCAAGAAAACCCCCCAAGTGGGCTTTTTAGCTTAATAACCTAAGGGCTAACGGGGGCCCCTTCTTCGACTCAAGTGAAGAATTGGCATGGCCCGAATGAAGGCGAAAAAGAAGTGAATTGCAAGGAGCTTGCCTTCTTCTGCTACCACATACAATGAGATCGAGCTTATATCCGCGTCAAAACAACTATTAACAGGACGTCCAGTCCGGCGGCATCCGCACCAGGGAGTGCATCGGGTAAATGCTCGATAAACAGTGGCCAGCTTTCCTGCTCACACTACTACCAAAGGGTTAAGATACGGTGTTTTAGTCGTCCTCCCACCCCCTTGTTGTCCCAACGCAACACCCGGCGCCCTCCCCTCCCCCTCCGTCTCCATCCACTCCTACTTCTTTCCCGCATGGCCAACCTTTTTTTTTGTCTTCATCCATGACCATCTCTTGGATCCACTACTCTCACCACCCTTGCACTCGCCCTTACCTTCGAGTTCAACCTCACCCGCAAGCAGCTTGCCTCGTCGCCTTCCATGTCTCTCACAACCGCTGCCTTGTACACGACACGAGGACTCTTGCCACTCTATCTCATCTACAGTTCCATCAAATAAGTCCCCGCAATTCCTTCTACCCTCGCCCCTCGGTACTCGGTACTCGTGTAATAGCGATCGATACCTACCCACAGGCACGACCGTCAACAATATACAGACATCGATCTCCGGGCCCACTTGGCCCAGACCTCCCGCTTCTTGTCTCCTATCACTCACTCACTGCATGGTATCTAAAGGAGCCGCTGCCCCCGCCTTCTTTGCACAAAACCACCCTCTCTTCCCGCTTTCTGACCATCGCCAAACCCACCAGCTTCGTGCTGTCCTGGCCCCAGTTCCCACCGACTATATCACTCCTCAACCGGTTATTGTCGCTCGCCCCTCGGCAACCACAATCCACGCGTTCCATGGACCGACTACTTATCTGTACTGCGCTCAGCTCTCAGTCTCGCGCTCGACCCTTTTGGAGTTGTGCTGAACTTCAACGTCGTCGACGATAACTCCCACACTTGAAGCCCATTTACCGTCTTGGTCCCGCTGTTTTAGCAGTCCCCGCTTTCGCCCCAAAGGCTTCCTGCATCAAGCAATCCTGGTCATCTTGATGTCGGCGACTTCCTCTCCCTCACCGTCGCAGGGCCCCATTGGCCGCATCGACGAGGAGAATCTGCCTCAAGGCCAGTGCCGCTATATTTTGTTGACCCCCGGTATCAAGGGCCAGCGGTGTGCATGTGTGCGCTTTTCTCTCAACCGCTCAACGCCCGGGGCAAGCTGTGACTGCGGACACATGGCCTGCTATCACATTAAGAGTCCGGAACCATCCGCTACCCGACAAGAAGTTGAGCTGCTGAAGCGGCGTCTCCAGGTCCTCGAAGAACAACTGGACCAACATAGACAGGGCGGTCTCGGAACTGTCGTCACCAGGGTGAGCGACTTGGAGGAGCTAGTCGACAAGAGTCGGGAGGAGATTGGACAGGAAATCAAAGGGTCATATCGTAATATCAACAGAGTCTGGCAGTCTGTTGAGCAGCTGGAGCGGCAAACCTCTCAATTGCAGGAAAACATGAGGTCTCAGTCGAGTCATTTAGACAATGTCGACAACGAGCTGAGAAACATCAGCAATCGACAGATGGAGCTATTCGATGCCGATGAGAGCATGGAAGAAAGGCTGGAACAGTTGGAGTCTGACCATGATTTATTGGCCAGTCGAGGCAGTCAGCACATAGATTCCGAGGCTGCGATGACTTCGATGCGTATCGACGTCCAAAGGCCCGTTTGCCCACGGCAACCTCCATCTACACCACCTATCCAGACCGGAGCTCAGAGCCGTTTGAAGGATATGCATGCAGCGCCTCATGCTTCCCCAACTGCCAGCGCCACTGGGCCTAACGGCAGTTCCCGGGCTTGCGACGCCTGGACGGTACATATCTCACTGCTTCCGACAGCCTCTCAGCCCTTTCCGTTCGAAAGAGATACCAACGCTTATAAGCGCTGTCTCTCGCGTGGGCTTCATCGGACGGTGGTTGTTGGCGGTTCCGACTGTGGCTCCTTCATCGAGGCCGTCACTAGGTCGTTTGGTGGTCTCATAGAAGGGAGGCCATGGATGCCTTTAAAGGCAAAGCTCTGCGACGCTGAAAGGCTTCAGGGGCTTCCGATGCTACGGCCACTTGAGCCTTGGCTCGTCGACAGTGACTACGACCTCGCGTTCCTGCGAAAGCACTGTGGCGTTTGCGAACCCAGTGGCAAAATCGAGTCGCTGTACATCGCAATGCGCCAGGACAAGCTCTCATGGCACTTCCTAAGAAACTCTCCCAAATTCATAGATGGACTTGAGGACTGCTGGGTTTACGATCCTTTCCTAGACCCAGTCAACCTAACTGGAGACGACCGGCCTTCAGCTGGTGACATTGTTCCGAGTTTTCCGAGTCTCAAACGCGCTGCGTCCGAGATGTCCCGAACAACCGCGTTGACACCCTCGGCGACAGCCGATGAAACAGACAGTCCCCGGAGGAAAAATCCAAGGACTACTTGTCTGCCTACACTGATCGAGTCACACCGACAACTAGAGACGGTGTAAGACGTCGGCGATATTCTTTCCTTTCACGGCGAGTACAGGAATCGCTACGCTGTAGACGCCTAATCGGGGCTAAATGATAACTCTCCCCTGCAGGCCGGGACGGAGGTGGGTGATGTACAGATGTGCGGTTTTGATTTAACCCCACGCAATACGCAGTACGTCGCCCGAGGTGCGATACGATAGAAAAGAGGTCGGATGGCCTCATGTGTTAGAGGACTTTTATACCCATTTGAATTAGTTTGGTCTGAAGATGGATTGCTTACCTGCCATATTATTGGGTAAGCAGGGTTGTTAGCAGATAAAATTTAACCAACGGCAGAAATACACAGTATCTCAAACTTATGTTTTGATGTTAGATTTGGTCTTGTTAATTTGCTTGGAGTGAGTGAACACGTTGGCTATATAACTTGCATTTTCGGTGGACTGCAGTTCCCATCTTTCAGAACTGTGAGAACCCACCTAGGTGGTCAGAAGGGTGCTGTCCGAGCGGCCGATAACTTTTACAGCCGGACCATCCCGGAAAAAAACCAAGCTTACTTCCGGTTCTAACAGCTCGAGCTTGTCCCAAAACAGCAAGGGCGCCGTCGACCAGCCGCCAGCCTCATTCTCCACAGTCACTGAGCGGCCGAAGCTCGAACGACTATTCAGCGCCAATCATTCATGTTTCCCCGTCGCAGCTCACGACAAACACAAGCTCAACGCGCCCGGATACCGAGTGTCTTTTAGGGAAACCCCTTAGGAAGTATATCCTTCGAGCGCTCTTTCTTTTATAGGAAGTTTCTATCGCTCCCCTTGCCCTATACTCTTCTCAGCCTTCTACCCTCCACTTCCCCAATTCCAACACACCACTTTCACCATCACTGCTCACAGCCATACCGGAGCGATCATGGACTGGGATATTGACATGGACGATATCGCTGAGGGCTTTGCCCCTCCAAACGTCACAATTTCCGACAGCACTGTACGCAATAACCTCCCTTCGTATCCCACATCGGTCCTCTTTCTTGCTGACCTTGGGCATAACAGAACACCAGAGAATCTGGCACTGCACCTTCTACTACGACCGAACGCGACCCAGAAAGCCCAACCCTAGTACCAAACAAGGTTCACATCCGAGGGCTGGAGACACTGACGACGGACGATATCAAGACATACGTGAAAGACCATTACGGTCCCATGAACAGGGTTGAATGGATCGACGATGAGTCTGCGAACCTGGTCTTTGGGACCGAGTCTTCAGCACAGGACGCTTTGAAAGCCCTGAGCGCCGTAGAGATCGTCGACGTGACACAACTACCCATCAACGAGACCATCCCAGCCAAGGCTATGGCATCCAAGCCAGACGTCAACCTGCAAGTCCGGTTTGCTATGATCTCGGACAAGAAGGCACCTGGTGCTGCTCAGAGAAGCAGATTCTATCTTTTCCACCCCGAATTTGATCCCGAGGAAAGAATGCGAGGCGATGGAAGCAGAAACCGGTACCGCGATCGCAGTGGAGATGATCACTACCGCCGTAACGGCCGCGGAAGAGATCGGCGAGACCGAGAATCAAGCGTCGAGGTATTCCACGCGAGCATGTACGATGACGAGGACACATTGGCAGATCGCGATTCTAGAGCTGCACGGCAGCGAAGACGATCCCACTCCAGAGGCTCGAGCTCACGTGGAGATCGTTCTTACACGTCTCGTAATCAGGAGAAGGAACTCTTCCCGGGTCGAGGACCAGCAGGAGGAAGGGGTGAACGAAACCGTTCAGCGTCGCCCAAGCGGGATGCCGACGGTGATGCAGCAATGGATATAGAGGCAGCACGTATTCTGAGGCCCAGCAACAGAGAGAGAGCCTCCGGTATCAAGGAGCGTTTGGCCATGGACAACAAAGCCAAAGAGCTGTTCCCTACTAAGGGCTCATCGGCTGGCCAGACACATATGGACAGAGTCATGGATGGTGCGGACGAGACTACACGATTGATGCAGCGAAACTTGTCAGTGAGCAACGAGGGAGGTTCCACAAATGACCTGTTTGACATACGAGGCAGAGCCCGGAAACAGGGCGTAGACACTGGCTTCACAATCAAGGGCGCAGCGGGGGCAAGCGTCAAGGAGCTGTTTCCTGATCGTTTTGGGAGCGGCAACACAGGAAAGGAGCTCTTTACCAACAAGTTGGAGGGCCGGGGCCGCAGGCGACAGAAGGCCGAGGATTTATTCTCCTAGCACTTCAAAACCTGTTATGCTCCAGCCAAATTTCTGCCGACAGAAGGATGGTGGGGAGTGACCGTTCACAACGGCTGTGGGAAAATGGGGTATTTGAATGGCTCGTAGAGGTGCCATAGACATCCTAAATCTAGCGCAGGGTGCCATAGTGAAACATCAGAACACATCTCATCAGACACCAGAGTATCAGACCGTGGTGGGCTTTGCGGTGGAATGAGAGCATCGTTCATCATCTTCTCATTCAACCTGCCTGTGGAAGAGAGGCGAGGCATTGTAGACCCTGGTGAAAGGGTCACTGATAGATTTCGTAGATGGGGTAACTGGCGGTGCTTGGTCGATGGGGTTGCAGGTATCATCTCTTCGTCTGCTCGGCTGTTTGGATTCGGATTCTCTCTGTATATTCGCCCCCAAGACAAAAAGAGAACCTAACACTCAACGGGGATGTTTCACGGGCAACTACGGCAAGGACAACACGGAAAATCTACAACGGGTGGGAGGATTGGAATCCATGGTTGAGCGCGAGGGAAGGAGCAGGTGCACGCAGACGTGGAATCAAGCCATACCTGCCAATTTCGATCCTAAAAGTCCCGGCTGAGATACCCATCTTCCTTCCTTCCTTTCTCCACCACATCATGGAAGTGCCATATCAACATTGTTTTCACGGCCGTATGATATCGTTCCATCAGTACGTCGCGACTTTCATCGATCAAGGGTTTTCTATACCTACTTCCAGCAGCCAACTCATGGAAGCGTAAGAGGCTTTGTGCCCCGGACTCACGGGGTCCCTATCAACTGATCCAGGAACCAAGTCAACGACATTAACGGAACAACCACCACTAGTGGAGAAACATGGCTGAGCTTTTCCTCAAACCGTTACAAGCTCAGCGAAGGGGCCCGGATATGACTTCCGTACAACCTGATGAGTATTCACTGGCACATCTAGATGTTCTACCATTCAGATCGCGGCAGCGGAGAGCCGTCCCGCGCATTGCAAGCCTCGATGCTCTCAGTGCTTCCAAAATAAGCGGAAACGCCTGCCCCAGCATCAGATCCGATATTTCACAGTCATCTTCGCACCAGATGTCGCCCTCGCCAGTCGAACCAAACGAGATTATCTGGTACCGGGATCAAACTCAAACAGAGGCCCCAATGTCCTTGGACCAAATGGTGGATGCTTTGCACTACATCATGATGACCAAGCCAGTCCTCGACCCAGTGCCGAGAGAGTACAACTCATACATTCTGCACTTGCTGGAAGGGTATTGGAGTGTCCAAGAGCAGCTCAAGAAGACGAAGCAGGCTCTTGCAGAGGAGCTGGAAACCAAGCAGCGCAGCCTCGAGGAGTTTACCAAGATGTCTGACGAATGGCAGGAGAAGGAGGCAGACTTCCGCTCCGAGATCAAGCGTATGGAACTGGTGCTCGCCAAAATAGCCCCTGAAGGCGTTGGTGCTGTTGTCATGGCCAGGTCCCAGAGCATTGTGGACAGGAGCGCCAAGTCCTCCAAGATTTTCAAGGCCAAGATTGACAAAGCCAGGAGCAGTCCCGACAGAGGTCAGTATTGCTTACAAGCAGTTCAATGGTGCATGACTTTAGCCGCTAACTGGCGGGTAGATGTGTACGGCGCCTTCAATCTTGACAGTATGGAAACTCCGCGCATTCCGAAAGTCCTTGAGAACCCACACCAGACCCATCGGACTCTCTGTAAGCTACTTTCCAGTGGCTCTTTTCTTATACATGCACGCAAGCTAACAATTCAGTATCGATGCAGCCAAAATTGGATGACAACGCAGATGTCGAATTAAGTCAGGAGCTGGTGAAGGCTCAGCGAAAGCGCCAACGGGTCATCAAGCATACCAGACAGGACATGCCCGTGAATCCTGTAGACATAGTTCGGACTCTTGACACAAGCTCGTCGGATGAGGACACTACATTGAAACCGCTGCAGAGGACAAGCGAGTCTTCTACCAGGCCTCGGACGAACCAAATGTCTCGCCAATCGTCATGCATACGACGAAGCGAAGCCTCGTACGTCTCAAAATTCGCGATCAGCACGCCCCAGGAGCATGATAGCTTGAGTCAGCTACCTGACAACGCCCTCGGGAGAACCCCCAGCCTCAGTCCAGCGGAACGCGGAGAAGCTGTTACGAATATAATGGCTGGTGGGGGGTCGGATCGTGCTCGCCCGCATGTCGTAACGACAGTATCTAACAACCAAACGGAACCTTTTGACCGGGGACCCTCTGGTATTCACCGTCACAAAAGAGTTTTTTCGTTCGACCCTGGAGATGACGACATTCCGCGGCAAACTTGTGAGGCTGGGGCTGGAGCTGGGTCCGCAAACGGTCAGAGATCTTACATGCACATGGCAAAGTCAGCAAATATCGATCAGGATCACGTTCTGGGTAGAACGGTCCCTTCGTCGTCGAACAGCCCAGACACGCAGATCTGACAGGACGGGGTGGATCATAGGCTCAGCATCGCGGCTCCTAGCTTATGCCTCTATGCAACACCCTGCCAGTCCCATGAATTCCTCAAGTGTCATTACAACCATCCCAGGCAAGGATTCTAGCAGCTGTGGAGGGGTGAGGCCTGCCGAACATTGAGATATAGAGGCGGCCAATCAAGCGGCATATGAGGCGCCAAAACAAGCAGTTAATGGGGGGCTGGAATCAAGCAGGTCCGGAGGCTGGTCATCCTTTATTTTCTACCTGCGATAATACTGCAGAACGTCTTTTAAGTTAAGGCAGGCCAGCATGAGCAGACATGTATACGAGCCGATGGAGCAAGAGGCTGGCAGAAGGGATGTCCCATTGTCAATTCTTACCTTTTTCACTTCAAGCCTTTGGTAGGCACCCCCATTCCCGTATTTGACTGTACTTATGTACATAGGTAATCAACCAAGATATTTCCCTTGGACTATTTATGATGTGGCGTGCTTGTAGGATGTGAGCGGGCTTGCATCCCCTCGTGGCTACCTCTCTCACCTGTCTGTGCATTATGCCGTCTCTTCGGTGTTGTTGTAATCCGGGTTACTAAGCGGTTGGTCTTAACAATACACTGTAGGTAATGTAATACGGGACGTCAATTTGTAGCCTGCGTCATCCATCTATCCGCCGGAGGGCTGGCCCTTATTTGGAGTCATATCTGGTCTTCAAGTGAATGCGGCCGCGATGGCAGAGCCACCCGGAGGCTGGTAGCCGTGAATTTGGCGAGGGGCGGGAGCCATTCCATCGCCAGATTATGCAATCCGTTAAGGAAGACTTTCTCATGCATTCGTGTGAAGTTCGGGAATGTTTATGATCAGCCTCGCGACGATGGGTGTGCAGTTGCTGGGTAAAGAGCATGACTACTCGCACTTCTCCCATGCACTGCGACGGGCCTCGCGGAATTTTCATCACTGTAACATTTGATTCCCGTTCCTATCTACGGTCCCGTCATATTGGGGGCATGATCGTCAAGAGTAGTCGTGTTGGTATTTTGAACTACGAGTACTAGATCATATTGATAGGAACAGAATTGGGATCACCTCACGATGCCCTTACCCAGTATGGTAGATCCCTAACACTATTTTTGCCGTGGATCGTAGCTGATGTCAGTTTAAATCATTCCGACGCAAACGGCATAAGAACTGCTTCACTATTGATTGTATCGGGCCCGTTTTGAATATATTATGGAATCTACTTCCTGGAAGGTGTAAAGACGGTGATACTTTTCGTGCTGTTGCAGGAATTATGACATAGTATCATAAAGCTCAAATTCAATTGAGTTAGACCTAGAGCTCGTCTCCTGGACAGAAAACTTACAATTCTGCTGGTTAACTGCCACTGGAGGCATTTGAGCTGGGGCTGACCAGCCCATGTGTGAAGAAGGGCACGGTGACAAAAGGTAAAGACGCGATTAGGAACGCAGCCATAATGAGTCTCGAGGCAGTCGGTCGCCAAGTAGTTTTTCCTACTATGAATTTGAGACCAGCAAGTTATGCCAATACCGTCCCCTACATACGGTCATCTTCTGCCCAATGTGCGTAGCCATCATCCATTTGCAAATCAATCCCTGCGCTTACTACAGCACCTATGCAGGTTCACGGTGAGAGGTTGTCGAAGATGCATATAATCAATCACTCGACAGGTATGTTCCGAATATTATCTAAAGTGACGAACATGGCCCCAGAGGAGGCGACGAGTAGGTCTTGATTCATTATCTAATTCACCGCCTCGACCCTTCGCCATACGATTGACCAACCGTCGAAACCGAGAGCCACATATCGGTAGAAGACTGGAGACGACCGTCACTAAGTACCTCAACTGAGACGAACTGAGAGGGAAAAGTTTGATTCCCTCTTCCCGTTGAAAAGTGATCTTCTCTCTACTCAATTATAGAGTAAACAAAGAAACAGCCTCTGGGAGGTTATGACACACACTTGCCGCCTACCCGAAGGCTGCAGAACACTTCTGCAGGCACACGATGTTGCCTGTAGGTAACAAGAGTGGTGAAAGGTCTGGGAAAGCAACTAACTGACAGCCATTTTTGTCTCCATGGACTATTCGACGATGTGTCAGCCAGTACTCTTGGGAAACCCCTCTTGTGCCTATTTGATATCGGTGTTGGTATTTTTGTCGCAGTTTGCCGCGTGACAAGAAAAGGCGTCCTTGCCAAAAGGCTATATAACCCGACTCGAGGCTTCGATCACAGATTCAGCTATCATAGGGGAGGCAGGAGACGCAAAGAACAATGGAGCTGAATGGTAGCACGCCATGAGCCTTTGGAGTGCTGTGGCTGAGTGATCGTTCCAGAATCGAATCACCACGCTCGAGTCAGTAGTGAGCATATACACTTCTGCTTATAGAGGGAGATTGCTGTTGGGCACATATACTACTTCGTCCACCAAGCACACATGACTCGAATCGATGCGACTGGCTCTGTGGGTTGTGCGATGAGTTTATGGTGGCGTTTGTGACAGATCTTGTTACCGTCCTTCTGTGCTGACGACGTATCTTTGCTCTTTCCCGTAGAAGAAGAAACCCCCAAGAAAGAGGCCCACACCTACCAATGATGAAAATGATAGTATTCGACGGACTGGCTGCCTAGAGACAATGGTCAGAAAATCTTAAACAGAACCCTCTTCATCACTAGTTGTGCAACATCTTTCTGGATGGAATTGTAGATACGCGAACCCAAAAACCAGGAAGTCCGTCCTGGACCATGGGGAGGGTGGTTTATCCCTCCAAAGTCTACACATACAAACCGGCCCTCGCCGTAACAAGAAAACGCCAGGGGTATAGTAAGTTCTAGGGTAAGATGACAGTGAAGAATAGATACCAACGCACCGGGGTGATGGTACGGTGTACTTGTGTAACGCTGGAGATCGTACCGGATCTCGCTGGCGTTGGCGACGTTTGGTGATGTTAAAGGATTAACCAATGAATGACGATGTAACAGAGACATGTAATGCAGCATTGTTATATAAGTTATATAAGAAGTCGGTTGGCAGTTTTATCGCATGGTCTCACTGCGGTTATGCTGCAATATAGCCACTCCTCTCACGGGCACGCACTCTGTATTGTCTTATTCACAAGGACACCCTCTAAGACTGTGGCCGTCCTGGATCCTGTCGATCTTCAATTTGACAACATGAAGACCAGTGCAGGGAGGCGATCTCACAAGATCTAGTAATGGTACGGCTAAATACTAATAAAAGCCGTGATGTGAGAAATGAGAGGGAGTCGTCGTCGTTTCTGGCACCGACCAATAGTTTGGAAGGTCGTTGCCTACGTAAATGGTACACAGTACACCCATACGTACCCCGGCTTACCTTACTCGGACGGGAGGCGCTTGTTTGACTTGACAAGATTGTGTGTTTTGGGGGGGGGAGGGGGGGTTGAAAGGGAATTTGTCATGCTGGATTTCTCGTCCAAGACATATCGAAACTGTCTCACTCTGTCTGCGCCGTTCCGCTTCAGGCTCTGGGGTGCCGCAGCCTAGGGCCCAGGGCCCTGTTCTGTGGCTTTGCCGGTAGTGCCGTGTGCGTGCGGCTTCGTCCGAAGGCGAAACAGCGACAAACGCAGCCTCCCTCAGCAGGCAAGGGTCTCCAGATAGCAGAATCGCGAGAGAGCCGTATAGCACCATCTTAAACTCTGGCCAGGTGATATACACGCATACACTGGGGACGAGCGTGAGAGTGGGTGCACATGGGACGAATACTCTGCAAAGAGGGCGAAGGATGGAGATGCCCGAGGCATCTCCATCCGGACGGGTCATCAGGTACAGATCCAGAGCACCAGGCAAGAAGCAGGCTGATGACGAGAAGGGATATGGGTAGCTGAGAGGTGCGGCTGAGATGGCGGGGCTCCATTGGGAACTCGGGGGTTGCTGATGAGGTACCTCTGCTGTGGTACTCGCGACCCGTCTACCGGTACGCATGCCCAACTTACACCCGAGGGATAGGGGCAGGAGGTGAAGCACCTTCGTGCTCCACGGGCGAACGAATACTTCGGTCCCAATACTTGGTTGCGACCGTTGTTGTTGCTTTTCCACGGTCGTCTGTCGCACGCCCACATCGAAATCGTGATGAGCCACAGCCGCGGATGTGAGTAGTGATATCCATCACCCAAGTTTACATAACACCGGACAGTGCATGATGACTGTCTTGTAATCCCTGCCGTGGAATCATCCGGGGGGCGCGGCGGAGGATTATCAGTCGTATCCGTCCGTAACTGTACACTACATAATAAACCTGGTGGTTCGGGACGACGGGGCAAGGACCCAATACGTCCAAGCCGGTGCCAGTTCGCCAGTCTAGGCATCATAACAACAATGGGATGCCTAGGTACCTATGCGTGTCTGGGACAAAGGGTGGTGCGCATCATCGAGACTTCTCCAGCATCGCACAGTGTATATACTATATATTACCTACGTAGTCAAGGGCAATGTGAAGGGGGTGTTGGCTACTCACAATAACCAAGCAAGACATTCTGTCTAACCGCATAACTGCATAATCATGTCCTGTCGTATTCCGTAGCGAGATTGTGCAACGCACAATTAGCGTGTGGACGCACTCACCGGGCGTGGGGTATGACGTGCGGACGCAAGGGTTCGAGTCGATGGATGTTAGCTGGTCCAGAGAAGGCGACAACGGCGCGCACAGCAGTGACAAGAAATTTCGCTTCATGTCTTGATGTCTGGTGCCGCATGTACCTTCACTTTACCTTACGTACGGATACCCAATTGCAAATACCCTACCCTACCCGCCTGGCCTTAGCCTGCGCTCGTGTCTTGGACAGTCAACTGACCCAGTTCAGGGGCGGCGAACGGCAGGCACCACCTACCTACTGTAGTGTAGGTATAACGGCTGAGTGGCTGGCCAGTTGGTTGGCACGTTGTAATTTCGATACACTGCCGTGGTTGCGGAGCACCCGAACGATGCGTCCAGACGGTTTACTCCCTCCCCCCCTTGTTCTTGGGCTGAAATTGGGATTAAAACCAAGACTAGGTACGTTGAGCTTGCTTGATTGGTTGATTTCCTCAGCTGTCTCCTACGAGTTGCAGCAGCTCGCTCACCCCCGTCTTGCGTATCGAAGCCACTTCGTGGGCCAGAGAGGAGGCATGTATGTATGTAATGCTACGTCGGTGAACCTATACTCAGATGTCGACCCAATCTCAACGTGACGTACGTGGGTAGTAGCTAAGCTAGGTACTTACTCACCTTTGCCTACCACAATAGGTAGGTAGATAGGTAAGTAGGTGCCTACCTATGTAATGCATTAAACGGCAGCTCGAACGCCCTGGGACACGGTAGAAGAGGTACATGGTGTGTATACACTGTACATACATAGTACACTACATGTATGCACTCTGCTTATATTCAGTGAATTGCGTGCCGGGCTTTGACTCACCCCCCCTCCCCTTGGCGTGTGAGGCTTCCCGATGGGCCACCGGGAAAGCTGGGGCCATCCTTGTTGCCTTCCGCCTCCCATCTTTCTCTGCTGGCCGACCGTTGATCGATTGGCCCGGGGCCCTTGAGATGGGGCGAACATGTAAACACCATGTTCCATGTCCATGTCGTCGATTCTTGGCGCTGCCTGCACTGAGAACCGACAACATCACCAAGGAGAATTGGGATCTGAGATCAACCCCCACATCCTTTCTCTGGGAACCCCCATCTCTGTCGGTCGGTCTGGTAGACCGTAACGGCCAACCATGCATGCCTCTTGTTTGTTGGCCTTACCACCCCCTTTTCCTGTGTGTGCCTTTCCACATCCACCACCGAAGCTCCATCTAACTCTCCTGGGGACGATCGTCAACACCAGTAATTAACATCCGTATTTCGCAGCGTCGCAGCTGCAGCCAGGAATCGCTTAGATCCCCCTCCTCTACGAAGTACCGACCGACCAATACCTGTACAGTACGATACTAATACCGTTGCTGGGGGCCCACAACCCAAATGATCGTCGGACACCCGATGATGGAATCATTTTCGCCAAGATCTTCTTTCGGATGCCAACCCCTGGACTGGGGGGTTTACCTTGCACGGTGTGGTGCAACGCTCTTGTTATCAAGCTTGCTGTTTCAATATTCGTCCGTACTCTGCAGGTACTCATTTCGTCGTCGTCGTCTTATAGAGCCTTCGGCAACTCGTTTCCGCCCGTACAATCAACACGCACGTGCAAAACAGCGTCCTTGCTTGTGTTCAGTATGATGTGCAAAGGGGGTAGGTAGACGCCTGACGATTGAGTTTTGCTGCTCCCCCTTTCTCTTTACGCGCAAACGGAGACTCCCGCCAAGGTGCGAGCCCAAGATGCGAGCCGACAGAGCACGTCGGTGTAAATGGCAATCAACCATGATGCCGCTGAAGCTGGGCCAATGACGACGATGACGACAAGGGGCCGACGGAATGAACATCAATCAGTAGGGGGTGTGAGTACGGGAGGAGCGGCAGCCGATCTGCGGTGCACCGTTTGTCTTGGAACAAATACATCACTGGGCGACTGATGATTGACATCAAGGGGCACGCTGTGGTGCTGGCTGCACGAACCGTCAGGTGTCTTTTCTCCAGTACCGTAGTCGGGAATGACCAGGGAGGTGGCATCTAGCTACCTATGTAGGTAGGTACATACATATGTACAATGTAGTTTTAGCCTGATGAACCCCCAGTCCCCGACAGGCTTGAGCCCTTCAACAGCCATGATATGGTGTCTAGTTGCTAGGTCTAGGCCCTGGCCACCACGGTCCACAGGTGCCGTCGTTGTTTTGAAACGGTCGACGGTGACTAAGTCGCTGTTCCGGCGCTCCGGGCGATGAAGCCTCTCGCCATCTTTGGCGTCTTGATTGGCCAAGCCAAACAACGAGGATCCGGCATCATCCATGTATCATGCGTGGGACGGCAAACTGGACAAGACAGTACCTAGTGTATTGAGTACCTATGAAGAGGACGTTGGTGGGGACTCGAGAGGGTCCACAAACGGGTCAGGACTTTCTTTGCTTCTTGATGGCATTGCTTGCTTCGTTAGGGTCTACGCGGATGGGCCTGGTTGGCTGATTGAAGCTCTGCTTGCTTGCCATCATGCTTGCCCCTGTTGGTCGACGGAGTCCTCAGCCGCCTTGATGGTACAGGGCATAATGGCAGAGCTTGGGAAACGCAAGCGCAGGTTGACCAGCGACGATACAACATGGGCTTGTCTGGCTGCCTGGGACACCCCCGCCGGGATGTGTCTCTTGCGCCCAAGGGGTTGGCAGATCCTGTCCGATCCCATCAGCACGGCTCGGTGCCAATTCGCTACCATCCGTTTAATCCAAGAGGGAGGAGATCGGCCGCGGGACACAAGCATGCCGAAGGTGGGAGACCAGGGTCTGGCAGGGATCACGGCATCGGTACCTTGTGTGGTTTTGCACGATACCTGGTGTTTGCGTCGTTGGGCCCTTGAGTTAACTCTTCTTGGGGAATTCAGGGCACTTGGGTATCCGGTTCATCCGTACGAGGGCACGCATGGACGCTTGCGTGTTTGTGCGGTGCGAATGCGGCTGAAGAACAACAATGATGATAAATGGCTCTGAGCATTGGAGATCGGATGATGATGATGATGATGATGATGATGACGGTGCAAGGTACCTATCGTTCCTCGGCAGCAGGTGCAAGAGCAAGAGTAGGTAGCAAGAGCGTTGAGAGATGCCAATGTCAGTGAGATCGGCTCAACTGACTGATTTGATTGATGGATGTCGTTTGTCATGCTGTTACGGCCAAGGCCGTGTCCGTGTCCGTGCCCAAATTCCCGGCCATCGCATGGCTATTGCGTGGTTTGAGGAATTTGTCACAATCTTCGCTCTTCGGACTGATCGTATCGCGGTTGGGAAGGCCCGTTGAAGCGAGTTGTCGCGCGCGGATTAGATGTTGAAGAGATAACAGACAGGGACAGGAGTCGGTCAGACAGACAGAAAGGCATCCGGAAAGGATAGGAAAGATACTTTAGCCAACGTCACTCCGTCCCTCCTGCGCGCCCCTTTCCTCACTAGAATGTACCTCTCCACGTTCCACGGGTAGGTACCTACCCAGGTAGTTTATGTGTATGCGACTTCAAGTGGGCTGACAACACAGGGCATGGACTGATAGCAACGTAGAGCTAGAGACAATTCCTGGTGCAGCGGCGCGCCAGGTGGTTGTGCCTCAGCTTTTAGTATGCAAGAGGCGGCCGTGCCACGCGGGATATTCGCACCTTTTTTACCTTGCCTCCATGTTTACGTACTTCGCAATGTTCAAATCATGTACCTTGGTTAATGGTTATATTACAGTCCAGCTGCATTCGGGACCCCTTCGGATCCTGGTCCTGATCCTGCCTCTGGTTGATTGATATAACCAACCGCCTTAAGCTCAGGTGCCTGAAAAGAAAGAGTTCCTGCAAGTCGGCAGCATCTGTATAGTATCCCGTGCTCCGTTTTCGGTTTGTGGCAAAGAAGGGGACCATGGTACTTGCATATTCTTACCACTCCTCACCTAAATCGCTCTCAGGCGCACCCACAAGACATGCCAATCGTGTCTTGTAGTATTTGGTGTTAGACATATGGATGAGCCACCCCGCTTCTAGACCGGTGGCCCCCTCGACCGTCGTACGTACCGCTGCCGAGAGCATCGTTGTCGAGTACATAACCGGGAACCCCTGGTCGCTTCTTTGTTCTCGCACATTGCGTTCCCCATCTGCCCCCCATCCGTGTCCATGATCCTATCCTCGCCATGATCGACAGCGGCACACCACCCGCCCATCTGCAGCCACACTCCCCACCTCGTGTTTGGATACCATTGCCCTGAGCGCTCTGTTCTCCGCCTCATCTTCACCTCTTGTCCCTGTCTAGCGCGTTCAGGAGCAACACCTGAGCCAAACTCACCACGGCCGCAAAATCCACCAAGGCTCAGTGCGCACCTCAGCCGTTCGACCCAAAAATAAGACGAGGAGAGAAGGGGGAGCGGGAAGGGTCGGGGGGGGGGGAGGAAAAGAGAGAGAAAAAAAAAAGAAGAAGAAAAAAACACTCGCACTCCTTTTGCCTGGGTCTCCTGTCACGATACCTTATTGTATCTCACTCACTTGGCACAAATTACGGCACAGACGTGACTTCACTTAGTAATGCCAAACTCTATGTTGCGTATCTTGAGCAGCCCTGATTACTGCTGCCTCCCTCCATACCCTTGGCTTTACTCATTACACCGGGTACATCGTCATCTCTGCAATCACATTGAAATTTTCGACTTAACCAACTCCCGTCGAAATCTAAGAGTACTTGGTTAAAAACAAAATAGACGCAAAGCATAGCTCCCGGCGGTTGAATTCTGCTCCTCTTGGTTGGAAACGGGTGCAAGAACACCCTTGTTTCTACTTTTGCCGCGAGCCCACTCGATCACTCACCCGTCCCATCATGGCTGACGTGGCTGCGAAAGTGGGAGTAACAGCCATGGCTCTCCCAGTCCGGTTATCTGGCTGTGGCGCCGCCGCGGCTCTGGGGGAGAACGCGGTGTAAAAGACACGCCCGAGGGAAGCCCCTCGCTGATTGCCTTGCTTCAAGATGTGATGGAGGAAGTGTTGATGTATTGAGAACGGGTTTGATTACTGGTGGTTTCCGCAATCTGTGCGGTAATAAAGAGCCAAACCAATAAGAATAATGGGGTGATTTCCCCTAAACCTCTGCCATCCTCCCACCATCCTATGCCAGACCTCATTCATATATATCAGGTCTCCCAATGCGCCGTCCCCTCGCTGGGGTATTTTTGTTGAAGACCACCCAAATGCAAAATACAAAAAGTACAAGTCGCCTTTTTTGACGCGCTTTAATCACGTATTCACTTCCCATTATATAACTACGCGCGTTTGCAGTCGCGCATCCCTTTTTCTTCTTGTTGGTACAGCAGAGCATCATACAGTGGTGCTCCTCCATAATGATTTTTTGTAAGGACGAGTGCTTAGCCAAGCAATGCTGAGACATCCATCCTCGAGTCCTTGTCCGTGACCGAGGGCGAGATAGGTGGAGGCACCTGTTGAACAGTGCTCCCCACAGGTGAGTTGGGCGCAGTTAAGAGGTGCGATGTGATGGAGGGCAACCGCATGGGTCCGGCTTCCTTGCCATCGCCCGGTGCGTGGAGGAGACTGCCAAAGGAGGGCAGAGAGCGCGGGGCTGAGTTGTCGTCCATGCGGAGGGGTGCCAGCTGGATGGACGGCGAGTTGCCCCGCGACAAACACTGAGGGGATGTAGTGTAGCTGGAGGCGGCATCTGAAACTGTAGATGCTTCACCGTCGAGACCATCACTTCCATGAGATGAAGTGGAGTTTGGAGATGGAAGAGGGGACTCGAGTTGGTAGTAGCTGTGGCCATGGGTGTAGAAGGCAGGGGACACGGGCGAAGACATGCCATGCCTAGCATATGAGAGGGAGGTAGCGTGGGAGTTGATGGTGAGAGCCGGGCGCTGGTAAGCAGATGGGCCGTATCGTCGGTCGTCGAAGCTGGAGCTGCTCTGGGTGGCTCTGCGGCGATCATGACGCTTCCGGCGGTTCTGGCTTCCGTTCCACCAGTTCTTGACAGCATTGTCACTACGACCATGCAGACGTCTTGCGATCTCTGCCCACCTCTTGCCAATCTCGTTAACGAGGATTTCTATCTGGGCACCTTCTTCGGGCGTGATGGGCTCGTGGTTTAGTGTAGGCTTTAGGTTTTGGTGGAATCGTTCCCTGCACTGCTTTGGCGTCCGCGTTCCCAGAGCTTGAGCAATCCGAACCCAGTTCAAGGGGCCCTGGTCGTTGACAAGCTGCATCAGGTAGGCATCCTCCTGTTGCGACCACGGCCCTCTCCTCTGGGAAGCCATTATGGTGGGGGTGGTGGTGGTGGTGGTGGTGGTTTTTCGTTGGGAAGCTATAAGTGGAAGCCGTGGGAGGAGGGAACTTGGCGGCGACGATGTCGAAGAGACGATTGAGTGATGATATGTGGGGTGGTTATATTATGGGTGCGTTGTGATGTATGTGAGATATAAAGGGTTGGAATAATAGATTACTCGAATGGCTAGTAGATAGATGATGAAGAGAGGGGAGGGGCTGAGGTAGGTCTTGGATGAGCGTGGGATGTCTGCCGTATATATGTTGTTGAGCAGGTGGAAGCAGCGTGGTGGAGAGACAACATGCAAAAGCAGAAGTGTGAAGGTTGAAGAGGCTGTGCGCCCAGAACGAAGTCAGGTGTGTGCGAATTCAAAATAAAATTGGAGGGCATGGGGGGACGAAAGAATAAGAAAGGTTAAGGTTTGAAGTGAGCCTGGAGGAGGGTGGGAAAAGACGAAGAAGAAGGGTGAAAGGAATCCGACACTCACCCCCCCCCTCACTCCCCAGCACGGATACGCAGATCAGAAAGATCATATAGCAGAACAGGGCAGAGCAGAGACAGAGATAAGGAAAAGAGAAGCCAGCAAAGGGCAATGATGGCCGGTGGAGCGACGGTTCTTGAAAATCACCCAGCTCACACACCCAACTAACCCAATCAAGGGCAAGCCAAGGCACTTGCCGGCAACATCAGCGACAGCGGTTGCGTACGTTGTAGCGCACATAGGTAGTCCAGTACTCAAAAAAAAAGCACGATCCGATGGAAGATGGAATAGGACAAGACACCTTTCCAGTTGGGAGGAACGAGGGAGGGGAGTGAACATCCACCGCACGTAGTTCACCCAAGGGTAGGTAGCTCAACACTGAGGAGCAAGGGGAACAGTACCTCGGACCAGGAACCAAGGGTGTAAGACATGCAGCCTAGGGGGTGAGGCTAGTGACTTGCACCTGTTCGAGTTGAAATGTAGCTGTCGTCTTTGGACAAGACTCGAGAGAGAAAGAGAGCGACGATACTGGAGAGAGGCAGGCCTAGGCCCCCGCCCGGCTCACAGCTCCCTTCCAGCTCCAGCTCCAGCTCCACTCCAGCTTCGACATCTCCCTGAGGAGCCCGCAGGGGTACAAACCCGACCGATAGGGTGATGCGTGTTTGTACTATGGTATCCGCCCTCTTGTTTCCAATCCATCACGCTTCTCTTCGTCGTTCTCGCCCTGTCTCTCTCACTCTGTTGTCTACCATATACTCTTCATGAGTGACCGGCACCAATAGATGAGCAAGCGGCCACCGTCCCTTTGCAACATACGCAATAGAACCATCGCAGCAAGCGACAGGATGCATTGGTTCAAGGTGGGTGAGCGGGGGGGGGGGAGGGGGGCACTCGTCCTGTTCATGGAACCACAGCCAGAACCAGGCGATGAGAAACACTCTTTCGACTAACCCGGCTTGCTCTTACGGCCATCTGCTCTCGCAACACCCCCCCCAACTCTTGTAAGCCTGCACTTCGTACCACGGTACAGGTATGTATCTCTGTTCGTTTACCCCGGTCCCTGTCGCCTATCCCTATCCCGGTCCCGTTTGCGCTGCCGATGAAGATGATCCTTGCAAGGTCTTTTTCTGCTACTGGCCCTGTCCCTGGTCCTTGTAGCGGCCCCGGCTCAAGCCACAACCCATGCCAAGCAACGCCATGGACCCAGCGGGGCAGGATTTTCTGATCTGATGCTAGGATGATGCCAGGGTATGTGCCGCTGCTGGAATCGGGCGCTGCTGGAGAGACGGATAAGGCATGGTGAGAACGAGGGCCTCGAATGCGCAGAGGTCCAACTGTTTTCCGCAGTAAAAAAGGTATGAGGTACAACCACTTGAGACACTACACCAAGCGCATTCGGCGGGGGTCGAGTACACTTGCTCGTCTCCTCCAAGTCTCTTTTGGCCTTTGGCTGCAGCAGGATGTGACTTGGTGTGTTCGCGGGTGCTGTCCGTACCTGAACACCTATGGAGCATGTAGTTGAACCAACCGAGTTAAGATGAGCGATCCATACCAAACCACTCCGGCGAACCAAGAGCAGCATCATGCAGGTCCACGTCAAGAGACGTCCAACCGACGAATTTAGATAAGCGCATTCGGATAATGTCGAGCGCTCGGGCATTGTCGTTGACGGCTCGTCGTGCTGTTCCAGCATCTCGTCTGACGACATGCTTCTGGTCGATCTGACCGGGTCAGGGAGCATTTGTATTTTTGGAATTCAGAAATGACCCAAAGGTTAAAACCTTGTCTTCTTCTCTCTCATCGCTGTCCTTGCACGTCGTTACTCCTGGGCACAGATCTCGACCGGTCGATACGCCCAGGAGGTAACATATATTCCCGTCCTGCAGTGAAGGCACCCGAACCCGAGTCCATCAACCTTTCGAAAGATTGACAGGTCGAGGCTCGTGTGCTGGCCGAGCTGCATATCCCGGATCGAAAGAGGGTCCGCATGGCGAATGCGAGTGGCACAAGGCACAGACAACATGGACACACGGAAAGGCGGCGGGGTGCACCGGTGCAGAATCTACAAGCCTACGGTGCGCGGCCCTCAGGATGCAGTGTACCCTGTGCCATGTGTAAGCGCGGTGAGATGCGGATGCGATGCAAAATCGACAAGGGGGGGGGGGGGGGCGCGCGCACCGACTTGCTGCCTCTCCGTATCTGTTCTTGGTGCGGACGTGTCCTAGGGGCATTTACGGGGCAAGCCAGCCCAAGGTAGATCTTCAATTGTCTCCGTCTTCGGGTACTTGGCAGAGAGAGCGGAAAGATTGCTTGGGGGTGGGTTCGGCGTGCATCGGGGCCTGGCCTGCTGGAAACGGCCGCAGCATCAGAGTCTGGTTGAGCGACGGAAGCAGGTGCGGCGGCTGGGGGGCAGCGTGACGCTGAGACGAATTACCTACTACTACGTAGTAGGTATCTCAATCCCCATCCATCCATCGTCCCGGGAGGGCCGCGTTCAGCTGGCTGGGGTGAGCGACCAGTGGAACGTGGCCGGTGGGGCGGACCGGCGATCATCGTGGTACCGGGGGGGGCGTCGAAGCTGGCAAGATGTGAAAAAGGAGCCCGAGTGTGGATCTCGAAAGGAACGGGCGTGGAGGGCGATTGGGTGTCGGCATTGCGCAACTACGATATGTCCGCAACGCGGCACGAGGACCGGTAGTAACGCCCATTCGCTCTACGCGGCGTATGCTGTCAGTACTGCATAACGATCCAATCCCTCCTCTGTCGGTCTGGGTATGTTTCCAACTTGTTCGTGGGCGCATTCGCGGGGGCGCGCGGCAAGATGATGGTAAACAAACGAGGTTCGAACGTCAGGGTCAAAGGGTCTGGTTGGGGGATGTGGACATGGATGTAGACGCCGTTTCTGGTAGAATTGATTGGCTCCTTTTTGTTTGTCCTGGCTTTCTTTCTCCCATGTCCTCCAGCCCACGACCCTTCTGTCAGTCAATGACCCCACCCTTTCCTTGCCTGAACCGTCCCGGTCCAATCCAGTCTTGTCGGCCGAACAATTGAGGAGAGCACCGAGCCTCAGCGTAGAGAGAGAAGAGGGGACGAGAGAGTCGGGTGCTGGTTTAAGGGGAAGAATGCAATATCGTGTTGTGTGTCAGCGAGCGTCCGTGTTACTTACTGCGTCCGTCCGTCCGTCCAGAGAGGAGCGGGAGGGACCAAAGGTAGGCATGGTGTGTGTGTGTGTGTGTGTGTGTGTGTGTGTGTGTGTGTGTGTGTTACTTGGTAGCCGGGGCGGCAGCTGTTGGCGGGCTTCCAGGTCATCTTTGACGGCTGGCTGGTTCGAATTAGGTTTTTAGAGTTGTTTTTTTTTTGTGGTTATCGAGCACGAGTAAGGATGGTGTGCTGCTAAAACGGGGATGGCGCGGCAGAAGAATTGCAAATCCAACAGATTGCTTTTCTTTCCTCGGACGGTGCTGCCAAATCATGATAACCCAATCGGATCGTCCATGGTCTTGGGTTCTGGGTTCGAAAAAGGAACGGACCAAGGAGTCGGCCGACCTTTCTTTCTTACCTTACCTATCTAGGTAATTTACCTACACTCCCTTGGTGCCTGACCGAAGGAAGGGAAATCAAAGCGTCGACAAAACGTCAACGTCAACGTCAACGGTCACTGGACACAAAGTGGGCCAAGCTTCTTGGTCGGAAATGGTCATTGTCAGTGCCTCATCCGTACCTAGGCCGTGTGTTCCATGGTACGTAGCCGTTCCGTTCCGCCTACTGGGTCCGTTCCTCAGCTGCCCACAGGTGTTCCTGGCCCTGACATAACCCCCGCCCGTGCCCGGGTTCTTGTTCATGGATTGCCGGATGGAGCATGGCGTGGAGGCGAGAGATCTCTCATAGACCGTACACATAGGAGAGGCCACGAGAAAAATACATCGAGATTGGAATGCGCACGGCAATTGCCATATTAGCGTCGAGTGGCGGTAATGAACGTAGCAATGGCGTCGTCTTCTCGGACATGCCTTGGGCAGAGCCAGCACCAACCCTAAAGCAGATAGACTGTGCATCAGGCGTTTGGGCAAGCTTGAAGCACCAGGTTGTAATACCGGCATCAGGCAAAATGATTCGATCTTCGGTGCCGGGTACGGGGGCAGGTATCCTCGTGCTTTATCCTAAACAGAACACGCAGAGAGAGAGGAAAGGGGGGGGGGGGGGGGGGGGGGGAGAGCGCGCCCACAACATGTGGGAGATGGACTAACGCAAGCTGACACTCAAAAACGGCCCAGAACGATGCCTCAAAAGCCGCCATTGCGGCGCCCTTGATGTGGAGTTAGGGGCTGTACCTCGTCCAAGATGTCTCCCACTTTGTACAAATTAGGACCCATGAATCTCACAGGCATTCCTCATACATGGAGAGTACTTATCACCGGGCACACATCCAGCAGTGTGCCAGTATCGACGTGAGCGCAGGTATAGAGCCAGATCCCCCAGGGCCTCTTCCCCGCCAGCTTGAGGCTTGTTCT